AAAGATGGAAGCAAAATCTCCACTCCCCTAGCCCCTTAGGAAGGCCTGACACTCAGGCTATCATTGTGCTAAGTGTGATGCCTCACTAAAGTGTGCTTTATCTATTTTTCTTTTCAGTCTTCAAGGGTAATCGCGCCGAAAATAGTCTACAAGCTAGCGAAACTCGGCCGAAACGACAATAGCTAGAGCTTGATCCCAGGTTACTCAAGTCAAGCCCAACTTGTGCAGAAAAAGAAATTTTTGAATTGAGAATAATGTGTGTGATTCCAGCATTACATGTTGGAGGGTGCAGAGGTTTTACATACACTGGCTACAGAGGTCTGAAATCGAAAATACCTAGGATAAATAATCCATACACACGATTAGCGTTCTGTAGACAAAGACACACTATGTATCTGAGCCCCGGGGGGTACTCCCTTATATAAGCCATGTAGGTATGTGCCGCCCCATCGCGTAGGGTTTTTGCTCCGTTTTGGTCTGCAAACGGGTATACACTTTGTCCATTTTAGTCTGGAATCGAGTTGGGTTTTCTGGGGAACTACGGGAGTGTGTGAACATTTTTATTGTTTCAATTACAAATGAGTAAGAAAGAAAGAGAAATACTGTATGCGAATTCCAAATAGATTTGAATAATTTCTGTGTTTGCGCCCTAATCTAAATAATGATAACATAATTTCTGCCTAAAGGCTAGATCTGAAAACGAGTATGGATTTTAGAGGTCTGGTCTGAAAACGGTTGTGGAAAATTACATTTTTTGGTCTGAAATCGGGTCAGGATTCGGAGAACGAGGCGGCACACCCCCACCAAGAATTCCCTGAGGTGCCCCCCCGGGGTGTCAGTACTTTTTATTTGTTTTAACCCCGGGGGGGGTACTCCCTAATATGGGCTATATAGGTATGTGCGGCCCCAAAGGGTAGGGTTTTTCAGCCGTTTTGGTCATAAATTGGGTATCGATTTTTACACTGTAGTCTTGAATGCACTTTTTTAGAAGAAGCTACTTCCTTATCATGTTCCCCTAACCTAATAAAAGCAGATAAACATTACCTTTAACGTTGGTCTGAACTAGGGAAATAATTATAAGGCAGGTCTGAAACAGGGTATTGATTTAAGGGTCAGGTCATAAATAGGGTATCAAATTTTTGGTTAGGCCATAAATAGGGTCGGGAAAATCGCAGATTTTGGTCATAAATAGGGTAAGGGTTTTGGGAAGCGGGCCGCACACCCCTACCCAATTTTTCTGCGAGTACCCCCCCCCCCCCGGGGGTTTTAACACTTTGTCAAACAGTGACTGAAAGGACTGATGCCACAAAAAAGAAAAAAGAAAAAGAAAAATGAGATAATCAAACTTAGCCAGCGTAGACTATCAAAGCTAAAAGAGGGATTCGTTGGCCTGCTTCAGTTTTTAAAAAAATGACGCGTTTTTTGACGATTCAAAGAAGCTATTGTTTATAATTGTTTTTGAGATCTTGACCTTGTCGGATATGTCGTAGAAGGTAAACAGAATTTTGGATCAGCCCCTTGAAAAATTCGTAAAACTAATATCATTCTTAGAATTAAATGCAAAAACGCCTCCACTCTTTTAAGAGGAACAAATGAAAAACAAATTTATAATGAACAAAAAAAATGAAAGATTTATGGATGAATGAATGATTTACTTATTAACACTTACATGTACACGAATAATTAAAATTTCTTTGTCTTTCATACAATAGACAAATCTCAAACCTGACAACACCCGTCAATCATCAGAATTATTTGAAATATTTCCGTCCTTTGACAGTCGGATTTGTAAGAATATTGATCGCATTTATACGTGATGTCTTGTACTGCCGCCCGCGGGGTGCAATTCCTTTGAAGATCGCTGTACTTAGGGTAAAGGTGGTTGCAATTGAATAATTGAATGGCATTAAGGACAAATGGAACCAACTGAGGTCAACAGCGGAATTTCCAAAGGATGGCAAGCATTCCAAATAATCTTTTGGACATTGCTGAGTTTGGCGACTTTCATTGGAAACGGTTTAGTGTTGACCTGTATTTTGATCAAAAAGCGGCGAAATTCGTCCACGTACAAATTTTACGCCAGCCTTGCACTGGGCGATCTCATAGTAGGTTGGTATGTCTTGTAGCTAGAGAAAACAGAAAAGACTAGGCAGCTTTCTTAGGAGGCTTGGGTTAAAAGTTAAATACAGGTCACTCTGTAGCAGTAAACAGTAAATATTTAATGATTATTGCAAAGAAACCTTATACTGGCTCATCATGTCAAACTCTCAACCTGATCCCGCTGCAAACCACGTCGATGTTTTGTCGAGACATTTCGTGCGATCGTATCTCTGGATATATTAACATTCATTCTTAAGGTTAGTTCACTTATTTCTTGCTCGAAACATGTTTCGGCGCCAGTCGTTTGAGAGCCATCGACTTTGCATAGTCTACACACTGGGGGCGGCTGTTAACACGCTAATCAAATGTACAGGTAGAAGTTTTAGTTGTGTTACTATATGTTTCACGACCTCGGATGTTGTTTCTCGAGCGCTTATAGTATCAATATAATTTCACGCGTATTGAACAATGCAGACAATAGGATTGTGCAATATTTTTGTTTCCTCAATTTTAACCAACAAACTCGCTGAGCATCGACGGAAAATCACTCTTTTCATCAACCACCTATTTTCACTGGTACCATTTTCACTTAGGGCTGGCCTGGTCCCAGGCTCCTTTTGATGTGTGTTTATATTGACGTACAGGGGGACTAGTCTTTTCTGTCTAATTCATTTTGATATAAAAAAGAGTCGTTCATAAGATATTTTAAAAAATCCGAGACTTCGAATGCACAAGATGCCTAAATTGTTGCCGGCTATGTGTGGGTGTATAATTAAAAGAACTTTATTTTCGTTTTGCCGATCAGCGAACAACGTCAAATAATGAAATAATTACATGTGGATCATGTCCGGATAACCTTCTATATTTATGTACACAGAACCTAATGAGCCGGAAAATAACCTCTCGACACGTTGACAACATGAAGTTCCAATCTTTTATTTAGTTCGCGGGCAAAATCCTGTGGTGTCACTCTTCCAACGCCAGAAAACCCTCTCGCTCGCCGAATTTTCGTGTATTTTTCTGCATTTACGAAATTGAATTTGGGACTTTATTTTATACAACCATAAGTCTTCCTTGTACTACATCCGATTTTTTTTAGTTTATTTACTTACTTATTTTTCCTTTTTGGTGTTTCTGGTCCAGAAGCACTCCTGAAAAGAGGTTTCCCTGTGTTTCCAATTCGACTGTAATTCATGCACGCTTGGAAACACTGCTGACCCTGTCGACTAATTATTAACAACGAAAATCAGTTCCCTGGTTAGAAAAGTCTTTATTTGTAAAGGCTCTGAATAAGAAAGGCCAGTCCTTTCAATGAAAAATTGGTTTGTTAAATTCTATTTTCATCCACTGCAGCGCCGTAGCTAGTATGAGGCCAACCGAGGCACTCGCCTCGGTAAAATTTTGACGAATTTCGCCGATCATTTTTATTTTACATAAGCGATCATCGGAGCCTCTCAGAAAAGATTTCGTGGCCAAAATATAACAGTTAAAATATATATATATATAACCAAAATTTTCGCCGTATTAATACTGAAAACGCAGAAAACGCGGCAAATCGCATTTCCGAGAGGCTAAAGTTCAAAATTTCTCGCGGGGGAGGGGGGGGGGCATGCCCCCGAACGCCCCTAGCAACTCCCGCCTGCCTCAGTTGGCCGTTTGGTCTGGCTACGGCACTGCACTGGCTAAAATATATAACAGCATTGCCTTTTTATCGCTTCTAGTAAGTTTATACATCATTCAGTAGATCCTTGATCATCATCATCATCATCATCATCATCGTCGTCGTCGTCATCATCATTAGGGACTTTAAGATCCAACGACGAGACAGCGACAAAGAACGTCGCTTAAAAAGTGAATTTGCGATCTTTCAGTCTTTACAACGATTATTCCCAACCACTTACTTCGTCAAATGTAGACGAACCCTCCTGAAGCTGAATTTCAGGGGACCATATTCAAGCTCGGAAAGAGAAATAAAATTTCATCGTTGCTTGTTTACGTCCTCTATAAAACGCGAAATTAGGCATTTTCACGTCGTAGTCGTGCAAGAACGGGAAAGAAATGTACAAAAAAGTGTGATGCACGTGCGAAGTTGTTGTTTTGTTCATTAAACCTATTGTTTTTTGACGTTCTCGTTGTCGTCCGCGTCGTTGGATCTTAAAGTCCCTATTGTCATCACCACCGTCATCTTCACCTCATCATCATCATCATCATCATCATCACTATCATCATCGTTGTCATGGACCAGCGCACTATCCTCGTTTTTTCTAGTTCTTCCTTTACTCTCTACTAATACGCTAATGGTCCCACAAAAGGAAGAGGCTTATCTCATTTTGCGACTTGAAATGCCATAAAAAGACTGTTAGTCTTTCCGACTCGGTAACTTCTTAATCTTTTGATTTCTTTTCCATCATACAGGTTTATTTTGTGCCCCAGTGCTCCTGGTTGCGGCTTGCAAGCAGCAATGGACTATGGGAGAGCCATTATGTTACGCATACTCCACCGCAATATCAATATCTCTTAACGTCTCCATAATGACTTTGTTTCTGATCAGTTTGGATCGCTTAAACGCCGTCTCAAAGCCTTTTCATTACCGAGCGAAAGAAACTTTCACCCAGAAGTGGACTAAATGGTTAATCCTCTTTGCTTGGGTCCACTCTGTATTCTGGGCCGCAGCGCCTCTGGTTGGCTGGGGAGAGATCATCGAAGACCCCATCACTAACTCTTGCAAACCTAACTGGGCTGCTAAAGGCCTAACAAACACTTTGTACACCATGGGCTTAGCAGGTTTCGCATTCGCTATCCCGGTAGTATCTATGATAGTGGTATACGGTATCATCTACTATCGCTCCAAAGTTAGCAGTCGTTTCATGAAAGATCGTTCTCAAAACGCGGTTTCTGATGATGCAGTGCGTCAAAAACAACAGAGTGCAATTTTACGGACGGTATTAGTTGTGGTTGGGATGTTTGCAGTTTGTTGGTTACCCTACACCATCGCCACAACGTTTAAACTGTTCTTTCGCAAAGCGCCGCCGTCTTGGTTAGTTCATTTTGGATTGATGATGGCGTCTGCTAACAGTTTTGTAAATCCTGTCATTTATTCTGCATTTGATAAGAGCATGAGAGACGAGTTCAAGAGAATTTGCAAACTCTGCAACAGAAAAGGAGATGATCTGTACGACGCTAGGAGCCGACGAACAAGCTCAAACTTGGCCATATATAACACCACTGTAACAAGAATAAGCAACGAAGCAGTCAATAAGATTCTTAAGGAAGGTAAATTTACTGAAAGTCCGCCGTTGCCGAGAAAGGATACAATGAATAACGACAAAATGGTTACTGATATGTTCGTGGATAACATCGTCCAGAAAATGGAAAAATCTGCGAGGGAAACATGGGTTTGATTCTAAAAAACCTGTTTGAGTTTGCCCTAGGGTAATCTATAATCTACACTTTCAAGGATTATTAAGAATCCATTACACAAGGTTCACGGCTGCCAAAATTTCTACGGACAAGAATAGTTACAAAATCCTAAGATAACATTTAAGCAAAGTGATGAACAAATAGAAGCCTTTTTTTATTTTCTGATTTTATTTTCTTAGCTAGCTTTTCAAAAGGTGAAGTTGCGTCTATAGAGTGTTTTCACATGACGTCACGGCGGCCAAATTGGTGTCCCAAAACAATGAAACGGCGGCCATGTTGGTGTCCCAAACCAATCCTCTGGGAGTTGAACTCTTTTCTTATATAAACGCTTTCTTTTGTTCCAATAAATTTGCATAGTTGCTGACCACGTGAGTGAAAACACTCTATACGTACATCCATATAAGAACTATGTAACACATTATTGGAAGATTTGTAAGTAGCTGATTTAGGAAAATGCAAATCCTTCCAAAAATTATGTACTGCTATATATTATTATATCAAATTTAAGATATTTATGACCTGAATGGAATATTCTTAACAGGTTAGGAAAATTTTACGTTTGGGTAAGCGAACACTGAGAGGCAACATTAATTCAACTTCGAAAGATACGTAATAAATTGTACATTAAATTTCATGAAGAAATGATCATTCGAGTTGTCAGGTAATTTAGGTTGTAGCTACCCTTCGTTCCTTCCCTACCTTTCCCTCCCTCCCTCTCTCCCTCACTTCCCTCCCTCCGTCCTTCTTTTCTCTTAAGAAGCATCCTCGTCACTTTTACATGGTAGTCGGGGGGGGGATATTACGCTGCAAAAGATGTTAATTTTAAAATGACTATGGGTATAATAAATACTAAGTACAGTGTAGTGCGCGCGCGCGAACCAACGTCATTTGGGCGGGAAAGGGCGGGAAAATGTGACAGCCATCGTCATTCTGAGTCGTTGTGGCTGAAACAAGGAATCAAATGTAAGAAGTTTTATCATTTCACTTTCGGTAGAGGGCTGAACCTCCTTCAGTATAAATAACCGCACTAACTTTATTGATGAAAAAAAGTAAAATGAGGCTTTCCGGGGTGTCTTTTTTTGAGAACACGAGCAAAAACGTTTAAGTTAAATCTCGTACTGGTACTCAAATCTAAAGCTCTTTATTATAACTCCCGATGGTCATGCTCTGAATCTTTCTTTTGGCCCCTGTTTATGGTGAGTTCATTAATTCTCTCCTCTATGAACTTTCTCACTTCGTCATGTAAAAGATCAGAGTGGTCATTCGTCGGATCAGAAAAATACGAAAGAAATCTTTCGTAGTCCTCAAGTGTTTTATCGTCTCTTAACATAAATTCTTCAACAATAGCTGGCTGTACTCCGATGGACGCCAACAAAGATGTCACTTCGGGGTCACTGTGCCGAGATTGACCGCGGATATTTACCTGAAAAAAAATTCAAAACACCTCAAATGACGTCTACTGAGTATGTACCTCTTCTTACTGACCTGGTTTTCTCAGTCCGTACTGTAAGTTTCGAACCGCGCTTAGGTGATTAATCAACGGAAAAAATGAGGATACGTTACGTAAGATACACATTGTAGCTTTCAAGTTACCCGGCAAAAAAAAGCTAGCCTGTTCCAGGCTCCGAGATAGTTGGGCCTGTTGAATTGAGAAAGCGCGAAGACGAAAATAATTTCCCCCCGCTAACTTTTCGCGTGCCTTTTACTTTCGCGTCTTCCCCACTATCTGAGAGCCTGGAACAAGCTAAAAAAAAGCAAGTTCGGATAAAAAGTTTATTAAGTTGAAAAAAAAAAGAAAAACAAAACGAAGGGGTCCAACCTTTAGCAAACTTACGAAATTTACCAAAATCACAAGATAACAAGAAATTTGCAAAAGTCGCTTGTGTTCAGTTCTGTAAATAAGACCCCGCCGGTTTGCACGGGTCCGGTCAAATTTTTGAACGGACGAATTTTTTACCTGAGCATGTGCAACCAGTTTATACGGAACCCCGCAAATTTTGTAACAGATTACAGTACTGTTTGCTGTTCAAAAACTTGCACGGTTCCGCGGGTCCCGTGTAAGCGAAAGGTGGATCCGTGCAAGTTTTTGTCAGATCAAAAATTTGTCCGAACCCGTGTAAAAGGGGTCTTATAGGACGCTTGTTCCTCTCACTCTATCTCTTCTTTTCAGTTCCGCCAAAGGTTGTTTCAAGTCTCAGATCATCATACGTTTCTGGGAAACTGCCCACCTACCCCTCCCCTAAGCCAACATTGGCACTAACTTCTCAGTTGAGGCAAAATGTTAGCTTAGGGGACGGGTAGGTGGGAAGTTTCCTAGAAGCGTATGATAATTCCTAGTGGATCATTATACGCGTCTTTACCTCTCCCGGAGGTGTTTGGCCAAATGCTTCGTCTACTACGTCAGCAGGTACAGACATGACGTCATCTTCTGTCAGAACACCATCCTGGTCTTTGTCGAGCATTGCAAACCGCTAGGAGACAATAGGAAGCTTAAGCAACGACGTCGGCAACGGCAGCGAAAACGTCACCCAAAAAGCAAATTCCTCGACTGTTCACAGTCCTCTATTTTTCCGTAAGATCATCGAGATCGAGAGCTTTGCGTTACGGGCTACCCATCTTGCATGAGTGTCAAAACTACCTAGGGCGCGGGGGCGGTTTAATCCCCGACGCCCGCCCTCTCGGTACATTGGAAAATCAAGATAGCCGTGACGGTAAGGCGCGGTATATCTAAACGATCTCACGAAAACATAGGGGACTGTGAACAGTCTAGCAAATTCGCGCTGCTTCAAACTTCATCGCTCTCATTCCAACTCTTTTAATTTGTCAATGATGTTGGCGAATTTTTCAGGAGTTGAATTATAAAGGAATGTATCTAAATTCACACAAAGAAAAAGAAAATGGTTGTCATGTGTTCCCGTCCTCCATAAAACTGACGTGAAATTAGGAAGTTTGACGTCACAGTCTTGCAGTGACGGCAAGAAATGTACAAAAAAGTGTGATACAGGTGCAAAGTTGTTGTTTTGCCAATCTAAACCTATTACTTTTTTTTCCGTTCCCGCTGCCGTCGGCCCGTCACCGTCGTCGTTACTTGAGCTCCCTAATACAAAACCAAAACGTAAACAACCTAAAAAACCTAAGTTTGATCGCTTAGTCGGTTCGGTTCAGAGTCTGGTTTTACAACAAATATCTCAAACCGAATGTTCTTTGCGTTTTCCTCAATACTTTTACTATCATAGACGTTTGAATTCATAACACGGGGAAAGTCAAAAAAGTAAAACAGGCTAAATGAGCGAGACAATAGGGCCATTTATACGAGGAAAAATAAAACGCGTCTTAAATAAGACGCGAACTGTACCATTTATACGAGCATGTCTTATCTAATAAGACGCGTCTTAGCTAAGCCGCGTCTTATTTTAGACGAAAAAGCCACGCGTCTTATTTTTCCTCGTATAAATGGCCCTAATAACACTGCACCTGGAGCACACTTTCTTGTACATTTCTTGACGATACCGCCTGACTTCCACGTCAAATTTCCTAATATGTCACGTTTATGGAGGACGTCAACACAAGACGTAGACTGCAAAACAGTCGGTGTTTATTCTCAAAAACAAAAGACGACGACTCTCCTTTTGTTTTAGGCTAAACTTTCCCCAGTCTCGCTCTCTGTTTTCAGCCTCGTTATGAATTCGGACTGTTTTGCAGTCTACACAGGACGACGATTCTCCTTTTCTTTTACTAAACTTGGATCTAGTCCTTGGATTCCGTAGGAAATCAACCCGAGGAAAATTCGCTAACATTTAACCAGTTGAAAGAGGTACTAAATATTAGTGAAACTGAATGAATAAAAGTAGCGTTTTCGCTGCCGTCGTCGTCGAAGTTTGAAAACTTTAATAACCTCAAGAAATTGATTACCTTTTGGGTTATGAGTCTCTCTCCTGTATGTTCACCCTGGAGAAATTAAAAAAAGAGAAGGTTACAAAGCAGAAAAGACGACTGACAACGAGAAAAGCCGCATTGCAAATGTTGCAATGTGTACGTAACCTGAGAAAACAGCTGTTTTCACGCGAAATAGAGTCTGCTATGAGCGCAAAAATTCCATACTGATGACGTGTCACTACCCGTAGTGCTCCTGATTGTTTGCGGAAGGAAATTTCCCAGGCGGCACAATCAATCAAAAGCACTACCCAGATCTGGGTAGTGACAAGTCATCAGTATGGAATTTCTCTGCTCGCTTCGCGGAGAAACCAGTTGTGGCGTCGAGAAGTGTCGGCTGTTTTCTCAGGCTAAAACATATAGGAAGTGTTTAATTTGCTAAGGCACGGAATTGGAAAGTCAGAAAACGGTCGTACTAGCAGTGATCCTAGGTATACATAACATTAAGTGTATTTGGCTGCACTACAAGTTAGTTTCTCACCACAATTAATGGATTTATCGTCTCAAAAGAAACAGATCCACCATTGTCTTTGATAACTTGAAGAGCCATGAACCTTCAAAGTATACAAATAAATCAACGATTAAAATATTGGTCTGTTATAAGAAAACTGAAACGCTACTTTGCCTCAGTCTCTTAAGAACCACGACTCACACATCATGGCATGGCCGCCTCTATAAATGTGTTTAACCGAAAAAAACCCTACTTGAAAGTAGTGTTCCTGTTTTGCACAAAATCGAGTTCTTAAAACAGTTTCCCGCCATTTTTACTTCACGCTCTAACCATTATTCTTCGCTTAAATAAAACAACTACCAGACGTCCTTGCTCTAACGACGTCATCAGGCAAACGACCAATAGTCCAGTTTCGAATTCGTCGTAGCTGCTAAATAAAAGCGCCGAAGACTTATTCGTACAGGGTTAGCCTCGACCTAAATTAAATTATTCACAAATACCGGCGAGAAAGTGCCTGAAGTCATGTGATTTAAAAACAAAAAAACACAGTTGTACACACTGGGTCTTCTTCTGACTGGAATTTGTGAATATATTTACCTTAGGTCGAGGCTACCCTGTATAAATGAGTCTCAAGTGTTTCTTTCGGCGGCCGCGACGAATTCGAAACTGGACTATGGAAAAACCTCGTTTTGAGGGATCTTTCTTTCATCTTCTTCGTCACCAGTTATTTTGATGAGTGACGTAGATGACGAAAAAAGACCCTAGATACTAAGTTGCATCCAAAATCGCTCTGACCTTCAGATTTGGAGTTAGACAAGATTTTTTGAGGTGCTCCTACAAAATAAAACTGCTCGAAAATCTTCGTCTTCCATTCGGTAAAGAATCTAGATGTAACACTTTACATCTTGGCAAGTAGTCGATTCATACCTTAATTGCTCTCCTGTTGTAAACTTGAAGTTACTCAACTTTGCCTGAGATGAACCCAACTTTTCTAAATTAACTGTAAACACAAGCAAGATTAGTATGAAATCAATTTGCCTGACCGTGATGGCTGAGGCCTTCATTTTCTTTCACAACTAAAATGAGATGCGTAAGTGCAACAAAAAGAGTTTCGTTGAAAAGAAAACCTCAGCAAGCTTTAGTTGCCTCCAGTTAAAACATAAAACGCCTTTTCTTCATCAGTCACCCTTCAGATGAAGTCTCATACCGTGGCGTTTATTTAGGCCTGTAAAATCAACATTTGAGCAAAATTGTCCATCGACAAAAATCAGCATTCTATATCACTCAACATCAAGAACACACAAATAGGGGACAAACTGTCAATGATATTCTATGAACTTGTTTTCACTCATGTGTTTGTAATTTATTATCTCTTCGGAAAGATACCTTCACAGTCAGTAGAATTAAATCTCTGAAGCGGGGTCCACCAAATATTGACGGCGATGTTACGAAAGAGTGACGTAACTTGATGACCCCATCTGCAAAGAAAAGCGATTTGGAAAATTAGTTCAGCATATCGTTACAAAGTCCCTGATAGGCCATTGAGTAACTAGGTGAACTACGGGTAAAGCAGAAAGTTTACAGGGAAAGCGACGACCGCCAGCCGCTGTACTCATGTCGATGTACGAAAACGGGGGTTTTTGAAAACGATTACGTCACAGGCTCATATGCTAGTTAATGCGCATGCTCCTTTCAAAGATGGTACCGTTATCAAACCGTTATCGCGTTTTCTGTGGATGAACAAAAAATGATTCAAAACCGCAACGTGTGGACGCAGATGTTTTAGAAAAGGGGGAGAAAAAGATCTCCGTTTTCAGACAAGAACGGATACGTGTGGCCGGGGCCAAAGTTGAACAAAAATTCACGTTTTTACATTTTACATTTTCTGCGGGGAGAGATGCGGGATTGACGAAAGAATATTCTAGTATAACGTAGGCCATACAATTTTTAGCGGATACGGGTTTGTTACACAGTGGAACTTTTATCCAAGGGACACCCTCAGGACCAAAGTAAGTGTCCCTGAATGGAGGTTGGGCTGGGGTTTGTTAATAATAAACCAACAAATAAAATATTTTTCTTTTATTCTACCTCGGAATCTTCTGCAGTCATTACACTTCATGTAGCCAGATAATGTATGAAAAATCATGATTAACTTATCTCTGCCATGATGTGGGGTTAATTCCCACAGGTGCAGTGCATCAAATTTGAGTGAGACAGTTCATGTTTTGAAAGCTGTCGCTATTTTGACTAGTAAATAATAAAACTTAAGAACGATTTTTGTGGTTAGTCACTTTTTGAGGGCTAAAGCGTCCCCTGAATGGAGGTTAAATCCGGCTTTCAGGACCCAGAAAACTTGTTCCTTTCTCGTGAATAGAGGTGTCCCTTCAATAGAGGTGACAAATACTGTGTCCCCTGAATGGAGGTGTCCCTTTAATAGAGGTGACACATAGTGTGTCCCCTGAATGGAGGTGTCCCTTCAATAGAGGTGACCATAACTGTGTCCCCTGAATGGAGATGTCCCTTCAATAGAGGTGACAAATACTGTGTCCCCTAAATGGAGGTGCCCCTTCAACAGAGGTGACAAATACTGTGTCCCCTAAATGGAGGTGTCCCCTCAATAGAGATGACATATACTGTGTCCCCAAAATGGAGGTGTCCATTCAATAGAGGTGACCAATACTGTGTCCCCTGAATGGAGGTGTCCCTTCAATAGAGGTGACATATACTGTGTCCCCTGAAAGGAGGTGTCCCTTAAATATAGGTGACCAATACTGCATCCCCTAAATGGAGGTGTCCCTTCAACAGAGGTGACATATACTGTGTCACCTGAATGGAGGTTTCCCTTCAATAGAGGTGACAAATACTGTGTCCCCTGAATGGAGGTGTCCCTTCAATAGAGGTGACCAATACTGTGTCACTTGAACAGAGGTGTCCCTTCAATACAGGTGTCTCAAAAGAGAGATTCCACCATAGTTGCTGTGATTTAACTCGTTCACACCCAAGCAAAAATGAGGAAAAGATCATTGTTTTGAGTTGTACCTCTTTTATTATTTTATTCTCTTCAAACAGGACCAAACTCACCCATAAGGTATAAACATACAGTCTCCTTGTTCAAGACGTGCAGACCACCATGGTAGGTTCTGTAAGCTAGGATACTTGAACATGTCCACTTTGTCAACATTCACGCTACAATAATCACCTTCTCCGTGATCCATGTCAATTAACTTGGTGTGTTCCTAGAAGTTACCAATAAAAGCGAAATTGCCGTCGTGGTATCTTAAACATAGATGAACTCCCTATATTGGCTTCAGTACTGTCTATATCCTGAGAAAAGAGCCAATGTTTTGTGACAATACTACTGGTTTCACCACAAAATGACATGATGTGTACTACAGTAATCTGGGTAGTGCTTCTTAAGGGTTGAAAATTTGCTTCATCCAATCAGAAGCCAACAAAGATCTGGGTAGTGCAGGGTTTTCTTTAAGAATTCTAGTAGCAGGAGAAAGGTGTAACATTACAGAAGAAAATTTTTAGAGGCTCCACATTTGAGTAAGAAATAGACATAGGCTATTGACTGTTAGCCAGAGAATTCTGCATAGTAAATGAAGATTTCACCGATCTCCGATGCCTAATGAACACCCTGGTAGTGATGCATCATCAGCATGGAATTTTTGTGCTTGTTCCTCAGATGTCACGTCAAGGAAACCAGTGGTGGTATCACACAATGTCGGCTGTTTTCTCAGACTATATTGTCCAGTATTCCCTAAAAATTTTGCAAAGGTTAGGTTCATACCAGATCCACTATGAACCAGTGCTTGACTCCACTTATCATACAGTTAATATTATCTACTGTGTCCATATGAAGGAATGACTTGGAGCCACCACTACTGTACCAGAGCACTGCATCCTATAAACAGAAAACATAGGCACATGAAACATGCAGAATGCTTAGATCAGGAAACCTGAGTCCCTTCTTTATGGAACATGCATCCAGACACAACTAGGGATTGAAGGAGGTCAAATTGACATATGCAATTTGCAAGAATCACATCTTCATAAAAAAGTTCTTCATTCTTTAAGCCCTAATATCCACATACAAATTTTCTGTGCACACTGATCTCCATCTATTTTCTCAAAGATGTGTTTGAGAGAATTTGATAAAGGATCAAAGTATTTTCCCTTTGGAGATCATTTTATTAATTATTTTAGCCTTTTCTCTTGATCAAGTATTAATATGGTTAGGAGAAAATTTATGGGATCAATTTAGGTTTCCGGGAAACTGACCACCTACCCCTCCCCTAAGCCAATGTTTTGCCCTAAGTAAGAAGTAAGTGATAATGTTGGTTTAGGGGAGGGGTAGGTGGGCAGTTTCCCAGAAACCTAAATTTATCCAATTTATGTTCGTCACTCTTAGGACTTACCTGTAGTCTAGATGTAAAACCTCCGCACAACAAACAGGAAGGAAGTGAAAATTCAGGCCACATTTCTTCAGGAAGAGTATCAACCAGGTAACGATCAGAATCATTGTAGATTGATAAAAATTCTCCCAGTGCCATGTTATCAGCAGGCCGAGCTCTGTTCTCCTTTTTACCATAATCTACTCTCAAAATAACATCTCCATACTTTTCCCTAACAAGTTATCAAAAAATGACACATGTTTTTGGTCAACTATAAATGATTCATAAGTTCTACATGACTGTTACCTTGTGAGGGTATTAGGAACATCTGACAGAGTCATTCCTAGGTCTTGTGTGAATTTTAGTTGCTAGCCAGATGTTGAAGTTTATCATAATGGATATAGGGTTTATCTACATATCTTTAAAGCTAGATATCTCTGATGCTAAATGCAAAATATTATTATTAGCATGCTGTGTCTTAGATACAGATTCTTTTAACTTACATTAGCATTAACAGGTGTTCATTAAAATTTTAGATTTCTTTTGTCCCTATTTTTTTTTCCAAAAAAAAGGTTCATTTGCAAATATAACATGAAAACATAAATAGAACTAACTAATAGCATCAATCTCATCAACCAAAAGTCAATGATGAGCCACTTTTGAATAAAACAACTCATGAAAACGTGTATTACTATTTCAAATATTGTAACTTCATTTTTTTAATGAATATCAAATGAATATGTAGGTTCAAACAAGTGAAAACATACTGCTCAGTTATTAAAAGAAAACTTATACGCATAATAGAAAGAAGGCAAACAAATATTATTCTTCCTGAAAAGAGTGTCTTCCCTCCTAATTATCCACCCGAGATGAGAGGCAGGAAAAGTGTATCATCCACTTTAATTTAATTTTTTATTTTCAACTTTTAGACACACATTAGGCAAATACTACTAAAAAAAGGGCCGATCATTGGTAATTCTGCTTCGGATGGTTTTTGGGGTCAATATTTATAAAAGGTTCCCTAAGATTGAAAATTTAAAGTAATATTGAAGGCTCGTCGTGGGTATAAAAACTAAATCCGGGGCTTACCTCAAATAACTATCACTCCAAAGCTGAAATCCCGGAGATAGTTTAGCAGCTCCTTTAAATATAACCGGCTGTCCTTTCAAAACATATTCATTATAAAACTCTTGAGGAGTCGGTACGAGTTCTACTGACTTGATAGCGCCTTCTGGCGGTCTGTGTGATCCCAGAGGTTGCAGATGACCAGTTGGGATAAATTCTTGCTTACAGAAAACAAAAAGTTGACACAGGAGGAGAAATCTAAACATACCGCTTGCAGCTTTGTTTAAAAGTGTATCGTACACGCACCGACTTTGATAATTCAGACATTTCACGTCTTTTGTCGTGTTTCCACGCTGATGAAATGCAAAATCTGCCAGGCGTTAATCTCGTAGTCCCAGTGTCCACTCGGCTTTGTTTGACGGACCAAATTGAGTCTGGGGATGAGAGGCAAAATGGCGGATGAGCCACAAGAAGAACACGTAGAATGTAACTCCAAAATGACCAACATATGACGGTGAATATTCAAAATTTTTGATTTTGTTATATTTCTTTGGATTATTTACATCAAGAAGCTTAATAATCGTGAAAGACTTTTTGAAGAAAGTGCATAATATGTCGGCCTGATGTCGGACGAAGATTCCAGTGACGACGAACTTTGCAAAAAGGACTTGGTAGAAAGGCTGGCAAACCAGCCGAAGCCGGATGTCGTGGATTTCCTTCCCGCTTTTAAGGTTCCAGATGACGATGATCATGAAACTGGTGGGAGAAACGGTTTGCCAAAAATTAAGGAAGAGATTTCCGATCAAGAACTTATAGCAACACCGGAAGCCATGCTGTCAGCGTGTGAAAATGGAATAGTTGATCATGTACTGCAAATATTAGAAAAAGAACCCACACTTCTTAACTGCAGAGATGAAGATGGCTATTCGCCGCTTCACAGAGCTTGTTATAATGGACATGCAGACGTGGTGAAAGTTCTTTTACAAAGGGGAGCGGATTTGCAAGCTAAAACCGAGGATGGATGGCAGCCTTTGCATTGCGCTTGCAGATGGGGTGAATAGGCCTTGTTAGCTTGGTTTCACTTTTTACCCACTTTAGACCAAAGGACAATCTTAAACACCATTCTTGTGGTGAAGAGGGGGAAATTTGAAAGAAACAGAGAAGCATCATATTACATTGTTTGAAATGGGTAGATAAACAGTATACCTGATCCATTTTTGGCTCAGCTGTGGCCAACTTAGTAGCAGTAGTAAGCCATTTTTAGTTAACATGTCAATGCAATTAACCCTCCAATTATCCCCATAGCTACTAGCAGTATACAGGAAAGTCATCATGTGATAACCTGCCTACCAACTGCTTCCACCACCCCCTCTGACCTTAAAGGGGCAGTTTGTAGGTGCATAAATATTTGTGTAAGTGAAAGGTTCTTGTGACCCAGACTGGGTCATTGCAAAGACTGAAGAGGGAAGGGTGGAGTTCTGCCTGTCTGTGGGATACACCACTCAAGTAAGATGTGAGACCTCTCAGTACATTTACACTTTTCTCTCTACCTCTATTTAACCCTTCTTGTAAGTTCTTTGTTGACGCCACCAAGCTATTATGCTGTTTTCTTAGACAAGGAGCTTGGCACCCAACAATATTATTATTAACATGCATTCCAGGAGGAGAAGGTACCAGTAACTATTCTCTTAGTTGCCTCGTGCTACAGGTATCAGGCTTAGAACTCAGGTCAAATAAACACCCTGTGGCTTGATTGCACCAATTCCTCTTTCAGGGAGAGTGTAGTCAATTTTAGGAGCAGAGTGTAAGAGAGGACATGGCCACCTTTTGTAACCATTAGCGTTCTACAACTCATTAAGAGATAACTTTGACTCAGCCTCTGCTTCAACTCATTGTTAATTTATTAATCTTGACAGGCAAGACAGATGTTGCATCATTGCTTTTACAGAATGGTGCTGACATTAATGCACAGACCAATGGAAAACAGACTGCACTTCATTTTGCTGCCAGTGGAGTTGGCGGAACCACAACTTTGCAGTTGCTGCTGTGCAACAGGTGGTTGGATGCTAGTCTTCTTAACATGCAGAATGAAACAGCATATGATATCGCTAAACGGAGTGGAAGACATCATGAACTGTTTGAAATTGTTGAAGATTGTATAAATGTTAAATAAAGATTAAAATATTTTCTTTTCTTCTTGTTACGTGCCTTTGTTAACAACATTGATGAAGTGTGTTTTTCAACCTGACAAGTATTTTTAGCAAGTCTTACAAGCCATATACACAACATGATTATTCACCAAGCTTGTTTGGTCAAGGTGGCTGGATATTGGCCAAGTTCCTTTTTTGCATTTTTATGAGCTAAGACGACCCTAGCAAAACTAGGCCAATAGTCTAACCATCCTGACCAAACAATTTAATAGTCAAAGACTGATATTTTTCAAATGGCCCAAAATGATTTTTTTTTTTGGGAACAATGTGGGATTGGAGATCTGGGGTGATCTGGGGTGATCTCCCATATAGAATAATATTATTTAGCTTAACTTGTCACATTTTTTTTCACTTTCAAACCCCTCGACCATGCCCTTTCCCTATCTCCGTATCAAAAAAAATGATGCGAGGGTTAAGTCCTGGGTGTCCTGTGCAGCACACTTTAGGGTGTCATACACAAAATACCTGGTTGATAAGTTGTTCGTGGGCTCAAATTCCTCTTCAATATGGCGGCAAATGTTCGTTCTTTGATCATTGACTTATTTGAAAGCCCCGATGGAACAGTTTATGCGATTCTTATTGCCACGTTTATTGTCGTTCTGACCACAGGTTTGTGTTTTGAAAATTCATAGTGTTTTGCCGACTATTTGTAGTAGGGAACTGTTTACTTTGGTACGACATTTTCTACGATTTACTTCTTTTAGTTTTTGTTTAAATTTGATGACGTGTTTGGCTGGCCATTAATTTAAAGCACAGAAAAATAAGCTATTTGGAAATTGCCATAAATCTCTCTTTATTTATTTCGAACACATTTGGGGTTGGGGGGGGGGGGGGGGCTTAATAGAGATGGGAGGTTATTTGAGACGTGTGGCTTATTTAATTTATTAAGAAAGACAATGGTATCAGTTCTCCATAAAGAACTAGAATACAAAGTGGGAAGGTTTGAAGGTCATGCAGCCGAGGATGAAGAACAATTCTGAACTTCCAGTTGGTGAATAAACCATCCTGGATCAGTCCACACAAAGTTTCACAGTCGTGATTAATTAATACAGTCTATCATTTATTGGTGAAGAGTAATAAGGGGGAAGGGAGGGGGGGAGGGCTGAAAAGAGAGGGGATCTTATTAAATTTTTTCCCCTGAAAATGGGGGACTTATTAAAGAGGGGACTCTTAATAGAGGATTTATGGTAAATAAGTTAACTTTTGTTTTTTTGTTTTTTATTGAAAGCATTGGCAGGTTTGTGATGTACCTAGTACGTTTGTTGCCTTTGTACAACAGCTATGTGCAATAAAAAATATATATTTTACTTAAGTTATCAAAATTTTGTTCTCACAGTGGAGGCTAGATTTTTTTGTATTTATTTTTTGTCAATCGTGGATTATAATTTTATTTCTAATCATTCTTTGGCAAAGCAAAGGAGAAAAGACTAGCAAATCCATTCAATTTAATCGATAGTAGGAGACCTACAACCACTGCTTAATTTGTCTTGATCTATAAATAGTGCAAGACTGCTCGCTATTTCCTTAGCTAGCTCAATACATTTAAAGCTGCCAAGTAATCCTGTGATAGTGGCATTGAAAGTTTTTCATTAGTTTTTCATCATTTTCTTTTCAGTGCTGTATCTTTCGTTTGGTAGAAGTCAATCAAGAGGCCGCAGTATCATCTTGGTTGGACTAACAGATTCAGGAAAAACACTTCTTTTCAGCAGAGTGAGCTAGTTTCCTGTTCTTTATGGGTCAACTGCTTTCTGCCCTTTTAAACCTTATACTTACATGCATACAGTAGAACCCCGTTAACTCGAACTCTGAAGGGAAATGAAAAACACTTCAAGGTAGCAAGGGTTCGAGTAATCGGGGTTGATTGCAAAATTCAATTTTCAGTGTTAAAAATTTATAGTTACTGAATTTCCAGCACTTCTGGCAGTGTATGGTGCTACTGCAGTGCCATTAAGTTTAACTTATTTTATCAGTAATGTTAACATGATGAGGCATTTTTTATGATAAAATGTGATCTGTTCATTGCACTATTATTAAAATCAAATTGGTGTAAGTGTTAGCCAGTGTTAGGTGTAGTGTTTTTATTGATTTATACAGCAAGAAGAGCTAATTGCCCTAATGGGATCCGAATAGAGTTACAAGAACGGGAAGTTGAGTTATTGGTGTAATTTTCAGTGACTTTGTTATCAAGGGAAAGGAAATTTAGATTGAGTTAGCGGGGAATTTGAGTTATCCAAGCTCGAGTTAACCGAGGTAAAAATGAAACAAAAAAATGGGACTTAGTTCAAAGGGAGTTGGGACCTAGTTGTTATTGGCGTCCTTACTGTGTTACATACTGAACAGGGTTAGCATCCATATGCACACTGGCAGCTGTGCATACAGTGGGAATGATACATTATCTCTCAAAACGTGGAAAAATGCATAAATTGAAAAAAAACATTTGTTTATTTACTGAAAGCATTTTTATCATTAAACCACGACGACTGATAAAACTGTATTTTATATATATTTTTTAAGCTCTCTAGTGGAAAACATGTGATGACCCACACATCCATAAAAGAAAACAGAGCCCAACATAAGGTTACAGGAAACCAGGTAATCTCTAAAAAACTGACTAACAGTAATATTATTGGTTTATTAATATTTACTTGTATTTAACATATGCAATCAACGCCCAATGACTAATTTTTTGTTCTCTTTTTTTAGCTCATTTTTCTACCTCAAAAAATGAATCATCAATAATCATCTTTTTTCTTATGATTTAAGCTTTATTTGTTAAAATCTGAAGGTGTTATATTGTGCCTAAGAAGTCAGACATTCCTCTTTCCTCACCATTACCACAGGAAATGAAGCAAAACTAGATGGGAAAAATTTATGATTTGATTTTAACATAAATGATGGACGACCTTTGATATTAGTCCTACGGTACCCAGTTAAATCACATAAGCTTAAAGGTTAGCATAGCTGTGGCTACCATGCATAGTAAAATCCCTTTTTAGTTTTAATCTATGAGGAAAAGTTTATTTATTTATTTATTTATTTATTTATTGATAACATTTGTAAAACTGACATTTTTCATTATTATTCTATTCACAGAGTGGTAAAATTCTAGACTTGATAGATCTCCCAGGTCACGAGAAACTTAGAACAAGGTTTCTAGAACAATACAAGGACCAAGCAAGGTCAGTAGTATCAATAGCCAAGGACAGAGAGCCAAAATCCACAACAGCTGTTACAGCTGAGCTCTCATGGTGTGTTCAAAGTGGGAAACTAAGAAGAGTTAAAAACAAGATAAACTTTGTCAAGGGCCCTGGAATAGGTGTTATTGGGATTGTTCTCCTCTGCCATTTTTGTTTGGTGGCCTGTTCCCTGGCAAGAAAAACTTAGCCGATTAATTTTTTTATCCAGCTCAGAGGTCAGTTGAGATGACGTCACACAACAGTTAAGATCACCAACCAAGCTTGCATCAGTTTTTGGTGCACCTAAAGAAGTATTTTGTGATGAACTATACTCAGTCGCAACCACAATTTAACCAAATAAGGAAACTAAACTAAAAGAAACTAGGCAAAGCAAGGAAAGTAAATTCTGCATGGTTCAAACAGATTATCCCAGTCAATAGCCTGAAAAAAAAGCTGACATGTTGCAATGCTATCACTTGCTTCCCCACGAAATGATATTTGAGAATGGACTGCCGTAATTCCATACTGTTGACGTATCACTAGCCACATTTGGGTAGTGCTTCTGATTGGTCATGCAGCAAGGGAAACTTTCTTCAATCAATCAGAAGCCCTGTATCCAGACCTGGGTAGAACACTTCATCAGTTTGGAATTTCGGCAGTCATTTAGGGTTTGAAATTAAAAAAATCGTCAGGTCACCTTTTGGCAACCAACTGGAGAAATATAGTTGCCAGATACAAATTTTTAGTCACCAGTTTGTATAATGTAAAATGAAACAGCTCAGAGTATGGCACAATCCATGAGATTTGATTGTTTGAAAATCTCACGGACATTAGTCAGTATAAATTTGGAGGTAAACTGGCTTGTTTATGCTATTAATTTTGGCACTTTTTTATGACAAAAGCAAAGCATGATAAGATGAAATGTTTGTTTTAACTTTACTCATTTAATTTAAATCTAACTCATAGAGAAATCTGGTCGCCAAAGTGGCAACTAAACCAGAATTTTTAGTCGTATTGGTGACGGTATCAGTCGTAATTTCGAGCCCTGTCATTCCTCAGACGTCATTTCACTGGGAAACTAGGGGAAATGTCAGCTGTTTTCTAAGGTTACCCAGTCGAGGGTCATCTTAGTTTCCTTGCTCCTTTAGGTTGTAGTATGGAAAGAGAAGGAAACAGAATCATCACCAAAGTTAAATATTACCGTCATGATTTTCGAGACAAATTACTCTCATTAGTGGTACATGAAATGTATGGAAATTAGTGGGCTTTAAGCAGGGTTCATTTCTTTGGTTATACTACTACATGGGAAATTTCTGCAATTTGATTGGCTTAGAGCAGTGGTATTTCAGCTTAATTTGAAATACCTACATGTGAAAATTACACACCTTTTGCAGTTAGTGGTATAAACAAATAATAGCATGATTTGTACGTGATATTTGGCTTAAATACCACTCATGATATTTCAAAATTGTCTCAAATTTCACTCGCCTAATGGCTCATGAAATTAATTTTGAAATATCACTTGTGATATTTATGCCAAATATCACTACAAATCATGCTATTACCTATACTAATAGCACCATTAGAAAATCATGAGGTTTTTACTGCTTCAGTAAAATGTGACTTCAAACTGACACATTCTAGTTGCGTTTTATTAAATTAATAACTGTTTTTTTCCAGAGGAATCCTGTTTGTTGTTGATAGTGTGAACTTTCCAAGAGAGCAACGAGATGTTGCTGAGTAAGTACCCCTCCAGTTGATAGTAACAAAATAATATATAGAAGGACTATATTGTAAGTTCAGTATACTCTAATACAGAGTTTTGGAGTCTCTCTTCAGATTAACTGTCTGGTTACGTAAAGGCCTAAGTATTTTCAATTCCGGACTGTAAATTTTTTTCTTTACCTGGGATTTATTGGTTCTGGGACTCATGATTTGTTCACAAGAAGAGTCCCAGGACTCACCATAACTGTTTGCAACAAAATCACTGCTAGTGGTGTACCATTGATGTATGTCTTAGAGATTGTTTACTGTACATATAATTTTAAAGTAATATGGTACCCTGCTCGCAACCTCATTTCTAGAGGTCCGTTCCACTCAACCCACAGAGCGAGAGAGAGTAACAACTAGGAGTGTACCCTGGGATTATGGTTGCCCCGCTCGCAGAGGTTTCTTTCAGGCATGGTTTTTAGCATGTACGAAGTAGTTTTCCCTGCTGATATTCGAGTTACGTAAGAGAAGCCAACTACGCGAATCACACAGGGACACCTAACAACGTTTTTTCTTTTAAAAAAAACTGTTCGAAGGAGCAAATACTGCCTGAAAATTTCTAAAAGACAAGAAAGGCTGAAAATTTCTGGATAGCCGTTCCATTCGTCAGATATTTGGAGTTTTTCCACTAACTTACCTACGATTTTCCGATGTTGTTTTTCACATTTTAATACCTTGTAGATATTGCCATTACTGTTAAGAAAATTTCTCTTGAGACTTTCGGCATAAAGACAAAATGTCCCCTAGGATTTTTATAATGAAAGCATGGCTACCCCGTGTCCCCGGAATTTCGAAGGCTGCTGCAGCCAACAGTTTAGAGACGAAATAGCGACTTTCGAGACGACAAAAGTTCCCCAAATACAATTTGAACAGATACAGTTTTGAACATTATCCAAAAATAAACCAGTTTAGAGGAGGAACGGGGCACCCAACGGCAAATTCTGTTCGGAAGACGATTTGAGAAAAGCATTTGTTGCTTGCTTGCTTGCCTGCCTCTCCTAGGATTTTAGAACATCGACAAAAACATAGTAAGTTTTTATCCCTATAATTTTCGGATCAAACTTTAGCTAGGAAAGGAACGGATGCCTATATTTACCGTTTAAATACTAAAATACGTTCAACAATGCTATGTTAAGTGGTTTTGGACTATATCCTCGTTGGGTGCCCCTGGCTATTGATTCCCTGAATAACTTCGTATGTGCTAAAACCATGCCGGAAAGAAACCACTGCTAAGAGGGTAAAGAAATTGTTGACTTTCCATTGTTTTTTTCAGGGTCATGTATGACATTCTTGGTGATAAGCGGTTTTCCAAGTCTGCGGTATCCATTCTGGTCGTTTGCAATAAACAAGGTTGACCAGTTCTTGACGAGGAAAATTTCAACGGAGCCTCTCAGAAAAGATTTCGTGGCCAAAATATAACAGTTAAAAAATATATAATTAAGACAAAATTTTTTCTGGCTGAAAATGCAAAGTTTGTTCTTGTGTCAAATGTTTACGTTATCAAACTTGTTTTAACATAATTAAGACGTTGATAAGTTTGTTCAAATGTTTGTTTCAAACCAAATGTATTCTGTTGTTTCACCAAATGTACTTTTTTCACCCATGTTTTCATTGATTTGATTACGTCTTTTTTTTCTCTTCAGACCTTACAACGGCCAAATCACAAAGTGTTATAAAATCTCAGCTGGAAAAAGAAATGTTAGTAGTGCTTTAAAATTTTAGTATGATTTTTTTTTTGCAGTAACGTTACCGGTGTTATGGCTCAAAGTTTTGCGTTTGTGGATACATTTTTGAGCTGTGATCATTCAAATGAAAACTGTTAAGTGGTACTTTCTTGAGAAATTGTTTTCTATGCTATGTATATGGTGGACCTAACAATTCGGATCAGACGGTCTTTCTCTAACCACTAGGTTTACTACTTGGATCATTTGAAACCATGTCTAGGTTTACTAAACTCATTTGGATCATTTGTAAACCAATTTTCAAAATGTCCGTCGTCAGTTTCATTAAACTTCGTTTTGGTCTTTCGCGGTAAACAAAACTCGTTTACAACTCGAGAAATCGACTTTAAAATGCGTAAATGCTCGAAAACAACTGTGAAATTTTTTAAAATGCGGGGAACTAAAACGTCTGTGAATTTGGCTTCGTGCAGGTAGACATTTTCCTGAAGAAGCGAGTTGCTTCGTTTTATCAAACGGTGTCTTGTATTAGTTCCAGTTGAGTGTATACTTTTTAAAAACCATTCTTGTGATTATGTTTCCAGTAACACTCTCCGAGTCACTCGAGCCGCTGCCCTGCAAGGTCAAGATGGCGGCTCAACCACTACCGCTGGGTATGTCGGGAAGAAAGGCAAGGATTTTGAGTTTGGTCACGTGTTACCCATCCAGGTGGAATTCGCGGAATGTAGCGCCAAAGGACACTCGGAGGGAGAGGCTGATTTAGATGCAGTAGAAAAATGGCTTGAAAAGATCGCTTGAAAACTGACATCGCTATGTGCAGGAAATCAAAAATATTGTAAAAGAGGAAAAATAAAGTCTACTTTAAATTATTAGATTTGCTATCTTCCTTCCCACACTTTCCACCACCCGAGTCGAAAACGTGTTCACTTGCAAGAAAATGTCATGGTCTCCGCGCCATTTTTCTTTTTAAATAATTCGGCTTTAAGTAGAAAATGTAAACGTTGAGTGCAATGAACAACATCGCGTGTGAGCCGTCTGGACGGCTGATCACTAAACAAATAATGATTATTATTAAAAACTGAGTCATTGGATAAAGCAATTCTAGAGATCTGATTGGCTTAGCCATCATGGTTTTTGTATATTATTTCATGCTCTCCAAATATGGTAACTGTACGCGTCTGCTCAAAATTAAAAATAAGCTGAAAGTCAATTGTTTTTACAAATAAAGTCGGGAAGAATTCTCGATATTTTGTGGGCGTTTTTAATAAAACAATTATTCCACTCGCGCTTGTTGGTTATGAGATGATTATGGCCAACTGGGCGCAACGCGCCTCTTTGGTTACTACCATTCATATCCAACGCGCACTCGTGGAATAATTGTTAAATATACAAACAATTAGTGGGTAATGTGACATGATCTCTTAAGTATGCGTAATATTTCTTTTCATTTCAAGGTAAAGCAAGATTGTCTTAAAACAACGGCTTATGACAAGCTTATTAGGGTGCATATTGAAAGAAAGAAGTTTTCATTAAATTGAGCTTATTCGTTGGCTTAGTGCTATGGTAACTGCCGCCTTAATTGCCGTATTAGCATTTGAAAGAAACTCAATAAAAAATTCAATACAAACATGGATTTCTTTCACACAATGAGCATCCTAAATGGTTATGATAACTAGGTAAAGCGCTCTGCTTTCATGCATTTAATGTTACTGTATTTAACACCATAAGATTGTCGATAGAATTATGAGCGAAGAGGCAGCGACTGACTCACAGGTGTCGGCGGAAAACGGCATAGCAAATATCGCAGATGATGCCGGGCTTAAGAGCAGCCAAGATGAAAACCAGGAGACCATAAAATCGCGAGAAACAGAAACAAATGAACTCAACACGGGAGAAATTGTTTCAGGTTGTAGTACAGCCGAAGTTGATTCCGATATTTCTTCGAATTGTAGCGAGGTTATGGGTAAAGACGAAAACTTTCAACTTGGAAATACAAGCATATCACTTAAAAATTCGGTTTCTACGGAAAGTAGCTTCGTGACAGACGAAGGAAAACACGATAATTTACCGGTTGTGGATTCTAATGATGACGCGGCCGCTGGGAAATATGAAGAGTCAAATATTCCAGGGAATGAGATTGATCCTTTCACCCAATCTGTGAAATATTTGGAAAAGCATCAGATTTTAAGACTGTTTCAGGTGAGGATGTTACGGCCTGTGTTAAAATGATTATAAATCTCTACACTTATAAAAGGAACTAATTTAAATTCAGTCTAGAATGTCAGTTATATAACTGGCAACACATTTAACTTCGCAATGTTGAGGGCTTGGGCTTTAGATTGATGGCCGTTTTCTTACCGTGACATCAGAGTTCATTTTTTTGTAACTTGCGGAATACAACTTGACGACGAAAGATTAACCCTTAAAAGATTCCAGCTGAACTAGAAACGGTAGCATATTCCAGATTATTTTCTTTCAAGATCGTATAATTGTTTGGTGTGCAGTAGAACCCCGGTAACTCGAACTCTGAAGGGAGACGAAAAAGAGTTCGAGTTTACAGGGAATTCAAATTATCAAGGTAAATTTCAGCGAAATTTTGATCAAGGGAAGGGAAATTTAGTTCGAGTTAGCGGGGAATTCGAGTTATCCGAGTTCGAGTTATCGAGATTCTAATGTATTTTGCTATTTCTGAGTGGCTGTACTCTCTTTTTTTCACAATTATTTCCTTGTCTTTTACACTTTTTGTATCAAGAGCACAAGAAAGATTGTTGTTGTTGTTGTTGTTGTTGTATTTTCTGCACCAAGCGGAGACCTTTTCCATTTTAAACTGACTATAAGCTACAGTCAACTTACAGCTCTGTAGGACCCCAGTAGGGATAACTGAAATTGAACGGAGTGACTGGGCAAATAGCGTATCGTGCGCCGGTAAATTAAATGACGGTTACGAGGATATATGCTTCCGTTTTTTTTTTTGCCTTTGTTGTCTTACATCATTTTCCATGTTCTGATCGAACGTCTATGACTGATTGACTTTGGTTGACTAGTTGACTAGCGGAACTGAGCTATAAACCGCGAACCGATCGAAAATGGCAAACTAATCCGGCCCAACCTTAAACCTTAACTTTCACCCTTGTTTTCATGCAGAACTTTGCTGCTCAAATCGTGTACAAGAGACCTGAAAATCCTCTTCAGTATTTAGTGGAGGAGTTGGAAAGACGACGTGAAGAGACCGCCACGGATAGCCGCCGTACTGAGGATTCTGGGTTGTTGTCATGACTCATTACTGACCACTTTGAGTGACATATCTGTTTTCTTCCTCCCAAAAAACTTTGGCATTGCAGATATATTTTGCTTCTCGTACCTTTCTTGCATTGATAAAAGATTACAAGATTTTTCTAGTAGCAGGAAAGACCTCTGCAAGCTTAAGGAGATCTCCTCTTTATTACAATCGCTATCCTTGGTGTAAACGGCGATGCCTAGCCTGTGTACAACCGACCCCTCCCCTAAAAAAACGGAAAGAAAGAAAAGTCTCCAAGATTTTGTTTGAGAGGCCTGGGACTGTACACAGATTAAACGATACCCTCAGTGTTTAATGGCTCGTACTACCAGAGAGGATCTTGATTGAGGCAAGAAAGGGGGAGGGCTTTACAAATTAGTGTCAGAACGCACAAGGTCCAGAAAGGAAAAAAAAATTTTGTTGTAAATGTAATATAATAAAAACATTATAAAGTTGAATAAATACGTCAACATTGATTAACTGATTTTATTCGATCATTGCTGCCTTTGTTTGCGATAACAAAAAAAAATATGTAAACAACAGGTACCCAGGGTACCCAGGGATAAAGGACATCTAAATTCAATCGATTCAAAGTAACCGTCGACTGCGAACTGCTTTGCACCAAAAAAAAAGGAAAAACGGGCGATTTAGGGGTACATAGCATATAATTGCATTTTTAAAATTCTATGTCATTGAGCTACTTTTCTAAAATTGCCCTTTATTTCAATGACGTGGGGCCACTCAGTCATATGCAAATTTGTGGCACATACAGTCCCTGGAGGGTGGTCTCCTAGCAAATTATGCGCAGATTTGAATATTTGTTTCTCATTCTACACGCGCGCTGTAACTTTGAGTTTCAGGAACGTTTTCTCAGTCAAAGTTACAGGTTGTTGTAACAGCATCACCGCCAAACGACCAAAGCGAACGAAATCACAAAACGACTCCAGCTTTTGGGAGCAGAGACTCACTTCTTGAGAGAAACCGGCACGAGGTCGACAGACCGGAGGATCAAAACTCAGTGTGCAATATCTTGACTAGAAGCCAGCAGCTGGAAATCGAGTTGGACACTGAGCTATAGCCATCATCGTAGTTTTTACAGATCCTCAAGATCCTTAACCGAACACGATCAACTCAGCGAGTTACCGGCGTATTGAAGAACACGAGGCCTCACAAGTTGATGATTAATGGCGGAACTGTTAATTAGTGGTCACACAAGCTACGTTCCAGATGACGGACTAAGCGCCAATCAGTTGTTTAAAGAAGGCGAAGGTTTAACTTACGATGATTTCCTTATTTTGCCAGGATTCATCAATTTCACAGCAGATTCCGTTGATCTTACATCGGCTCTCACCAAAAAACTTACTCTCAAAACCCCGCTTGTAAGTTCACCCATGGATACTGTTACTGAGTCAAAGATGGCTATCGTTATGGCACTTCACGGAGGAATAGGTAAACTGACTATTTGTAGTTTAATACAAATGTTGATATTTTAGTCAAGTGACTCTTAAGTTACCTCAGTGAAAATCATGAAATACGAGGTCTCCAGAGTAAACATTTACGGGCTTGAAGGAGGGTTTCGGTCTGACAGGTACATTATAATAATAGCCTGCGAACTGCAGACGTATTTCCGGCCGTCGGTTCACGGAGGGAGAGAAACAACGACCGGAAATACGTCTGCAGTTCGCAGGCTAGCGTTCTAATAATTTGGCAGTAAAATTCACAACCATATTATTGCTTGTACACTCTTTTCTAAAAAGTAAATGGACGTTAGGCTTAACAGGATTATTGAAAAATCTACTGGAAGAAAATTATGGAGGAAGTGAAATGAGAAATAGAGACAAAGCGCAAGATATCACGTAAACCGGCTTCTGTTTGTAAATCTCCACGTTGTGTCCATGGCTTTATCAAAATATTAGTATGACTCTTATTTTCAGAGTCTTTCAGAGTCAAGCAAACAGTCTTAACTGTAAATCACTCAGCTCAGTGCTTAATTGATTCTAATTTTTATCGACACGCACTGTCGCTTAAGTTTTAGCAGGTAGGTAACGGTAAATCGCGTGACAAGGGCTGCACACTACTTGCGTACTGAGTGGGGAGGGGACAAGACTGTGGATTGACGCTCTCCCCATTCTTCCTCCTTTTCATCGCTCGCCTTACTTTTCACGCGCGCTCCATCATCTGAACGCCGGGTAGTCTAAAATGGCAGTCTCGATCCCCTTCCAGGTGGAGGGGTGGGGGCAGGGGGGTTTTGGGCGATCTCACCCGAGACCCCACGGTTTAGTGGGCGGAATCGGCTGAAATTAAAGGCTAAACGCTTAGAACGGAGTTCGAGTTTCCAAGATCCTTGCGTTTTTTATGACGCTGACATGAAGTACTCCCTCTCCCTTCTCCTCACCTCTGTGTAGTCTGAACTGTCATCCCTCTCTTCGACCAACCCCCCCAGCGGGTGACAAGGCCCGGCTCTTTCCTTGCCGCCAGTTGGAGGGTGGGGCGAACAACCGGATGACATTTCAGACTAACCGCCGTGATGCCGGCTTTGGTGTCAGAAGCCGGTAATACATGGCTCTTGATGTTGTATATACTGCACTACAGTGGGCCTCTTTATTTTCAACGATCTTGTAATTACAGATTTGAGTACCAGCTCTTTTTTAGGTTACCTTCCTCTTTCATTCTTTTAATGCATTTTCCAGGGATAATTCATCACAACTGTAGCGTTGAATTTCAAGCTAATGAAGTGCGCAAGGTCAAAAAGTTCAAACAAGGATTTATCAACGATCCCATAGTCCTTAGCCCAAGCCATTCAGTGCGTGACGTCATGGACATCAAGAAAAAGTGTGGTTTTTCAGGCATACCACTGACCGGTAAGGCTCAGTTAGTGGAATGTGAACGCGGCTTTACATGGCGATGTCTTCAATCCTATCTTTTTCACATTCTTAAATAGAGAGGATCTCCTTTTTATGGACAGAACTGGCTTGATTTTTGTTAAATTAACATAGACTCAAAAAACTTCTCTTTTGAACTTTTTTTGAGCAGTTTTCCGCGGGTGCTTAGGCCCGGTTCTCACAAGCGACGTGAACGCGAGCAAAAGCACGAGAGTTGTTCTCACCGATCCAAACGCAGTTATAGCAAGATACGCACGCGCATTTGAGCACTTTGCATTCTAACATGACGGACGAAATTTTCTCCTTGTAATCCTTGCGTTTACACTTTCCGTTTGCCGTTGTCTCAGGATGCAAGCACAAGACCGGGCCGACCCAGGAAATGGAACAATTTTCCATTTATTACGTCGTCGGCACTTGCCTTTACGTTTATGTTGAGGTAGATCACACGTGTGTTCTCTCGTGCTTGCTCCCCATGTTGATAATGATGATGATTAATATTTATTATTATTATTATTATTATTATGGGGTTGGTAGTGGTGGTGGTGGATGACAGTGATGATAATGTTGCGTTGTTTGGTTGTTACTACAATGGGGGTAGTAATTAACGAAAATGGTATTAAGAACTGAGACCGTATCGCCTATTCCGATAACGTATAGCGTTTACTTCGTAACAGAGTTTGAAAGTCAACAAACACGCTGATAATTCTTCTGTTTCTTTCTAACTTAGATACAGGCTGTCTTGGCGGTGTTTTAGTTGGAATCGTTACTTCGCGCGACATTGATTTTCTCAGCCAGTCTCAGTATGATATGAAATTGGACGAAGTAATGACTCCGAGGGATCAGCTAATTGTAGCTAAATCAGGATGCACGTTGAGGGAAGCGAATCAGATTTTACAGAAAAGTAAAAAGGTATGTCTGGGTTTCCAAGGTGGCTGCAGTTAAGTTACTCAGTTATAACACCTTTAACTTGAAGTGAACGACTCCATGGTCTTTTCTTATGCCTCTCAGCCCTTAGCCTGCAGAACAGACATTAGGGAGAACAACATTGTTTTAAGCTACGGACGCCGTGAGGTTAAACGTGCCTTGACGATTTAAAATTTGTATAGCTTAGCTTCTTTACTCTTATAGAGGCAATTTGACTGAAAATTTGGGCAAAATCATCGTCCAAAAATGAAAAAAGGCTACTTCCGGTTGACGTGCGTTGCTCAAAAACGTTGTTGCTTAAGCTCACTATTGTTTTGCCGTGTTATCCTAGCGAGCGAAGGCCAACCTGAAAAACCTCAAAAAAATGGCGCCTGTAAAGCCCGAAAAAGTGAGTCCTAATGCTGCTGAGTTTACTCTCTTTACCTCTAAAGGAAGTTCCATTGGAGAGCAATGAAAATAAACAGAACTGGAAAACAATTAAAGTACAAAACTACAAGCCCAGATGAATATGCATTTCAAGTTAATCTTCATCTACGCTATTGTCCATAACATTTTCCACTGAATTTGTACTTCATAATTAATAATGTACCTGTTTTGGTTTCCCAAGCCTCTGTTTCAAAGCGAGGCTAAGCGCGAAGCCACTGATATTGAAATACTTTTTATTCTAATGTAAATAAAAACTCATTTTCACAAGAGAGGGTTTGCACTAAGCTTCGTTTTGAAAGTGAGAGTGTGTAGAACTCGGAAATTGCTTATAGAACTAAAAGCGCATTTTCCCGTTCCCTGGGAACGAGATTGGTTCAGCCGACAACCAGGACGTTTCTCGCGTGGACGAAAAGAGACATCTACGTCCGCATTGTTAATGCGATAAATCCCCTTGTTTAGTCTTCCTCTTAGCTTCGTAGGACAATGAACCTATTGTAGCTTACCAGTTAACACAGTAGCTTTCCACCTCTCTACAGGCCAAGTTACCCATTGTGAACGAAAATGGAGAACTGGTATCATTGATAGCTCATACAGATCTTAAGAAAAACCGCGAATATCCACTGGCTTCCAAGGACAGTAAAAAACAGCTACTTGTTGGGGCTGCAGTGGGCACGCGTGAGGAGGATAAACGTAGAATCGAGGCTCTCGTGCAAGCTGGTGTCGACGTGGTTGTGCTAGACTCGTCCCAGGGAAACTCGGTATTTCAGATAAATCTCATCAAGTACATCAAAGAAAATTTTCCTGATCTACAGGTACGTAGCTTTCTTCTTCAATTACAAGCGAGAATCAGATTTATGATAGACAATTCGAATTTGGCTGTAAGGAGGCTGTTCCAGAACTTAAACAATCGGGAACACCAATGAAAATGGAGACCAAATTTCAAAAATGGTTCGGAAAGTTGAAACTTAAAGTGCATTTGTCTTTATTGTGAGCTGGTAGCCTATTATGCCTACTGGCATGATGACAGGAGCCTATTGATGAGCAATATTGATAATGATGATGACTACAAAGGGGGAACGAAAGTGATTGACAAAATCACACCAAAGTTTTCGCTCTATCAATAGCAAAAGTATATCACTTGTGGAAAGACGAATTAAAGAGAAAACCGATTGAAAATCTTAAAGAAATATTAAGGGAAGAGGTGATAGAAAAGACGATACCTGAAAAACTGCGTTTTGTGAAACATCATACGAAATCTCTGCAAGAGACGGCTGGGATCGTGCAAATGACGTCTTAAAAAGCCACCCTATTGAGAGGGCTGCTATCTCCTTCGGAGAGAAAAAGGGTTAATTATGTACTAAATGTACTGATAAATTGTCAACGTACTTGTTGCAGATTGTAGCGGGAAATGTTGTTACCGCCGCCCAGGCGAAGAACCTCATAGACGCCGGCGCGGATGCACTGCGCGTAGGAATGGGCAGCGGTTCTATTTGCATTACCCAAGAAGTGATGGCAGTCGGTCGGCCCCAGGCTACCGCTGTGTTTCGAGTCGCGGAGTACGCGCGCAGGTTTGGTGTCCCTGTGATAGCTGATGGCGGGATAAGATCTGTTGGTCATATCATCAAAGCGCTTGCGCTCGGAGCGTCAACAGTCATGATGGGCTCACTTTTGGCGGGAACTTCAGAGACACCTGGAGAATACTTCTTCGCAGATGGAGTTCGGTTAAAAAAGTACCGAGGTGAGTTCTGTCCTGGAGCCGAAATGTCAGAAATCTCAAATTTCATGGAAAATATAATTTCGGACGTTTGAGAGACATGGGAACGAATTATTCAGAAACCAATATTCTGACGGCGCGCGGGATTTGTAGGGTAGTTTTCGGACTATTTAAGGTTTTGGCGCGAGATATGTGTCATTCTACGTCAGCTCAGTCGTCGTGATCGTTATCATTTTTTTGTAAAGCTTCTTTTCCGATGTCTCATATTCTTTCGAGTTCGGAATAACCGTGAGGGTTTGGGTACTTAGTTAAGGCATTTTTAAGCTTTTGGTCCTGTACTCCTTTGAAATGAGTTCTTTTTGCAGTATTCTACATTGTTATAACGTATATAGCCTTCTATGTTTTCACTTGAGGCTTTTGCCCGAGGTTCCGAGTCACTGTATTAGCAGGGGAATACGTTTCCACAGATTTTTTTGGCCACTTCTTAAGGGTGTTTTTTTTGTGATTTTTCGTATATGTCTTGGCACATCAATCTAACCTAGGAACATATGATGGTGTTTTGCTATAGCTATGGCAGAGGTGTAACTTAGCTAGGATGCATCTACACCAGATGACTGTCTGACGCATCCTAAATAAACTTTCACATTGAATGTCTCGTGTTCGTGAAAGTCAGAATAGCACATGGTACCATGTGAAAGAAGCGCTTAAGAGGTTTTCGAAGGTTTTATTCGGGGTTTTATTAAATATGATTAGTCAAAGCGTAGAAATATTTATTTGATCTACAGACTCAAGAGTTAAAACTATTTCCTTTTTTCCATGATTGACTTTGACAGTGAAAGAGTAAAATTGTTCCAATAATCGGCTAGAACAGTTTTTTTCTTTCTTTGGCTTTGAAAAAATGCGTAGACACTTATAGAAAGAGTGAGTTATGCTATTCTGAAGAGCAAACGGGAGTAAATGCAAACGAAACGTTCAGTCAGAGAGGGGCAGAGTATGATTTTAAGCAAGTGGCGGAAGAGATAAGCAAAGTGTTAAGCGAATAATGCTTAAGTGGTTGAAGGAGCTTCTATCTCGTAGACCGCGATCATCTTCCATGACTGGATTGCACAGACTTTTTTGGAATCAGCAAATTTCGCGGGAAAAGAAATCGACCTCTCAAACGTTGTGCCACGTCTCCGAGCACGTTGGATCCTCCGATCGAGCCGAATTTGGAATTCATACAAAAGAACAGGAGGAAAAAACAAAACAAAATCGTAAATCTCATTTTACGACTTATATACTTGTGAAATCAGATACAGCTAAAAAGGTCGTACTCCAGAAGCACTTGTTTGAAGAACGCATTAAAAACTACTTAACCCACTTTGAAAGGTAAAAGTACTCAAAGTTAATTCCTTAAAACAGAACAGAACCATGAAAACTGTCTATCAAAAAAGGTTCCATATGGATAGTGATACCATGAAGTAGCTATAGCCTGCTTAAAACTTAGAACTACATGAACATTTGGCGTATTATGATAAGCAGTTGGGTGAAGGTAAACAAGTCAGCACAAATAAGGCGCTTTCCGGCACGAAATACGGGTGTCTCGTGACTAAGTATATTACTAATGGAATTTAATCTGTATTTCCGTATTAGCGTTTAAAATCTCCAGGTGGGGCGTTACAAAGTTTCAAGCTTTAAGTAGTAAGCTAAGCCTTTCTCGTTATCTGTATTCCAATAGTAGCTAATAGTGATCACTATCGGATGAACCACCTGTCAGCAAAATTGGTTATGCTAGACCGTCTGGGCGCTGTCCACAGTTCAAAAAAGTGTTTGCAGAATTTATAGTATACTGTCGTAGATACATCAGCCAAGGATGTTAAAAATGGGATCAAAACCTAACTTGAACACTAGCTCTATCAGTAACTTCCTTTCCAATTCTCGGTTTTGTTCTTACAAGGCTTATCGTTTTCCCGTTCCCCGTTCCCCGTTCCCCGTTCCCCGTTCCCCGTTCCCTGTTCTCGCTCTCCGTTTTAGTAACATCCCCTGAACAAAAAGGCGTCTTGCGCCAGCATGTGTCGAGAGAGCTTCTTTTAATTTTTTTTTTTTTTGGAAAAATGTCTTCATTTAGTTTTGTTTTTTTTTTGTGAGAAAATGTCTTACCGTTTGACGGCCCTACCGAGGGGGCGGGCAAGCCCCCTACCCCTAAAGTAGTTTTAAAAACAAAATTTCGATCTCGACGATCTTACGGAAAAGAAACAAGGGAAATGAATATTACCATGTGAGGGTACCGCCAGAGAAGTTTGAAGTGATTCGTCTCACATTAAAACGTTCTCTCGGATGCGTTTGGTTGCGTCTGAATGTTGTTCAGTACAACCTTGTTCCCCGTTCTCTCCTCCTCATCCCTGCTGCCTCTCTGGCTCCGCAGGGGAGAGAAGGATAGGACCGTTGGGACGAGGTTGTCTTTGTGTTCGTGTTACCTTGTTTTTCTCTTACGATAAACAGAGGGCAGATTTCCTTGGGAGATAATACCTGTTTATTCGACCTTTGGAATCTGCCATGGCTCTTTGCCCCAATAATCTTGTTCTCAGCTAAATCTTATGTAAAAGGACAAAGTTTTATAGGAGTGTAACCCGAGATAAGTATCGCACTTGTTTAAGCTTTTTATTATAATCACAATATTATTCTAATGGGTATCAAATGCTAGAATATTCTCATCTTAAACAGTCCCTATGTGGTCCCTATACCGTGACCTCCAATGTTTATTTTGAGGCTTAATTGAGAGAAAGTCATGATGCATCGATTTTTCAAGACCATACACTCATTTGATTACACGGAAACATTTTGTTTTCCATTTTTCTAATACTAAAATTGAAAAATTGTTTGTTTGTTTTCAAAATTCTCATCTTATAGTCGTCCTTTGTTTGAAGAAGAAAAGATACAAGTGAAATAGGAAATTTATCGAGTTGCATGCGCGGTGGAGAACAGTAATAATTTTTTGTCACAATCCGGAACTCTGGTTTTAAATGTGAGCCATTAGCATGAGATTATCGCGAAACCCAAGGGAGGTCTACTGTTAACTTGTCAACTAATGGTTTTAAGATTAGAAAGTGTAAAAGCAGACTTTAAGTACTGTATGCCTCCCGCAACTTTGTTTTGTAGTTCTCTTACATCCTAGCTAAGGCTGATTAATTGCTCTTAAACTAGATGCAACAATTCAAAAAGTTGACTGTTTACTGCTCGCGGATCTTATGACTTGTTTATAATGTGGAAGGTGTTGAATAAAACAGCTATTGGTACCAGATAGAGTGTTACAGTAATCTGTTCCACACGATGTTATTTTATGACAAATCCATTGACTCCTTTGGCATAATTTGAAATTTTATATTGGGATAAAGTTTTCTGGCGTATTGTGAACAACAGCATTAGAAATAGTGACAAATAAAGCTAATCGGGTAGAATGTTTAAGCAATATGCCACACTCCCTATGGGTTTACCGGCGTGATAACCCACGCGGGATGTTAGGAGAACACGGGAAAAGCTTGTAAATCACGAGCCGAAGGCGAGTGATTTACAAGCTTTTCGAGTGTTCTCCCAACATCCCAAGTAGGTTATCACGCCGGTAAACCCATAGAAGGTTCGGCTCGTGATTTACAAGCTTTTCGAGTGTTCTCCCAACATCCCAAGTAGGTTATCACGCCGATAAACCCATAGAAGGTGTGGTCTATTGCTTTTAAGAAATAACTTTAAGTTTTCTATGAGTTTACCCGCACAATAAACCATAGGTTTTTAACCAATCAGAACGCGCGTACTGGTTTAGTTATTTTATAAAGTGTAATAACTGCTATCTCCATTAATGTAAGTGTTGTTGTTGTTGTATTCTTTTTTCAAATGTAGGAATGGGATCACTGGACGCGCTAGAACATAGATCAAGCCAAAGCCGCTACTTTGTCGAAAGCAACCGGATGAAAGTTGCCCAGGGCGTGTCGGGGACCGTACCAGATAAGGGTAGTATCCATCGTTTTCTCCCATACCTTTATGCGGGCATACAGCACGGCTGTCAAGATATGGGTACTCAGAGTCTCTCCTCAACGCGGTCTATGATGTACCGCGGTCAACTTAAGTTTGAGAAGAGGACCACCTCGGCGCAAGCTGAAGGTGGCGTCCATGGTCTACATTCGTACGAGAAAAGGCTTTATTAACTGTCCGACTCAGTAAAAAGCCGAACCTAACTTCTCAACATTAAGTGCAAGGGGAAAGCCAAGAGCTGACGTGTAGGTGAACAAACCTAAATCACTTGCCACTCCAAGAGATGCTGCAAGACAGTTGCTAAACGAATCTTTGGATTTATGCTTCATTTTTTGCATGGAGTGGCTTTTAACTTTATACAGAGAGTGGCTGAAAACTTGAAAGGATTAATTCTGCGCGTGCGCTTGTTTAGACTGAATAGAACCGCTGGTCGGAGTGACTTTCTTAAACTGAGAGCTTGATTGAGTGAGTGTGCATAATTTGCTAACAAAGTTTGTGTTTCATTTGATAAACATAAAATTGTTTGTGTGATTTTCTATGTGAGCTGCAACCTGTTATCGCTGATTCCCAAACACTTTTCTCTTTTTTCAGTATTTTATTTATTTATTTTTTCGTTTTCTTTTACCATTTTTCAAATCGACATCAACAGAATCAGTCCTCCCGGGGCTGCGGGTTACACTTACTTTGGTATTTGGTCTATTTGCATTGAAAGCCTGATATTTTTCTAGTCAGTTCTTTAAAGAAATACTTTGAACGTAACAAACCAAATATACTTTACACGCCATTTCTGGCGATCGGAACTTAGCTAACCTGCGTAGCATGGCTGTTTTGTCGAACGCACTACTGAATAGCACGCGCCCAGCCGAAAAACCGCCATGCTACGCAGGCTAGAAATTAGCTTGTGTTTTATTCGAGTGGAAATATAAAATCATCGGTGTAAAGGAAGAGTTATGCGTGAATAAAAGTTTTACTGTTTGCATTCATTTTCAAATATGTGAATATTTTTTCGTGGACTATAGGAGATCATATTTAACTATTGCTTGATATTTGTGGGTTATGCCTGCCATGCCTTAATTACATTTTCATTTTGTTTTATGTTTGATGTTTTAAAAACTCGATTGAGCACTTCAGGCCCCTCTTGGAACAGACCATAGACACGCTGCCAGTTGATGCTGCCTTTTCTGCTTAAACTTGAAAACTGTCCTTATCATCTGCGTTAATTAATGTGCTGTTAAGTCAACAATAAGGCAAATTTAAGAGCATGAAAACAGGACTAGACTTTCCCAAAGTCCTTCGCTTCCCATCTCCTGTTCCATTATTTGGCCCAACCGCTCGCGCTTCGCGCTCGTGAAAATACTGAGCTCGACTTGTAGGCAAGTCTAAACCAGGACTTACGGGCTTTTTAAGACTGGGGTATCCCCTACAATTATAGAGTCCCTAGTGTTTTCCCCCTTATTTTAAGGTAGCCTCAAGTAAATGTTTTGTATAGTATACAATTATTCCTCAGCAAAAGCCTGTTTTCGTCTACTCGAAGGCTATTTTTTCTTCGCAATGGCCATCACATCACTCTGAACTCGAGTGGACTCCAGCCAATCAGATTATCAGTTGATTCCCACGGGCATGTTTACATCGCAAGGATTATGTACTACCCGGCTTATGTTTTGAAAGCGAGCGACAGAGTAAGAGAATTGGACTGCGCTGCTGAACATACGAGTAGCTATTCGAGTTGAATGATCTTGTTTTGATGTAAAACGTGGGCTACGTCCTTTCGAAGCTAAGCAGCTCTTCTATATTAGGGGTGTAACATTAAATTACTAACACCAATCGTAGCTAGAATCTCGCGTTAATCACAAATTTTGTCCGTGAGATCCCTTCCAATTAAAATCAAATTCAAAAGTAAATAATTATGTAACGCTTTTGTTTACTGTTATTACAAAAATACCATGTCAAACAGTCTATTTTCCGTTTATTAATCGTCACACTTTTTTCTGTACAACAAATTTTTCTCTTTTACGGCAACCTGCACCGACCATAAAGCAAAGGCTTATTTAAAACAACAAACCCTAACCTAACATGGGATTGTATCAATGTCCTATCCTTTGAAACTTCAAAGCCTTTACGAGACATTTCCCATTATTACAACAATTTCAAAATTAAACGGAACAAGTTAAAGTAAAATTATAAATAATTCTCACACAATTTCAATGGCACGCCAGGCGCAAAACTCTGTTATAGACTCGTGTCTCTAAATATCTATGGAAAATAGAAAAGCGTTTATAACGCTTCGATTCTGATCTATTTGGCGTCAGACTACGTTTAAGTCAGTTCACACTTTTGACTGCCTTATGGGTAACCAGGGCAAGACAGCGGGAATTCAAAGTTGCTACTCAAAAATAAAGCTAAATAGCCTTTCCCAAATTATTAAATTTGAGACTCACATTTGAAGTGAATTCAAAGATACAACTCGCTGAATTCTTTGAATTTCAAAAGGTTTCTGAGCGAAGCACGTTCCAAATAATGGCAAGGTCTTCGTTGCCATACCTTACTTTTTTAAAAAAATGTTTTGTTGTTGTTTTTTTGTTAATGCAAAACAAAATTTAAACCAGTCGTTGTAAGAGCGTATTTGGCTTTAAATGTTTGCACCATTTTGCCTTTGTTACCCACCGTTCGCTGACAACTTGAACTGACCCACCTTTTTCAGATAGTAGAGCGCGTGGAATGTTCCCGCGTTGCGCGCATGCGTCTTGTCGCCAGAGGCAAAATTCCGCGCGCCCTTCTATCTCTGAAGTAATCCTAGTGTACATCTAAAACGGCAAATTTATAAATCTCTTTTTTGTTATCATATAATAAAGTAATTCAAGCAAACTGTAACAGTCTACTAGTATCTGAAAAAGCGAGAATAAAGATTTTATCATCCCATATAGTTTTGCGCTTTCAAAAGGGCAAATTTTTAAAATAATCACCTCTTCCTTTTTCTGCCTTTCCACACTTGTTCAAAAAACTATTCAGCTGAAAACCTTAGGTATCAAAATCAGTTGGACATGCGTATTTCAACACGAAAAACAACTGTTCACTCCTACGTGATGCTGAAAGTTTTAATTGGAATGCGAGCGGAAATTCCGCTAGAGATTTAACCGCGTGCTCTTGACCTATTGTAGGTAATACTAACGAGCCTCAATTGGCATAACGCCTAGAGCTATGTATATTGACAGACCGGATTACGCTTTGAAACACGTGAAGCACACATTGTGAGGATGATTCAGGACATTTTTAGGTGAGCTTAAATACTACTTCATTTGCACTTTCATGTCAACAACTGCGACATGATCGATTGAAATGATTGCTACCCGGGAAGCGAGAATCTTTTGTAATTGGTGATAATTGGTTTAGGAAAACCTTCGTCGTGTAACGGAATCCAAAGGAATGTTCGAGTTCGAAGATAAGGAAACTATGTCAATTGAGTCTTGATCTCACGTACGTAGAGTTAGTGATGATAGAGACGGAAATACGAAGTTTGCGGTCCAACATTCCCCGACATCTCCGCTTTGCGGGGTCTCGGGTCGGTCCGGCGGCTTGTCTGGGCAGCAGACTAACCTTTTGAATTGTCGTAAAGGTTTTGCGACTCTTCATACCACAAAGGCTTTGAGTCCTTTGAGTTTTTTAAATAAATTAAGGCTCGTGCGCGCGATGGGAAGAAAAGGTAAAGTTACAGGAAAACGGTGTTCAGATATATCACGTCTGTGAGCAAAAATGATAAACTTTAGTTCGAGCCGTTTTCTTGGATTTCCAAGTTGTCAACGAGTTTCTTTATTTGCGCCACGATTTTCAGTGCAGGACCAAGCCTTATTGACATCCGGTTCAATAAATGATCCTCTTGCACTAAGACAAGTGAATGTCCGTCTATGTGTTCTTCTCTAAACGCATGCGCAATATCCTGGGAACCAGTAAGAGAGGATATGAAATGACAGACATCATCAACACTCCATTCCAGGACATTTTCGCTCAAGTTCGGCCGAAAGCGAGGCACTACTTTGTGAGGTGAAACTCGCGAAGAAAGCTCTTTCCCATTTGGAGAAGCCTTAGGTGTTGCGAATGGGCTATGCCTTTCGTTGGAACCCGTGGAAACATCGGGACTTCTTCCCGCCACGAAGTCGCCGTCGGAAACCGGAGGATGCGTAGTATGGTTGCAGTTGTGGGTTTCGGTTTCTTTCGTATGATAGCCATCCTTGTCCTCGTGTTTCTCTTCCTCCGCGTGCGTGGTTCGAGAACTTGTTAAGTTTTTATTCTCTTCAACTTGACCGTTGATTATTGTATTGTTCTTAGGCGACGAAGACCTGGATGAACGGTGCATTGTCAAGGAAGCGTGTGTGACCGGAAGGCCCTGGAGACCAGCCCGAGCTGCGGCTGCTGCGGCCGCAAAGGACGATTGTAGTGGAATGTTCTGCGCCAGTGGACTGTGCGGGTTTGGAGGAGAGAGAAGTCTGTAGTGCATTAGACTCTGATGCAAAGCAGCTGGCGGAACTCCAGATAAGCTACCCCTCAACGCTTGATGGTAAATGCTTGAACCATGCGGCGAAGCTAATAACAGGGGATCTGGTAAAAGTCTCGGGGAGGGATGAGAGGGGCTGATAAGAGGGGAGGGGCTGGGAAGTTGAGTGAATGGGTTGAAGGAGGTTGGCTGACAGTTCACTGATGGTGGCTTTTGTTGTTGTTGTTTGGAGTTCTTTGTTTCTCTTGAGGCAAGCTCTCGCTGAAGGGCTTCGGCGTTGTAAACGTTTTCACCGGCCATTTCACTGTGTGAATTTAATGCATCTAGGGACATTCAAAACAAGACAAACAGTTACTTTACATGGACGTGAAGCGCATTTAAGGTATGAACTACCCAAGGCAGAAAGGTCCATTAACAAGTGCTTCTCTTTAGTTTTCTTTTGACTGGGACAATTATCGGGATTTTATTCACAAAGTAAAAACACAAAACCACGCTACTTAACTTCAATTTTTATCCTGGTCATAGTTCCTGGTAAAGTGCTTTGTGTTTTTTAGAGTTAACGAACCTCAATATTTAAGCTGATGCCTGTGAACTACCGCTACCAACCTCCACCTCTTCCCTTTTAAAATTAATTGTACTTCAATATTTATTTCTGGGAATACACCTCCTTAGCTTTAGGTGTGTTATTTTTCCTCAGTGAAAGTGCCCCTTTATATTTTCACAAATTATGCGTACATATGCACGTAAATAAAACAAAATTTGAATGAAACAGTTTTCTAGAGTATTAGCACGTGACCTACATAAGGAAAACAAAACATACAAGCTAAAGAGGTCTATCAATAGTGCTCCAAGACATATAAGACCCTTCTGAGGTGGGTGCAAGGAATGACTCACCCTGGTGCACCGCTCTGAAAGCACTCCTGCTCCCTGGAGGTCCACCAGAGGATCCTCCTGTTTCGTGGGGGCCGCGATGATGATTAGTCAGATCAAGGGATGCTGAATCTTTACGCGCCATCTTGGACACCTCCGCTGCCGCCGATACAGACGTGTATTCCGATGGAAGATCTCGGAAGAAAAACGTGCTTCTTGGGTCAAACTGAAATCTATCGGCTGATAAACGAGAAAATCAAGTTATAAGATGATTGCACGTGCTCTGCAGAGGTCCAGTATAGGTATCAAATATGTAATGTAATGGTACGGTGAACTCTGTCAATCCCAGAGCTAAGGTGACAAGTTATAAAGTTCTGATTACCTTTGCATCTAATCCATAGAATATTTGACGCTCATTCATTCAACCTTAACTTTGCAATTACAGTTTCACATGCAATCATTTTGCTTCAGTGTTTTGCGATGCATGATTTCACAAAGGTTTTAAGACTTTCAATTAGCAAGTTGTTTCATCAACTAAAGAACGTCCCTGCGACCCTCGCTTACAACATTCGAAGCACTAATTTCCAAGCCGTTATAAAAGTACTAAATTTTCTGAAGAACTTCCGAGAGTTTAGAGCGTCGTCTGAGTTCGCAATATCCACCTTTCAAGCTTCCCTTGGGACGTGACTCGTGTCCAAGACGTGATCAAACTCGACCACGATTATTTTTTTTTTTTCTGATATTTAGAATGAGAGATTTTCTGAAGTATCTGTTTCTCTAAGCTATCCTTTTATCTCGGAGCAACCATTCATCATGTGTGGGGAAATTGAGGTCCTCGAAATAAATCGACAATTTTATAAAACTTGGAATCATTGTACAAAACATATCGTACTAACAGTGTGACGCATTGGAAAGAGAACGATGGGTGCGCAACTTTTAATATCAGTAACACCATTAAGTTTTCGTCTTTTACACCAGAGTCGCACCATACAGCGATTGTAGCCTTAACAGCACCACATGAAAGTAGGGATCAGTTATATTCATACTATATCATCTGCACACAAAAAATTCATGCAATGGTGAAAGGTTGAGAGAGACGTCTGGCATTCAACGAGACGTCTGTTCCCTGAAGCTAAAACTGGAGATTTAATTAACATTCCACTGATACAGAGCATCAGAAAGATTAGCAGAAGGAAGCTCTGCTCTGAATACCCACAAGTAAGATCGAGTGCACCGATAAAAACCTTTAGAAACACTCGGAACTGTGCAAAATAAACCGCACCACAGGAAAGTTCTGCCCAGTATCAGAGTAGCGGAAGCTTGAACCTTAGCGATCGTTAATAGAACTGAATTCATCCACGGATTGGAAATTTAGACCAGTGACTAACTTTTGAACCATAAATAATGACTGCTCAGGGATCGAGAATTGATCAGGAGCTTTCATTCACTTGAATTACCACACCAAAAAGTCATCCACACACTCATCAAAGGAACCACCTTCACCTACACCACCGTTGTATGGCACGAGCACACTCCATTATAAAACAGCATCACAAGAAGGCACTGCCCAGTTGAGTAACTTTCGTCTGATTGATCAAATTCTGGAGATTTCGTCATCCGCTTTTTAAATTTAGAGCACTACTATGCAGCATAATATAATGAACGCAGCTCCATAAGAAATTCCTGTATTTAAAAGCTAAAGCCACACATATACATCCTATGCACCTACCGGTGGAATAAAAAAAAAAAAGGAGTAAAGTAAAAGATTCAAAGATCTACTAAAGAAAAGAATCACTTTGCGCTACATAAAAAAATCAAAAGTAAAGTATTGCTCTTTAGTCTGTGCGTGAATACCACCGAAGGAGTGCATATACATTTGCGGAACTACTACTTCTAAAGAAAACTTAAGGACAGAGGGGCGATCATCTGCAGCCACTTGTACAATCTATTATTAAGTTAAAATAATTCTAGTTCACTTGTTTTAATATTTCCTGTGGCCTTCTTGCAATGCTCAGCTTGCAGAAGACATAACCTCTGTCGACATATTAGCGCCACGTTCACATCTTTTCGTTTTAAACTTTTCTTTCAAAAACCTCTTAATTATATTTATCCCGCAGACGATTAATAAAACCAAAGAGGCGAACGTTATGAGCGTCCAAAATACTAGACATGGTCACGCTGGCAAATACAGACTCGAGCTCACTAACTGATTTCCTGCGGAGAATGAGCGCATATTGAAGAAGAGGGGTTGATGTGTGACGACTCAACGTAGCCCGATTAGGATAAAACTTATCACGAAACAACGAGATTTTTACCCATATGCATCAGCGTCTTAACGAGGTAAATAAAGTTGTCATTTCTTTACAGTTGAATGGGTTAGGGAAAAAATGACAAAAACGGAGCTTTACATTTTGCATGCAAACTCCGTCCTGCTCGCAGTGGTATCAAAACGATTTCCGTACTCAAAGAATATCCGGAAAATGGTCTTAACTTAGAAGCATGCAGCGACGAGTTTAATCTTAAAGTCGCACGAAAAAGAAATTGAAATTAAAACAAGTCAGTATCAGACCCCAAGTGAAAACCTTTTAAGACAGTCAGTTGGAAGAACTATCTAGACTTTTTTTCTTTTTTAGCGTGCTGTGACGTCACGAATTTTCTCACGTAGTCACTGGAACTGCTTGGCGCTCGCAGCCATTGCACTGCGGAGCGTCCAATAAACCAACTACAAGGAATTTCTATTTGCGGTCCTCAACGTTCTTAGTTGCAGCCATAAATCAACTTAAAAATAAACTAACATATCTCAGAATTCTGGACATGTCAAAACTTGGTGCTCGCGTTCAAGCAAAGAGCGGTAAATTGAGCTTGACGACACTTCAAAAAGAACAAGATTTCCTAAAGTCACCCGAACTGACTTAATTCCTAGAACTTGTGTCAGTTCAGTGGCCAAAGCTATCAGAAGTCTTGAAAACACAACAGGCAGAGCAGTTATAAATCTTTTTGTTTAATCACAACAGTGTTCTGTCTGTTCATGTCAAAACAGCAGATGTACTTTCATGATATTAGAAAAACTTTAAGACGATGTATTTCTTCTGCGTAGTAAGTAATCAAAATCTTACATCCATTGTACAACTTTCGTGCAAAAGATTTCAGATTCCATTCTTGAATCAAAAAACTGACAGGGATGAATGAAATTACTATGCTTCAGCTTTAGAGAACAATATAAAATTCTGTCCAAAGGCCATTCATTCTTCAGGGCAAATGGAAACTAGATAAATCAAACTTTGAATTTTTCTGGGAAAGATACCCGTGTTTGCAAAATTGCATCTTTTCAGGCTACAATTTTGAAACTAGGAAGAAGAGGAAAGAGGCTCGTGAAGGGCGAAATGGCGAAAGGATTAAAAGTGGAGGCAAGGGGAGGAAAGCAAAGCTCCCCAAGGAAATATTGTTTGCTCGAAAAGTAATTCAATGAGCATATCAGATTTCCTTTACCACCATGAAGGTACGTACAAAAATCAACTGAAAAGTCATGAAGACTTGGAGAAAGACCTCCAGAGTGAACCCCGCAATCACTATCTGGAAAGCTAAAAATATCACTAGCTTCTCTGTGTGTAGGCGTTCGGCAGCTTTAGAATTTGAAAATCAAATAAGGATTTTGACTCGATTAAATGATGTTTTAATGAATTGACCTTTTGCTAGAATATAAGTGATCTTTGGCCGAAGGTGATTGGCGTTTCGATCACAAGATACAAAATTTGAAAAGAAACAACCCATGATTTCTTGCATAGCCGATTTGAACGTGAATTTTAATTTTTAAGAGAACTCGCGCCAATTATATCGACTTTTTTCACAAATGCCTTTCAGACGATCACAAATTGTCATCTTAAAAACTTTAAGGCAGATATTTGTAGTGAATATAGAAGCCTTTTTTTGAAAATTGATATTATGTTTCGAAACTTTGTCACCGCTGCAAAAATATAATTATATATTTTTAACCTTCCAGTTTTTTGACAGACAAAACGAAGTTCAGCGACATACGAGACGAGACTATATGTGTATAGATATCATTTTTTAAATTCGATTCATTTATGGCTCCATTAATTTAATGTCTCCTGCAAGCCTTATAATTATTTATAAATACAAAAAATTTGTCAAAATTCCCAAAACGACCTGGCCAAAAGCCATGACATTCAATTTTTCCAGTTTGAAATATTGTTCCCCTCATACCAACAGCTGCGAAGTTATCTCTTCTTCGTCACCAACAAAAGCAAGGAATTTCTTCCATATGTCAGTGCACATGTAGCGATTTTATTTTTTGCTGCCGGTGCTCGCATCAGCTGAGACAGTATATTATTATCTTACCCAAAGAACTAAACAAGGAATCAATAAAACGACACCGTATACGCTTTTTTTCGAGAGCAAAATCTGTAGGAGTTTTGAGCTGTGGTATTCACTAACCTGTTTTTCGTTTCATGGTGACCAGTTTTGCGGAGTTTTCAGGCGAAGCGCTCCGGGATCGTTTCGGCTCAGACGAGGGTGGATCGAAAGGGCAGTCGTCTGCAGGCTCGGAGCACTCCGAGGTAGTGGAAGAGTTTGAATCAACAGGAGAAGCTCTTTGATCAACACTAGCTCTCGCTGCAGACGAATTTATACGGTTGTCAAGATCACTACACGAGTTTTGTCTTGCACCAGTAAAAGCCAGCCCTGTTTCAAAACCATCTTGTCGCCACGGATGTTTAGCCGACTCTTTTCTCTTTCTGTTTGGTGAAGGCGGCGAGGACACACTGCATTTGCTGGCAAGTCGTCCGCGGTTCTGTTTGCAGGATACAAGGGAAAGCTAGATAAGTGCTGTTATCATTGTAACCTGTGTGCTACAAGATTCCCGCCTGTTCCAATGCCGATCGGTGAAAATCCCTGGTGGGGGGAAAAAATTAGTGTCCTCTTGATCACATTTTAGAAACCCGTGTTCTCCAGCCTTTAAGCTTAACGAAAACCAAATGCTTAAACTTAGATACTCACTTCAATAAACATGGTAAAGGACTCGCTCTGTGTTTATGGATATGGAACGCAAACAATTGATTAAGCCGCACAACCAGTATTACATGACGTACTGGGTTAAAGAGATGATGTGGACAAACTTCCGTGGAAAGAACCGCGAGAGCTCATTTATTTTCCGTTTTCACTAGCACCGTTTTAAAAGACATGTACACTTACTGTTGAGGTAAATAAGGAACGGGATAATCCTACAAATTCCTTAAAACGATACTAAAGGGGCTCCGCGCAAATAAAAATTCCACACATCCTTTCGAGACTCGAATCCAGCACTTCTGGAGAGGAGAAAATGCAAATATTGGTGCGTACGTGATAAAATTCGTACGGCGTCTTAAAAAGACAAAAGGTACTCAAGTGAAGCCGTGTTTAATCATGACATTTGACCTAAGCTTAGCACTTCAGGTTCCCAGGGTTTTCCTTTCGTTTTTAAAACCATATGCTACGGAACATATCGGAAATTAGGGTCAGTCTATCTGCGTTTGATAAACAGAAAAATAAACGAGCAATAACCCTCTTTTTTTCTTTTGGAAACATTGAGGCAGGCATAGATTTTGTAAATATCGTTGGCAATGCGTTAAATGGAAAATGTCGTGCTCAGTGTTGCGTTTTGCGCACTATTAAGAAAAATTATTGTATACCCAGTCAGCGCCATGCAGCGTGCTGTGCTGCTTTACGACATACAGTATTTAGATTTGGCATTTCCACATTTAGCCGGAAACGATTTGATTCGTTCAAACCAAAATGCATTGTCAGAAGCTGTCAAGCTGTTCGTCTGTCAAAAGCCGGGGGCTGTTGCATCCTCCCTTATGTACCAAGGGAGAATAATCAGGATAATTTAAAAGCTCATTATTTATAAACGTGCTGAGCATGAAGCGTGCAAGGCATGGCGATGAAATGCAATCAAAGAAAAGGATTTTTTTGACAGCAAATGATAAAAAAAATCCTGGTTCTCCAGTATTTCATTTTGGAAGAGTGAAAAAGAAACTTTTGTCAAGCACGTCAAAGAAATCAGCGCAAAGTCAAGATTTCAACGCTCAAGTTATTTCCCAGATCATTTTAATCCCTTGAATTTTCAAAGATTAAAAAATGTTTTTTTTTTCAAGAGGGGCACCGTCTCTGTGCGAAACATTGAGCTGCGTTGATTCTAGCTGACATAACACTGTGAAACTCTTTCGAGCGCCATTGTTAAACTGTCAATTTTGGCGCCCTGTCAAGATCCGCCCTTCGAACCCTTTGATATAATTGTTTGCAAACGCAAGCACAAGACGAACGCGCGAGCAAGTGCCTTTTAAAACACATAAGGAAAAAAATACTTACCGCTAAGCTGCGCGCGAAGAATATCAGATATTTGTGAATTTGTGGAAATATAATCTTCTTAGTGTCATTGTTCGCAGATTGTCATTGAATTTTCTAGGGCCATTTCTTCTAAACTGCGGCCGTTGTTATCATAATGAGTCGACCCAGAGACGGATAATAGCCGGTTTTTATACGTTAATGAATCTCGTTGGAAAGAAATTATTGATATTGGAGCAGGAGTTGAAATAAAACCGTCTACAGCTTCGTTTATAATACCTCATAACAAATTCAAACCGCGTAAATGAAAGAGAAAAAAAATTGTAGACGAAGCATGCAAATTGACCCATCAGCTGTGAGAATGACCAAAGAATGCTTTTGCATCTGTTGAGTAACTTCTCCAACTTGTCACACACGTTCTACTGAAAATAAAGCATATCACAATCAGTGGCTTGTTGTAGAGATAAAAAATATATTTTCTTACCACAGGTGATGAAATTCGGCATCCCAGACAATCACAAATTGGTGGGTGAACCTTGATTAGTCCACGGGCGATCAAGCTTTTCAGAGATTTCCCTTTGTACCGAATACTCCTTTTCCAGTCTTTAGCGGTTTCCCTTCCACTGATGTACTGGAGCTCGTTGGGAGTCAGCCATTCTCCTTGAAATAAAATACAAGGCCCTTTGCTTCCTTGGCATAATTTAGAAACGTAAAGCAATGCAGCGTTCTCTCCGCATTGAATTTCTAAAGGTTCCTCCGTCACCAGACCATCGGCCGGCGTACGGTCGGCGCTATTAACCTCAAACCGAAGTGGTTCGCCGATATTTTTTGGTCCAGCGTCGTTCGGTTCTTTCTTCAGAGTTAAGCTAGGTTGCTCTGAGTGGGAAAAGTTTATGTTGTGAGAGGACCCAGCGACGGTAGAATTGAGCTGATTCGGGTTTAAAGGAGGCATCTTAACGGAGTTATCGTTGCTAACGTTTACGTCGTGAGAGTCGGCACGATTAAATCCAGGACCGATGCTTTCTTGAAGTGTTTTAAGTTCATTAGCATGCGGCAGGCCGTTGCCCGTGTGAAGCGAAGTTACTTGTTGTTCAACGGATTCATTTGTAGACATGTTCACATTCTGGAGGCCACACAAAATCCAGGTCCACGAAAATAACAGTGAAGCGGTCGCGAAATTTCGCGGAAGTAATCATGTGTTTAAAATTTGCGCCGTGCTTCTGTTTTCACGGGGCGACACCGGCGGACAACCAACTGCCGTCTATCGGCGAGTCGCCTGTCGCTCTTTATATTTGACGTGATATCTTGCTGGGAATTCACCCTTCTGATTGGCTAGCGACCTGTCGGAGTGGAAGCGCAAATCGTAAGTTGACCAATAACAAGGAAGCACATGACTAAACAGCGAAGTCTACTATTACGGCATTCATTGTACTGTCATCAGTGCTAAATTCTTGTCTGCCAGTAAATTTTGATCTTGGGGAAATAAAATTGAAATGTATCCACCAGTTTGTTCGTTAGGATGTGAACTATCACTAAAAAAGATGGCTGATATAATGTTTTTCTAGAAATATAATTTTATATGTTGTTATTCCTTTTCGATCTCCACGAAAAACTGAGAATTACGTCACGAGGACACCGCAAACGAAAGTGGTGGCATCGACGCCCTTCGGAGACAAGCAAACCAAACAAAGCAAAACTTTTCACAATTTTAATTTCGCATGCTACATATTCTTCCTCCGTTAGCAACTGAGAAAAATATTCTTCTCGCCATTTTTCAGCACCTCTGTTTTGTGTTCACAGAGTGATTGTGAATAATTCATGTACACGTACGACTGAGCGATTCATAATCGACCATTGTATTGAACGAAGGTCATGACGTCAGTCAAGCCCACGCAAATTGCCGAGACAAAACATTGAAAATAACCAACAATGCGATAAAATTGCTTCCACTTCTAAATAATGAATTCATCAGCCATTTCAAAAACGTTAACCACAGAAATAAAACGACAGAGATTTGTTCTTTTTACTAAAACAGCGAAGAAGATAGCCTTGGCAGAAACATTGTGTTGTAATTTCTGACTGGTCAATCCAAATGCTCGCACAGAGCATTTTGAGCTATTTTGCAATTTCACCGAAAGCTGTCGACCGTAAATTAATGCCGCAACCATTCGGCGAAAACTGATGCAGAATAAATAGGGTTTAGTTCTACATACTTTTTTTTTTTTTAAAGGAAATCATTTACTCAAGAGTTCGGGAAGTCCTGTCCACATCCTTTATTCACAGAAATGACTTGCTGTCATCTTTACGTTGACGAGTGGCTACGCGCACGCGGCAAATCCGACTATAAATATCCTAACCTTTTAGTTTTCAGTTCGCTAGGTTTCGCTTCAAAGGATATGAAAAGTGAATATCATTAAAGTTCTGTGGTTTTGCTGTTTCGCCATGCACGTGTTCAAGCCGACCACTCTATCTGTTGTCGCCGAACAAACTTTGGATTTTAGCCAAAGTTTTCCAGTATTCCAACACTTTAAAATTATTAATCGACCTTCCTTTGGTTTCTCTTATAGTAGACCTAACTCTCTTAGGCCTGTTTCAAACGTCGTGCTACTGCCTTGCTAAGATGGCTCAACTGTAGCTCGACTCCAGCACGACACTAGCACGACTTGGTTTCAGACGTCGAATTTAGTTCAGTCGAATAGATCGGCTGTTGCCGAAAACAAAACACAATAATAAAGAAACTGTTCAGCAAACTTTTAAATGTATTCTAATGTATTTATAATTTATGAACTGGGTTCGGCACGGCAGCAGCACGACGTTTGAAACGGGCCTAACTCTCTTAGACTTGTCTAAACTTGTAAAATGTGCCAATTTCATGTCATCAGTATGATATGAGACCGGTTCTGTAATATCAGTTTTACCACTACGTAACGGAAACCTCCAATTTAATTTCCACCTAAACTTCACAAAGATCGTCACTATATTTTTTTCCTGTCCTCCTGAATTTTTTTTTAATCTGAGCTTGGTAAACTTCACAAAGATCGTCACTATATTTTTTTCCTGTCTTCCTGAATTTTTTTTTAATCTGAGCTTGGTTTGTACCTTTGTCAAGTCCTTGACTCGGCTCCCGGACCCTTAACCAGGAAAATCTTCCCACAATTCAGAAAATTCTTTATCTCCGGGTATCCTATATATTTAATACGGAAACTTATACAATAAGATACGAGTCATAAAATGCGACAATATTAGTTCAGAGTGGTCAAACAAAGCTAGAGGCACAAACGTGAAATTCCGCACGAAGAAGTTCTGTTCAACGAAGCGGAAGACAAAGTTGATTTCAGGATGCCAGGCGAGAAATAAGGACAGTACTTAGATTTTTACCAAGGCAAGTTCCTGTACGATTCGGCATTACAATCAGTTCAACGCTCTTTAAGAGGGGGAGGGGGTGTGCAGTGTAAATAAGTAAATTCACCCAAATCATTCAATTCAATCCAAACAGGACTTTGCTCTCTAAAGACGTGAATTTCAAGGACTACGCTTTAGGGTTTAATCTAACTGTCTGATAATGGACAAGCAGAAGTTAAGGAGTATGACAGAAAAAAGAGAAAAAAAACGCGAAAGTCTGTTCTTGAATCGGGTGGGGAAAATTAGCAAGTCAATATTTAGACCAGTCTTGAACCAAGCGTTTTTCAACTAATACCAGGGCTATTACTCAATATCAGAATCTAGCCCCGACTATTTAGCGCTGCGTGAAAGACGATTTAGGGCGGGAGGCCAAGACTCCGTTTTAGAAATCTAAAATGAATCAGCTGTGAAAATTTTTAAAGTACTGTATACATATGTGACAATGCATATAACTTGACATTAAGGGATTTACTGATTGGACTTTGCCTTGCAGCTTTGTTTAACGTAGGTGTCAAAATCATACCGATATAAACTGAGAAAATATTTATCCACTAGGACCTTGTAAAAACATTTACGAATAAACAGAGATGCACGTTATCAAGTCATACTGTTCATGACTACGCAGAGAGAAAATATCTCAAGAACCTTTTTATTTTGTAAATTAGTTTAGCTTTAGAGAAATCACAGACAAACACCTTTCGGCCTTTCGTGTAATCATACAGGCAAGGAGCTCCGAGTATTTGGGTCCTATATTTATATGTACTGAGTTTCGAAGACACATTAATAACTGTATTTATACTGTCACAAAATTAATTTTTGATTGAATTGGTTTTACTTTTTACCCGGGCTGGTATATTTCTCATTTCTCAGACCTGCGTGGGATAAGAATTCCAAATAGTCAGTTTGTGGGCTCTTGATTTCCCCGACTGGTGTGTCATATCTAAGGACTGATAACCACAGCGCATCCACGGCAATTACAGTAAATGTTTTTGTTGCTATTAAATGGGAACGAACAAAAGATTGCTCCATCTTGATAAGGGATTAAATCGCCCAGATCAGTCTCCACTAAAAACTATGAATATCGCAACATTAGATCACTCAATAGCTCTTCAAGACAAACGTTCTGACTGTGTTGATCGAACGTAACTTAGTTACAAATAATAATCACTATGGAAGCATTTGTTCAGCAGGAGCAAGTAGTTCCAGCGGCATATCTCCCACCGACGACATTCGATAATTCAGGAAAGACAAGCAATGAAAAGTTGGAGAAAAGACTGACTGCCGTCAGCGATAAGCACTAAAATAGAGCAAGAAACCATATTGATTGCACAATTTAAGCTAGAGCATAGAACTCGACAGCCCTGGCAAACGAGAGGGTACAAGTTTCATGCTCCTTCTTCATGTACTTCCCATATTGCATCTTAATTAGCAGGATGTTAAAAGAGTCTACGTCCAAAAAGGAGGTACGTGATATTTAGTTTTCTTTCGTCAAATTATTTAAGGAAAGATGATAGGAATATGGTGAACCTCACTGCAAAACTAACTGAATTAGCAACTTACTAATGTGCCAACTTGACAAAATCCTCAGTGCCTCCGTTACCACGATGGAATACATCACAATTTCAAGAGACAAATCAAGTTCTCAGAATTTAGCTCCTACAACCTGTATGGCTAGAAAAAATCGGGCGTTCGCTTCATTTTGGAATGTGACGCTTCTGTCCCGCTTCACTTCCGGGTACGCTAAAAGCGTTCGAGACACGAGGGCGGTGTCCCAAGGGAATGAAAGACGGGATGATCCTAGGAAATATTAAAGAAAGCACTGTCCTATTAAAAAGACCGCCTGGATCTTTAAAATCACGATGTCACCATTTCAATGGCCTCCCCGAGGGGTAATGAAAGAAATGGTGAAAACTGAACACTTTCAGACTTTTATAGGCAGTATAGTCTATCAGCCAGTCGTTAAACTGTTCTACAATGAGATTTTGAGGACAGATCGCTTTCTTTTTCACTTCCTAAAAGATGTCGTATCAGTCACAACCGGGGATGTTTTAAGCACAGCTATCTAAGCATGACGTTCTACTGAACGATTTCTAAATCGCTCAGAAGGTGTCTCTGTCCCCTCAAATGGCCTAGAACGTTCTATGCCCTGACGCAGCTAATGCGAATATATAAAAATAGTTTCATATGCACTTAAACCTAGTAAACAAATGTTTTAGAAGGATTTTATTTCGTGGTTTATGTCTGAATGCGTAAGTGATTCACAACGACACGAGAGAATTGGGCAAAACTAAACTGATGAAAATGCAACAGGTTGCTTCTTTCTTATTTATACCAAGCTTTACCGTTAGATATACCACTTCGATCTCGAACACCGTATATCAAAATACGAATTCTCATTCCTAGTTCTTTTACAGTTATTACAATAATTTTGAGTTGCCCGGTTGTATATTAATATCGGATGTCACTATCAAAGGAAGTAGGTTCGTGCCACTCTGTTTTGTTACGCCCTCAGTTGTCTTATTCATGTAAACACTGGTCTTCGCAATCGTATTTAAGTTTGCAATGCTTTAAAAATCGATTTACTATGTCTAATATCACTCGCCCCTCGGAACATCTGCACTATCGCTGTAAATACACGCGAAGTAAATGATATAATCACTTGATTATACATGTACTACATTCGTTCCCGCCATATTTGAGTAGAACGTCTTACATCCATTGCATGGAGATCTTTTGACACTTTGGATAAACTCAGTTTTGTTCGAGATGCAAAATCTTCTCAGGAGCGCCCAACGATTGTTTTCTGTAAAATATATGTTCGGAGAAGTAAATATTGCCTAGAATATTCCGATTACTTGAGGACGGCTAAATATTTCTAGATAACCGTTCCACTCATATACTACTTTCGAAGCTTATCTAATGAATTCCCTACGATTTTCTAAGTTTCCCACCTCAGGTTAGGCTACTTTTCGTAGAATAAAGGGAACCTAAAACTTTCGGACTCAAAAATGTGATGGTGAGAGGAATCAGAAAATGTCTCACTTTCGTAATACGTTAAATTGCCTCTAAAATATGAGGGAAAATAATACCCAAGCCCTTTTAAGACCCAAGTTCTCATAGGATGACAGAGAAAGGATGACCGAACAGATACAAATTTTAAGCGCCGCTTAGAATGTATTTCTAGATATCTAAAAGTACTCTCGACAGCCTAAAAAGTGTTTTCAATGTGTTTAGGAGGAAACCGTCACTGGGTGCCCCTGATCCTCTGACCGATGAGACACAGTGACTTATAATCCTTAGTAAATTTTAGCCTTTTTACAAGGTCTTGCATGTAGTTGGATTTAGCAATCCTGGAGCGTGTACGTTAGTAAATATAAGCTTGTTAGTGCTTCCACATTTCAAACAAACGATAAAATGTCTACACATGGTGGTCCACTGTAGCTGTCATTTGGGCAGTCGACATCAGCGTTAGTAGTTGCGGCTTATTATCTCATTCTCAGTACACATTCACCTCGAGCTTTGCTGTTATTCTATCGCTACTAATCGTGTGAATAGAATACCATACATTAATTTTCCTTTAACCGGCGGATTTCGTGAAAATAAGACCATCACTTTACATAATACTGATCTGCTTACGGACGTTTGTAGGTCTCCATTCTATGATCTAGAAAATCCCTTTGGACGTCTTGATACGAGCTTTAACTCTTTAACGAAATGGGAGTATAATAATATCATCTCCATGAATCGTATTTTCATTGAGACAGGATAACAGCAATGTTTTTATTGCGACTAAAATTACAATGTTATATAGCTATATTGTGACTTGGCAGTTTCTCAATTTAGGCAAATAACTATCAAGCAGTCTAACGCTGTCAATTGATCATAACACTGACTCAGAACGAAAATTTCGAAGAGAACACCGTGGCTTAAAAATTTCTTTAAAAGTAACTCAGTCATTCCCTCGATAGGAAGGATATCGATTGCACATTATGTTTGGCCTTTAACTGAGATCGTAAAATTGGATTTAAGGATTTAAATCAAAACAGGGCGTTGTTATTGTGTTGTGTGGCTCCTTGCATGGAAGCATTTGATGTTGCCAACTCCTCTATGACAGCGATATCACGAAGAGTGTAATTCTTTTCTTGCTCTTGAAAGCATTATCTTGTACTCTAAAATTGATCTATGTAGTTCCGTGAGGCCTGTCTTTCTTTGACCCGGCATTAAGAAGTTATTCAGCGTCTTTTGTCGATGTGCAAAGAGGTTCCGCCCAAAGGGTCACTCTGTTTAATCCTAAAACGTGACCATTGCTAGTGAAGTATTTCATAATTCATGACACCACAGAGTTACCTTTTTAGTTTCAATGTATACGATTCCTAATTGATGAGAAGTTGGACCCTCAGAGAACGTGTGCGAGAGTTGTTTTGCTTTGATAATGCTTTTGGGTTTTCAGAACGAAGTCCTGGGCTTTGCCATTTCAGCTAGGCTAATGGGCATTTCTTCCAATCTGTGAACAGTTAACTCAATCATCCAGAGCTCACCTGGCATGACCTGGGTAAGATGCGAACACTTTATACCTGTGATTACATTGCAAGCTTGCTTAGAAAGGTAGCACTTAAATAAACACTGCCTTTGTTTCTTGATGTTTATTCTTCTGTCAGTAAGGCAGTCAATGATAACTTCTGGAACATTTAGATAAAATCTAAGACTCTATTACTTAAATCACACTCGTGCTTTCCAAATTGGTTTAACCTTCTGCAGACTTTAAATGTTCCTCAATTTACAAGAAGTGTGCCACCTTGTTTCTGTCAAGGAAATCCTGAAGTGAGACTATTCAAAAGAACGTTACAAGCTCGATTTTTGCGTTTTGTTACAAAGTTGACTCTGGCCGGGCTCGGCTTTGCAGATAAAATACAATCCGGGTAGGAAGACTAGTGAGATTGTTATAAAATTACCACATGGCAGCTTGCTTCTATCTCAGTTCTTTTTGCCGTGCGGTACCAGGCACCTAAAACCGTCTTTAATGTTCAATCTTCAGTTGTGGCTATTTAAAAAAAATAGCTACTGCGATACACCAAGAAAGCTTGATTTTTCATTTTCCGGTAGACTTTTAAGATCGTCTTTCAATCCTGGATCGTCTTCCTTTAGCCAACGAGAGAATACAGTAAGTGGCTTGACAGTTTATAACTTCAATGCTCCACTGAAAAAGAACCTTCTTTGTCATAAAACAAGTTCCTGTTAGCGGAGCTATGGGTCAGGAAACAATTTAACCCTATTCGCGGCTAGAGTCAATTAAATTAATGTAAAAAGATGAAATGCAGTTGTAAGTTTTCAGACTGTGGAAAAAATCCTGCGGTGTAACCATCTTCAGCACTGCTTTCTTGTGCTTTTAAAGGGATGCTATTTGTTTTGCAACATTTTGCCAAATGAATTTGGGAATTGTTCTGAATTTGGACTCGGTACTCTTTTGAGTAAAAGGCTCAGTAAACCTCTGTCAAAATGATGGATCTTAACGTAAACGCTACTACCACATGATCCTGAATCATAATGTGGACAAACGTGGAATACAGTTTACTTACTGAGTCAGAATTATAACTGTAACTTGAAGACGATGGGTTTGTCGATAAAAATCGTATTTCTCGAACATTCAAACAAACGCCAATAGTTTACAACCTGGAGTGAAGAAAAAAGAAAACCGTGGCCTACCTACTCTCTATCTTTGCCTGCATGCAGGAAGACCTCAGTGTTGTTTCTCAGGCTTTTTAACTCAGTAGCAGCCGGGTTAATAACACTAAGAAGCTCGTATTCTCGATAAGTCAAACGAAGCTGATTCACTGGATATAGAGACCTAATAAAAATCATCCCACAAATGTTTGAAACCCAAATGCAGCAATCATTATCAGAAACGAAACTACCTAGATACCGTTATTTCAAGGGAGCCGAGCGGAGAGGTATGCCCAACTGCGGTCGAAGGATCTACAGTTCTTAATTTTTCTTTCAATTTAGGCGGAGGCCAGAATTTTGTTAGTCCAGCGAGAGTCTTGGTTTAAGCGACGAACACGACTGAATCCTCCAAGCTGTCAATACGACTAACTAACGTTTAGTTAAGCTCAGGCAACGCAAACTGAGAAGCAGTTGACGGAATCATTTAATTGCATGTAGAAAGGGCTAGAAGTATCCGATTAGATTGTGTAGTATATAATTCCTCGACTGGCTTCTAGGGTGTTATAACGGATCCTCGGTAAGTATACCTACTTTGAAAGTCCAAGTGTTAAATGTAACTGTTCTCACAACAAGCAGCTTTGCAAATACAAAGGCGACGCTAAAAGAGGCTTTGAAGGCAACGAAGCAGACAAAGGATCGAAGTCGGGCAGCCACCATTTAACATGACAATACCTGTTAGAAACGTCTCTATCCTTTTAAATCTTTTTCCGTCTCGGTTTTTTCTCGTCGGTGTATAACGTCACGAACCAACACTTACGTCGATAAATTTTACCACAAGAGACACAAAACACAGCGTTTAGATATTGGGTGGGATAAAGACAAAAACATCCGTCGAGATTCGCCCGATTGGCGTGAGATTCTGCACGCTGCTGGTCGGTCAGTCGTCTTTACGAATGCGCCGTAAGGGCTGTGCAGATCAGTAATAGCTAGACAGCTCGATCTAGAATGTGCTATAACCAGCGATTAAAAATCACTTTATCGGAAGATGAGAAAAATGGGCTTGTAACAAAATATTTTGAAAAGAACATATCTCAGTCGGTTAATATATTTTTATGTAAAATTTTAAATGTACGTTATTTGCATCTTCATCATAGTTCCCCCGCTCAGTCGGCTGTAGAGCGTTGAATCAATACATCAGAGAAAAACTTTGGCCACGTATAAAAAATATGTTATTTATATTAGGTGCGATAAAAAAGGCGGCCTGCATGCGAGAAAATATTAAATATCGTCTCTCGATGAAGCCGATTAATTTCAAGTCTAAACAAAAACCAGCTAAGTTCACAGTTCCAGGGCTGGACGAGGTTAGAAGGTATACTGGTTTTATTAAGTTTTCGAAACATTATTTCAGACTTAAACTCAACAAAGGTTTAACCAGATTTTGAATGCTGCTGTAATTTCAAGACACGCTGTTTCCCTGCATTTATTTTCATTGCATGAAGGGCTTGGCAGGTTAATTTTCCTTTTGTTTCAGCTCGACGATCTACACAGACAAGAAATCATTAATATGACGGAAAAAAATCACAGAACTTGACGAACCTGGATAGGCCTTGTGAGGTAAAAGGCAGGAAAAAACCGAGGAGGGCGGACTTCAGACCCTTCTTGACGTCGAAGCAGCGTCCAAAAATTAATCCACTGATTTAGATTACCATGAAAAGAATTTTACGAACATTGCGCAATCCGGGCCGCCTTCTGGAGGCTAATCAAATATCGAGGTTTTTTTTTAATTTCGTATCTTGTGTCACACCGTGAATGAAGCGCATGATCGTGAAGGAATGAGTCGGCAGCGTGACCTCCACATGCCTGCTGCATTGAGCGCGGATCATTCGCAGCGGCGATTGACGTCATCGTGCCTTAAAAAATAATGAGTCTCGGACGAAGAGTTCTGCTATCATATCGCATGAACATAAACGAAACCCATAAATCATTCTCGAAGTTATTGAGCTTCGCGTGTGGATTATATTGTCTTGCACGAGGTAGTGTTAGTTTTTTGGTGCTATACTTACAATTGATCGTTGTTTGACTGATATTGTTCGGCGACCAATCAGCGTAAATCATTAGGAAGATGTGTTTGTTTTAGTATCGCCCACGTTTCCATGAACACAGGTTGCCTGAGAGACAGGAAAGGCAAAAGCTTCACTGACAGTCGCTATTCGTTGCACCCTCTTAAAAATTTACATCCGCTGTTCGTAGCTGGATATGTCACCAAACCCACGGCGCCGTGCGGCCGGGAATGGTACTTATCTTGTAACAGATAGCATTTGTAGCGGAAAGGAAATTGCATTACGGTGTTTTGTTCTTGAGATAGCGAAATAATATTTTAAAATTTTGGATAATGTTAAACTATCAATCATTCCGTACTTCAGTGAAATGTGGACAAATGATCCCCGGGGCAAAATTTCAATTCTATTAAAAATTCTACGCTGTAAAATAGAAATGGAAAAAAAAAGAAAAAAAAAAAAAGGAAATAGAGGAAGAAAGAAAAACCCTAACTACGAAAGTTTAATTCTATGAATAGTCACACCAGTTAACTGGTTCAACCGATCAACTCTCAAGCATGTGGACTGTAATCCACTGGCAACTTATCTTACAGCGCAGCATTATAAACGGAAGCAACCTATTCTAAAAACTTTCATTTTATCACACTTTTATAGGCTGTACTTAAAGAGTTTATCCATAGAATGTCACTGAAACAGTAGACAAAGGAAACACCGCAGTGATGAACGGTCAGCACTTCCTGATAGAAGCGTTTCATTTGAATGGTTACCTGACTGATGGAGGATTAAACTGAAGTCGACAAAAGTGGAAGCGTTTAAGGAGCTATGACTGAAGTACTGCTCGGTAGCTTCCAGGTGATTTTATGGATTTTCAGAAGCTCATAAGTGAAAACATTGCCTCAGTAAAGGTCTTACTAGTTTTGCACAATGCCAAACGGGACAATTTCATCTCCTCCTTTTTAGTCAATCTATTTTTCTTTTTTATGGAGCAAACCTTTGTTTCTCAATTCTGTAAAATATTGGCAAGCAACGGTGGAAACCGTTTCCTAGACAAACTTCTTTTCTACGGGGTACGCCGTGAAATATTGCAATGACAGCATCCTTAATTGCTGGCAGAGGAAACTTTACGCCAAATATTTGCATCGACGAAAGTGTATTCCTTTTTGCACGCAACATTTGTTTTTCGCAAACGATCTAATAATCAATCATAGACGTTTTATGCTCTCCACTCAGTGCAACAGCATTTTGTGTAAACACCTCTCCAAACAATTACCTGGTGCCCTTGAGCTATATGTCATTTGTTAATTTTGCTAAAACAAGCTGCATCCACCCAGCCAACCTGGATCGATACAACAGCATGCAAAAATTTAAAGCTCAGTTTCAAAAAACTCGTTCCTTACCTCAGTGACTTCTTGCTCCTTGCTTTTCGTTTGGAGGCTTTAAAATTCCTCTTTACCGCGCCTTTCCTCGCGGTTCTCTTTGTTTCATAAGTGTATATGTTTACATTAAAATACAAAGCATTATTCATACGATATTTCGCAACATTTTTTGAGAAACTGACGTGATCAGTCACGTACAGCATAAATAATCCCGCAAAGATTAACAGCCTGTGCAGCGTCTAACGAAAACTTGGGAAACCTGTGGTGCATTGAAAACGCTGGAAAGATCGAGAAAGGCTAAGATCACGATAAAATATCTCTACGAAACTTAATAGTATCAGTTAAGAACATTGAAAAGACTTACTTCCTAATTTTAGAGAAGTTAGAGCTCAATCGGTACAACTTAGGTCCGGGTTGTTCGAACTTAGGTTAAGAGTAAACCAGGGTTAGTGTGAAATTTGTGAAACAAAAAGGCAAATTCAGTTTTAATTAATTATTTTTGTCTTCAATTTGATGATTGGATGCTCTCACAAGAGTAGAGAAATTATCCGAGAAAGTGTTTTTGAACAAAATAAATAACAAGATACCCGTATCAGAATTTAACCCCGGGATAAACACTAATTTGCCTTTGAACAACTAGGCCCAGCTGTAAATCTTTTTAGTCCAAAGAAGGTATGGAAAATTGACTCCTGTCCACAGTTTATACCTTTAAAGAAGTTGTCTACTGCACATTGTGATAAGAACTGAAAATCTCAACTGGACACGTTAAAAGGAACTTCAAGATATCCTCAGAAATTATCATGCCCTCAAAAAAAAATTGTTTGGTTACTGTTGTTTGGAAGTGTACCTTGAACACGTTCGTCCGGTTCGAAAATAACAATTTTTTGGGAGAGGGTCTAAGGCCCCCTGCCGACCGGCTTCCAACTGACATAGAAACTCGTCCCGTTGAAATGTGGGAAGAGCGCTGGAGACGAGTTTGACTGTTTCAACCAGCAAACGGAAACGCGAACAGGATGAAAAACTTTCGTTTGATTATTTTATCTTGCGTTCAAGTTGGGCACAATGTTGAGCTCATCCTCGGTAATTAAGAACTTGTTAAAACTCACGGGTGACGTGAAACAAAGAAAACAAAGAAGTCAAAACAATAGAACCTCGAAAAACAAAAGGTGCGAGACAAAGAAAAAGTTTCAATGTTCGAAACACCAAGGTAAACCCCAAATCCAAAGATGGACTGCAACAGGCATTCAAAATGTGGTCAAGGTTATCATGTTTTTCACATCAATGGTACTACACCTTTCAACTTTGACGATAGGCAAAGCCGACTTCCTCCTGAGGCTACATGGCAAAGACGATATTTCGGGTAGTGACGTGAAACAGGCTGGAAAATCGTGATCCCCGCGTGTTTGGGCTTTCCCAATTAGCTCTCAAACACACTTCTGTTTTTTATTTCACCTATTTACTCTTGTAAAACAACTTTTGATGTAAAATAAAAAATTTAACAGCTTAAGGCTTAGGCATAACCGGAAAAGGTTATCTCCAAGGATTCCGCTAATGTACGTCTTTAGGTAGAGCTTTTAGATTGTCGTATTACCAATATTTTTCCAAGCATAGACTGCGGAAGGTTTGGGTCATTTTAAATTGTAAATAATGGACCACCACGGACCTAATGTGTGGGGGCGTGTTTACCAAGAGGTTGACACGTCCAAAATACCCTCAGGGATATGCATATGTTCGGTTTCAAACCCTGCGCGTCACCGCCTTGTTTCTAGAAACTTCGATCCAGTTTACCTCTCCTCACCCCGTGGGGGTGGGGACGGGAATTCTTGTCAGAAATTAGCCAATCCAGGTGTAACTCATGCTTTATTTGACTCCTTAAAGAGTCTATTGTACTATGGGGCCTTTGGAAACTTTCAGCTTAAATAAAGACGGTGCTTGCTGATACGGTGTATCCTTTTCTATCATATCTTTGCAGTCGGTCAAAATATTAAAACTGTTAAGAGGTACTTTGAAAATTTGAACATGTTCCAGTCGAAATTGGATGTTTATGTTCATTGTCTATCAAAACCTACCATCTATGAATCACGCCCTCCACTATTTGATGGCAGCTTTACAACTTCATCAAATTACAGTGGAACCTCGTTAATACGGTCACCAATGGGCTAAAAAAATTTGGTCGTATCAACGGGGTGGCCGTATTAACGAAAGGTTTTTTTTACAAGAAAATGTATGGCGGTTATTGCCAAGCGGCCAAAAAAAGTGCCCGTAATAACGAGGTGACTGTATTAACCGAGCTGGCTATAAGACGGGGTTTCACTGTACTCAAAGTCTCATTGTATGGGCGACAGGGGAAAATGGCGGTTCGTTGCGTTCATTTTTGACACTTTAAAAACAAGACTACACTGATTAGAAAATGCAAGCACATGTAACTTTAATTCTTATTTATGTACACATTTACACACCGTCCACACCAATTGATAAAACAAAAAGGCTGTTTACTTTCGCTTTGTAGTGACATCCTTCAATTTTTTTTTAATCAATTAAATTCAGGTTACCCGGAAATTATTGTCGTGCACTAAGTTCTATAAAAGATCAAACTTCACACGACCCGTCGTCACGATATCCGTTTTAGAACATGTTTTCACCTAAACAACACTTAATTATATCAATAATTGGTGTGAACGACCCAGATACCACAACACACGAAAGTATTCAAACGCGGCGATGTGAATGCAGTCCTTTACAAATCTGAGCTAAGCGAAAAATGCAGCTCACAAAAATAGCTACAGTTGCAACTGATAAAGCAAAAAAAGGCAATTCATAAAAATCACGTCAAGTCTTTACAAATCTCCGAGTAAATACCTTGGCATAGTTTTACATAAACTTTGAGCACGTACTGTCAATACGGTTTTTTTTCTTGTCCGAGAAGAATTCCTTTTCAAGTTCAAGCCGGTATTTCATAAAACGTACTCAACATCACAATATACTCTCTCTCTGCTTTATACATCGCAGATAAGCTGCTCAGAGCCATATGAAATAGACAACTACTTGTAGACGAAAAAATTCACGTTTCTTCGACTTCGACCACGTGGCCAGGAGCATCCGGGTCTTTAGGTTCCGTGGTAATCAGTCCTTGCAGCAGGATCTTGTACTGAGTGGTGACGTCACTCTTGACTGTCAACTGTACAGAGAATACAAGAGATTACTACTTTTCATGCAAGCAGTAAGCTGATGTTTGTGTGTAAGGTTATAGTAGTGACAAACTTACTTACGAGACACGTATCAACATTTTTAAACAATCGGTTTCGCTCAGCTTTTCCTCCTTCCCTCATCCAAAATTCTGTCTGGTCCACCGTCGCCTCTGCTGAATACCGCGCGCGATATATTCAGCAGACATTCAACAGAGAAGAATGGAGACCAGTTAGCAACTAACAGACCATTTTCGAGTTGTCTCTGGCCCCTTTTTCAAAACGAAGTATGAAGTGCAAAGTTTGATGGAAAATATCCTTTTATTTTTGAGCAAATAAAGTTCACTTTCACGTGAAAAGTTTCGTATGTGGCTTACATTTGAAGGTGAGGGTTACTGGAACGAACTCGGAACATGATGCCCTTAAGACCATAGATTAACTTAGCGACTCGGGTAATGTTGATGTAAAAGTTGGAAAATGCAATTTTTAGAGTATATGAAGTAAAGACGCTGCGACCACACAGTCCGCGTAACTGGCGGAATTGTTTTTGCGCAAGTGACAGTTTTGGACCGCGAGAGGCGAGCGCCGATAGATTTTAAAGAGTCTCCTCCCCATTCTCCGCACGGCTTCGCAGCTCCTCTGCCAAAACTTTGCCGCCCTAAATAACGACCTCGCCGGCTACGCGGGCTATATCACAAAATACTCACCATTGTGCTCGTGTTAACAGGTTCATTAGGCTGGGGAAGAAAAACACAATTGTACTGTTAGGCTGGTGTATGTTCGTGAGTTTATTTCAAAATGCAGAGGTAAAAAAAAGTTCGTTGGGGGGGGGGGTAATAATGTTACTCTTACAAAAGGTCCACCAAGCTCACGAGAAGAGTGATCTTGGATGTCTGCGGTCTTAACTCAACCACCGAAGAGTGTTAAATTGCGAACGCTTGATCTTCATACAGGCTGACCTTCACATAAAATCTTGAAAGTTGGTACATTTTTCCCAAACCGCGAAACTTCTGTGCCTTCAAGATTCTTCTCCTTTTTACACTGATTTTGATTTTTAATCGTTCAAGGGTCGAAAGAACTTGAACTAGAACAGAACGTTGTGGCACCAATTTGTTATGATACAGTTTATGATATACCTCCGTTGGTTGTGATACAGTTTACAATGGTGTGCCTCGTTGCTTAGGAAGATTGAAGATGGCATTATTTCTTATTACTCATCTGCCATTTAACAGACCATAAGAAATACAACCGCAAAATCATACCCTGTACTGAAGAAGTTTCCCGGGGAGGGTTACTAGGGTTAATTTTTGCCGGGTATGTGCTGCTGGCCTTTCAGAGCCCCTAACTCATTATAGTCTGTTCTGTGGCCAATTATAGACCCCATCTTAGTCACTTTTGGGCAAATATGTAATTTTCGCAATCCCAACTTAGTCACTTTCTATTTAAACAAACATTCTGGTACGTTCGCTAACCGTAAATATGAAGAACTGTCTTACCCCAAAACTCAGAAAATGTGCAACCCCATTCTAGTAACTCTATTGAAAATGCGACCCCATCCAGCGGCACATCCCCATTAGCCTCTTATAAGGAAGTACCCCACCCCCGGAAGAAGTTTCACAACTAAAAAGACTTCAACACTTACGTCATGTCCAGGTGGAGGTTGCCATCGAAACACGATATTCTTCTTAACGCCGATATCTACTCCCGCCTACAACAGAGAGGAACATACGATTATATAATAAGCAATTACTAAATGACGCTGAGTAGGACGTGAAGAATTAAATCGAGGGGATCTGCATAATTCTTCAGATCATACGACAGCCGAATTCAATGATTGTTTTATTATTTATGCAAAATGTTTGCTGAGATTATCAAATGCATCCCAAATAAGATAGTGTAGAGAGCAGTAGAATATATTTTGGTTTTCTAGAAATCTTCTGATTTTCTTGAATTTTGATTATATTGAAATTCTTTGAAGAAGAGATGTTAAAAGTAACATACACAAGAGAAAGGAACCTTTCATTTTAGTTAAGTTAGATGCACGGCATTCATGGAAAACAGGTATAGTTTAGTGTAATTTTGCGTAGTATTTTTATGAGACTCTTTAGATATGTATTTATTATTATTAAATATTGTTATGTAGTTTATACTTCACATGTAACAAAAAACCTGATGAATTTTTACCGTGTTAAAATAAAGCTTTGAGATTTGAGATTTGAGATTTGAGAAAGGACAGCATTTCTACGGCGGTAGTAGGACTCAAATAACCCACAATGTTCTTAAAAGTTGCTTTGACAAGAAAAACTGGCACTAACCTTTAAAGGTTCGAAGCTGAATCCTCTCTCATTTGCTTCTTTAGGATTATCGAAATAAAAGTCACTAGACTGCAAACAAGGAAGAAATTCTTAATATAAGATAAACTAAGCAGAATCTAAACCGAAACTGAAGCTAAACATGAGCAAATAACTCAAGAGTTATGAACGTAAAACTCAGTTCATTACGACTGTTTTATGACAAAACAACAAGAGGTTCGTTCCTGAAAGTTCTTTGTCGCCTGGTGCTTAACCTGAAACAACGCGCGCGGAGTCAACAATACGCGTTATTCTAAAATGAGGGGCGAATTTAGTTATTCTTTTGCCCTCATGATAATTTGCCTTCAATGCCTAATTTCAAGGTAAAAGGTATTCTGCAGATGCAATCGAGGAAAAGAGGGCTAATTAATATAAACATAACAGAAAGTATCGTAGCCACAATTTTTTGGGATAAGGTGTGTGAATATGTTAGAAGCACACCGTACCTTTTTAGTTTGTATACTGGATTTGATGCAGCCGATTTCCACAGCTCTTTCTGCCGGTTCAAAGCCCTCAGGAGTTGAAACACTCTTCATCGTCAACAGGACGACCTTTTGGATTGCTTTTCCGTCTGAAAAAAAAAATCAACAATTAATAATAATTAAAATTTTGGGGGGGAAATTTTTTTCGGATACCGAGCAGAATAAAGGTGTCCTAGCAGAATTTTGAGCACAATAAGCGATTTTTACGGGCACTGCCGGCAGGCAGAATAAGCCATTTTACTATACGAGCAGAATTTATCCAAGCCTACTGACGACGGCTACCACATTTTCCCGCCAAAATGACGTTGGTTCGCGCGCGTACACTACTTAGTATTGAGAAAATCTCATTCTTGCAGTCGTCCTCGTCACGAAAGTGAACTAAACAAGGTTTCAAATCCCAAGGATAGAAAACGTTACTCTGGGTACCAGAGACTTACTGTGTGTCAGCTGATGTGTCGGCCGCAACCATCCCCCCGCACGCGAAAAAAAAATCTCTGGTACCCACGTATTAGCCTACGCAAGCTTTCGATTCCATCGCGGCATCTTTATCAAGTGATGGAGTTGGACAGAATGTCACGTCATTTATACTGTGAATCACGTGACGAAACGTCCCGGTAGACGGGCGAGGGTTTTAAAAGCACCGGACCTCCAGATCTGAAGTTCGAGGTGTTAGCCGCTCGGCTATACACGCTTCCACAATAGTGATACTATTGACTACGGTGATAAATACACGATTAGAACACAGACCTTCTTCTTCATCTTCTTCCACCTCAGCTCTTAGAGATTCAGCACCCGGCATCAACTCGTCCCAGCCCCTCATGTACACGATATTCTGCCAGGCGCGGCCAAGAAGCTTGATTGAGTAGGGTTCATCCTGGAATGGAAAACAGAAGCATATTAAATTTAGAAGACATCTTATCTTAGCACTAGCATGGACAGCTTCTCGCCATAAATTCCTATCTGTGCCTGCCGACTGAAAACAATATATTCAACTCATTCCTGGTTTATCTCTAACTTTCCCGACTAGCCCTTGTACTTCAGGCCCCAGTTGTTCAAAAGATGGATAACACTATCGTCTGGATGAATCTCTATCCAGTGGATAACACAGTTGGTCGCCCTAATACTTATCCGCTGGATGGTGATTTATCCGTTGAAGAACGCTATCCAACGTTTTAACTACCGGGACCCGAAGGGCAAGTTTCTCGCTTCTCAGCGCTTACAATAAAACACAATTTATCTTAAACTTTACTTCTTAAGACTGCTACGCCCTTACACAGTTAATTCACACAGTGTTTCTACACTGCCGCGACATTAATAATTCAATGTTCCCGGCCTGCTTCCGATTGGCCCCGTAGCGCATAGCGCCGGTTGATCAAATTAAAACCTTGCAGGAGTCAAGAACATTTTTTTCAAATTCCTGATTTATCTCACTCTCCTTTCAAGAACTTGCAGTTCCCAAGAATTTGTAGAGTTTCTCCATTCTTAGCAATCATTAAATTATTCCACTTACCCCGCTGTTAATTTCAACAGCAACTTCATCAGCATAAAGCTCGCTGGCGTGGTCGGGGTTAAATGATATTGTGATCTCCTTTGACTCCCCTGCAATGACAAAAGTACAAACGTTATTGATGCAGATATCACTAAGACAGAGTAAACTGAGCGTCTCAAAAAATAATTTCTGATATTTCAGGTTACAACAAACTTTGTTCATATTTGGTATCAGTACAAGATTCTGGGAATCCACCCTCCTACCCCTCCCCACTAAGCTAAAGTTAAAATAAGCTTCCTACTCAAGGGCAAAATGTTGGGCTAAGGAATGAGTGGGTGGGCAGTTCAACTTGATGACAGAGACGATCGAGTGGGCAGTGGCAAGCAATTTGCCTCGGTACAGGATCATCTTCCCACGTGACAGAGAAAATCGTCACAAAGTGTCTGTGGTTGTTTCTTCTTTATCGAACTCACTTTTTGTCGAAGAAACTTACAAGGGTAACAAAAGCATTTAAATAATTTTGACCAAAAAACAGGCCGCTTTTGCCGTGGTTCCACAGCTCTGTACTCAAATAACCATGATTAAATAAACCGCATCTACGATCTGTTGTCGCGGATTGTTTTCATACGATTGTTACTTTAAAAAACTTCTCTGGACCAAAGCAGCTAGTTTAGGCCGTACAGGGACAAATTACTTTAAAATAAGATAAAAATAGCTGTTGTTTCTTCATGTTAGTATGCTGCGGTTGATTTACCGCACACAGTTTGGAATGGCTTACCTGGGCCAATCACACCTTTAGCAGGTACGCAATCAAACACTGCCATGCCGTTGTAATTCGACGGACCTGATGGAAGAAAACATAAACCAGGTTCAATATCATCAATCTACTGTTTGAAACCAGATGAAACACAATTCAGTTCCAGTCCACACCTAGCACATGCTGTTGCGTTTCGGCCATATCGTTGAATGGCGGGAGGAACCTGGGTAATATTTGTGCTCGACTGTGACGTAATGGAGACAAGCTGTCAAGCTTGAGTGAGTAATTGATTGACAGCTCTGATGTGTTGGAAATCTGCAAAAAGAAAACAAGAAGATGATTCAACAGTAAAATAAAAGTGTGCTGACTGGTAAATCTCCTTTTTCAGTCATTTGGTTGCTTAACCTTGGTGACCTTACACAAGGCAAAAGTCTTATCACTAGTTTGAGCCGATTTTGCGGGTATTTCCGTCTAGGCGCTCAACTCAAAAATTTTTGTACTGTACAAAGTTGAAAGCAACGGCAACATTCTTTAATTTTTAAATTTTGTTGTGAATAACTTCTGTTCGAAACGTAACTAATACCTACAAGACAACGCACCGTCACACGTTGCCAGGAAAAGTCTTCTGTTAACTGGACAACAGACACTTAGAACTTTCTTTATTTACCTTGAAAGAGGATGAAATAGTGTCTCCAACTAAAGCGTCTCCTAAATCCAGGACACCATCCTCTACAGACAAAGATATGACTGGCTGTACCCCCCTGCCTTTAAGTCTGATGTAGAGAGTATTCCGGGGGCACCGCACCTCCAAAACTTCATGGAACTAAGAAAATAGACAAAAGCATTTACTACTTTTATAGTTTATCAAGTTCAATAGGGATAAGGACGAGTTTACTTCAAAATAAGCTTCTTGTTTGTTAGTAGATTGCGTAGCAGGCGCTTGGAAGTAGTGGGCGCAAGACTGAAAGAACGGGCGCGCGAGAGGGAGACGAGCGCCTGCTACGCAGGCTAGTTTATTAGAACAATCTACTTTTAAAGACGACATTTGCAGACCGGCTATCTAACTGACCAACTGATGCAACACTTTAAGTATTTGTGCAGCAATTAGCAATGTGTCGAGTTTTTACAGGACCCACTGGGCGATAAAAGAAAATGGTTTAAGGGTTTGTATTTTCTCGTGTTACGGAGTCTATTGTTGATAAATTCTGTTGTGGGGTGTGTGTTGTTCAGTGTCTTTGTATTAAGTGTTAGGATATTTGAAGACCGCACTGATCCACACAAAGAAACTATTCCTTATTCCTTATTGTTCAAGTGAATTAGTCGTCTTTGCTTCGATTGCACCTGCAGAATTAAAAAAACTTTTACACTCAAACGAGGCATTGAAAGCCAATTATTACGATAACAAATAGCTAAATTTGACACCACTTTGGAATAAAGAGTATACTCACTGCAAGATCATTTATTAAAGCGGTTCTTAATGAAAACGTGTACATTTAGCAATTCTCCTACCTCTTTAGGTGCGTTAGGACCAAACGATACAACCACATTGTGAGTTGCTTGTGGTTCCAAGACCCTTAACGCGTTAAGCATCTGGAACGGACCATGGGGGTCTAGTAACGATGAACTCAGCTGTAAGACGAGAAGGAAGACAAAAGTTGGCTTATCCTGGATTTTACTAAGCCTTTAAGGTGGCTTACTAAATAACCTAAATGTATAAAAAAGTTTGCTGCAAAGTTACTTCTTGAGAAACCCTAGAATAATAGAAAATTTTTTTCGGAAGGTTGATCTCGGGGTTTTCCTTGTCTCGCTCGCGCGATTTTTCTATGCGCGAGAGATCTTGCGTAGCTTGCCTGGAGCGCGCGTCGCGCACGCTGTTATTGGAAAAAAAATGTAGTAAGCCGCCTTGAGCTCCAGTAACCACATACAAATTCTCCAGATTGATCTCTATACATTTCCTTTAGAATTAGTTGAGAGAATTTAACCTTTTCTCTTGATGATGTGTTGATATTGTGAGGAGAAATTTCAGATTGATCACTCTTGGGACTCGAATGGTTAACAGAAGCAGAGGTAAACGGTCATTTCGCCCCGGTTACTTAGACCCCTATTTTCGAGTCATTTAGCGCGCTTCAAATGTAATATTCCTCGTTCTTTAAGCCATAAAGCAAACCAAGCGCGCTTCAAATGAAGTATTCCTCGTTCTTTAAGCCATAAAGCAAACCAAGCGCGCTTCAAATGTAATATTCCTCGTTCTTTAAGCCATAAAGCAAACCAAGCGCGCTTCAAATGTGATATTCCTCGTTCTTTAAGCCATAAAGCTAACCAAGCGCGCCTCAAATGTGATATTCCTCGTTCTTTAAGCCATAAAGTAAACCAAGCGCGCCTCAAATGTAATATTTCTCGTTCTTTAAGCCATAAAGCAAACCAAGCGCGCTTCAAATGTAATATTCCTCGCTCTTTAAGCCATAAACCAAAACAAGCGCGCTTCAAATGTACTATTTCATGTTCTTTAAGCCATAAACCAAACCAAGCAAGCTTCAAATATAATATTAATTCCTCGTTCTAAAATAGGGGGCTAAGTAACCGGGGCGAAATGACCGTAAAGCGAAGCAGAGGTTAAAAGATATGCCAGCTCACCTTCAGAGGTTCGTCGGAAATATTTTGTATCGTAAAAGATTTCACTTCTGATTGACCTGTCGAGAACAATCAGGAACAACTGACTATTTTCGAATCTCCCATAATACACTATGTTTACCCCCCAAATTTTGCATAAGTTATTGTTTTCACATGTTGTAGGGAAAGTGCAGTCCTCCAAGGAGCATTTCAAAAGAATAACTTATGCAAGATTGGGAACGGAGGGATGGACGGAAAGGGACGTCAACAATTGTCCTTGGACTGTTCCCTTATGGACCAAAGGAATAACGCTGGTAAAATGTTCAAAACTTTGCAATGAAGTTTCACTTGAGTTTTGTACATTTTAACTTCATTTCTCTTGTCGATAAGAGTATAGCCCATGGAAGATTGTTGTCTATTTGTTAAGTGGGCTCTCTGTGCACTGACAACTTTGTGAGGTCCTTCTTACCAAGGGACACATTAGCGTAGTCTAAAATGGGTCTTCCACAATCTGAGACCACCACCAAATGAGGCCGGACAGCTGGACAATGTACCTCCAGATAAAGAGTGTTGTGTACACTGCGGAGAAGAGAAATAATTGAAAATTGCTAAGTCTGGAAAAGGAAAAAGGTAAAGGTCTTTACTTTATGTCGGCAACTCGTAACGGTACTATATCTACAATTAAATGGGCGACAAAAACGCGCAACTTGTTTTGTAACATGGCTCCGAACGTGTTGAAAGGCGATGTTGCGCGTTTTACCATCCACGTTCGAACCTGGTTGCTGCAAATTGCGTGAATACTAACTTCTGATTGGATAAATTTACACGGGAGTCACGCCATACACAGGATTTACGTCACTTTCTGCAAGACAAGTTTTCCTTGGGTGGGTAAAACGCGCAACATGTACAGATTTTGTTGCAAAAGTAGAACTGCTCTCTACTTTGTGCAACAACTTTTCGCAACCTGCAACAAATTATCATTCTCTGTTGTTACAAGACAGGTTTGAACGTGGGTGATAAAACGCGCAACATCGCTATTCGACTCATTTTGCAGCAATGTTGCAAAACAAGTTGCACGTTTCCGTTGTCCGTTTTAACGTTCCTTTAGACTGACAAACGTCTGGCCGACGGTGCGCTCATTTTTACTCCCCCTTGTCCATCAGTGCTCCGTGTTACCCGTATTTAGAGCTAATTAAAGCTACACGGAATGGAAAGAACTCGAAACAAGGATTTGACGTCACAACTGGGAATCGAAGTCAAAGCCTTCCGCACAGAAGGCAGCACACTGACCGACAGTGCCAGGATAGGTTAAAATCTCGGATACAGGTCCACGGCTTTCATATAACAGTGAAACGCGTCAGCGTAAGCAATGACGACAGCGACGGCAAGGAGAATGACAAAAAAGCATTAGGTGCAGATTAGTAAAACAACAAATTTTCACGTGCATCACGCTTTTTTGTACATTTCTTTGCCATCGTCGCACGACTCCGGCAGTACGACGGGAAAATACCTAATTTCACTTATGGTGGAAGACGTGAATACAAGATAACGACTTTCTTTTTTTTCTCCTGAACTTCAATAAGGTCCTTCAGAATGAAACTCCAGAAAAATTCACCAACATTTGCCCAGTCGAATTGAACGAGATGGAATAAACGCGATAGAGTTTGAAGCAGCGCGAATTCACTTGAGTTTTAAGTGACGTGGTTGTAGTCGTTAGAGAGCTTTAGATTCTAAGACGAGTTCGACTACGAGTACGAGATTTTCTCAATACTAAGTAGCGCTCGCGCGTGAGCCAGCATCATTTTGGCAGGAAATGTGGTAGCCGTCGTCACTCTACTACGAGTTTTAGCGAGAATGTCGAAGTGGCGGAAACAAGTTATTAAAAGTTAGTAGTTTTATCATTTTGCCATCAGGAGAGGGTGCAACCTCCTTCACTAAAGGTAACAGTGCTAACTTTTCGCGTGAAAAATAGTGAAATGAAGCTTTCTGGGAAGTCTATATTTTGAGAATACGCGAAAGTCAAATCTCGTACTCGACGTCGTCCTCGTCCTTGAATCTAAAGGTCTCTAATGTTACTTGAGCTTTCTAGTAACTCTTTCTACAGCGGGAAATCGTGCATTTTTTGGCGTACCATGTGTAAACTTACCTGCAAGAAAGGCTATTTGGTTCAGTACACCGCCCCGGTGCTACGAAGCAAGGAATCACAAAACGAGAAAATGTATTCTGGTAAGTTCTCAGCAAAGCCAAGTGTGCAGATTCGTATTCATTTGACCTACAACAAAGATTTCACGTGGAATTACAACTCAGCAGCTACAAAAACAGCAGAAGCAGGACCAACATTTACATCTATATATACTCTACATAATTCAGAAATAATAAACTGGCACTTTTTGGGCCTTCTACGCATGTAAAACTGCAAATTTCGGAATTCGATTATCGACACGGGGGGAAGGATAACTTCTTCCTTGCGCCAGAAAGGAATGAAACATTGTGATCTACTTGTAAGAGCAAAACTTGTCGCCTTGTAAGTAGCTGTATTAAAGGTGTACAATTTTTTCACAAACAAAATCGTAAATAAAAGCCAGTCGACGACATCACGTTATGAAAACCAGTAGCAAGAGTCGATACGTCGTGATCATTGTTGAAGTGACCATTGAAAGGCCAAGAGCTTATCCTTCCACTTATCATAGACAAAACAAACCAAAAATACACAAAGGATTGTAATATTTTCGTAACATCGTAAACTCACCCATCGATGACGTCATCAATGGTGAAGGTTTTGACGGGGGTCTTGGAACTAGTGGCCAGGTTTGGCACACTCGGTGTACTGCCTCGCTTTGGTGATGTCTTGGCGCTCTTACCCGCGGGAACAGCTTTACCGCCCTTCTTTTTCTGTTTAAAGCATTGAAACGTGATCTAATCAGAAACTAAGAAATAGGTACTTTTAATAACAAGAGGTAAGTCTTCGTTACCCGACACTAAGAAAGGAGAACTTCAGGACGCGACTTAAGAGCCCATGACCGTAAATATCGAGAATCGCTGGCCAGGCTAAAAAAATCGAAAATTCTGATAATTTGTCAGAAAAACCCCTTTCGGAAACTATCTTCGAAAAAAATATTTTCAACTTTCAAGAATCTATAGTTTTCGAGAAAATGAGGAAAAACGAAAATAGCGGTTTTTACCTAATTAATTATGCAAAAATTAGAGTAAAAATGACCTACTTTATCGCGTCTGTACCGAGGCAAGATTCAAAGCTATAAAACAGAAATATTTTTTGTTTAAAAGAATTCTATCTTTTCTTTCTATCTTTGGTATGTTTTAAGCCATAAACATGATTTTGAATTTTTTTCGGTTTTTTAAAAACTACCACCAAGCGCACTTTTTAAAATGGCTAAAAAATGAGCAACTTCAGAGGCGAAAAACCCACCTTGGTATGTGTGATACCTAGTCAAAATGTATTCTAGGACAAAGTTCAGCTCTTACATTAACAGAATATGAAATAAAAAATCTGGGTACTCCGGATTCGCCTTTACAAAATAAAAAGTTTCGTGACCACCAGTGGCAACATGTCACAAATTTGCATAAATCAAATTTGTAGAGAAATGATGCGCCCGATTTTTCTTTGTAGTTTCGGTACGTGGTATATTCGAAACGTAGGAGAAAGGATGAAAGCCCTTTTAATGAAGCTAAAATTAAGTAAAGGATCTGAAAAATTGATATCCCTGATAAGAAATTGCTGTGAAGGTTGGTGACACAATGTGGCAAATTTGCATATAAATGCATCTGCATATTCCTATCGTACACAAGGACGGGTTTCAATACTGTTAGCATCACGCAACATTTGAGGTTTGAAATAGCAAAACCAGGAGAATAGCTAACGTTAAATGTTTTGTAATTTGTATGTTAGCTCTTCTTAATTGTACATTATAAAATTAAGGTTGCTCAGCAATTGTTGTTGGGTGTTGTAGTGCTGTATTCTGCAATTGCGTGACAGTTGTCAAACTCGATCAAAAAAATGAGAGGTTTTGAAGTGTGTAAAGAAATATTATTCATGTCAGATGACTTAACTTTACTTTATTCACCTGAATGAATTTCGCGGTCATACATCTTTCTTGGAGTGGGCACATGCTTTTATGGTACCGATATAGATTATTCGTCAATGCATTTTAGCCGATTTGCCATTAATAACTTACATCAGACTCTATAAGTTTTCAATCAATAAAAATCCAAAATAGTTAATTTTCTTGGTAGTTTTTCAAAGTTATATTTTGGTAAAATTGCCACGTCTCGCATATTAAAAATAACGTAAGTAAAGACAAGATTAAAGTAATCATCGTCCCCTTTTCTCTCTTTTCTGAAACTCTTCCACCTCCTCTTTCTGCCTCTTCACTGTTCGTGCGTTCAGCACTATTAATTAAGCCCAGACACGATTTCGAACAGCCAAAGATGGTCAAAGATCGCCAAGTGGACTGACCCGTAATTGTGCCATTGATTAGTTGAAACCTTCATTGAATGGACCCTCACGGATCCTTGCAATTGTTCTCTCAATAGAAAAAGTAAATCAGATGGACGGAGTACTGCCGACAGTGGGGCCTTATGGGTGTTTTTTTTTTTTGGGAACCATGAATATCCTTCATGAACCCATTTAGCTTTCCATTTATTCGCCAAGGTGATAAACTTATCAAAAATCAACAAGGATAGATTTTTCCACTGGTACCTCTTTTAGCAAATTTTCACCTATCTTCATGTATCTTGAGAGAGTTACACACACAAAAAAGCAACATTTGGGGTAAAAAAATCTACTTCCAATTTTTCTATTCACCTTCTATTCTCTGACTATTGACTGGCTAAAGGCAGTAAGTTATAGCACAGAATCAACCTAAAACAGCAAATATACTGATTTGGGGTCTTCTCGACAAGAACTGTCACAGGGAACCCAGAACCTCAGCCTCACACATTGACAATCTGTAACCAGCTGTTGTCATGTTTCGTTCCTGCGGATATATAATATTAGATACCGTCCAAACTTAAGGACACTTTAATTAAAGGGCCTGCTGCTAAGAGGGAAATATCTAAATATTGGATTTTTTTGCCTGGTATCACAAATGGCTGGAGCTAAAATTTTCGTGGTCAAAATTTCAAACCAAGGAAAAAATGTTTTTCCGTAATTTTTTTGGTAACGGCACATGTTATCCAGCAATTAAAAAGCCCCCACCCCCTCGCATATGCCATAGCTAAACATCAATTTAAGAGCAGTTTTATCGCATAACTCTTCTTTCCCTTTGTCTGAAGTTCTTTCCTTCTTTACTTTGGGAAACGGTTAGGCGTAAAAAAACCGCCGATGCCACTTACTTACCTCGCTATGTTATTTAGCTCCTTGGTCGCTATCAACTACCCTGCGAGCAGAGGCCCTTCGATCTTCCTAGATACGTCGGGAAGAGGAAGAGAAGGGTAGCTATCAACTAAACAGTGATTCGATCGGACGTTCCGGTATGAAGGCACGAGCTGGGACATTGCCGGTACTGACGTTAATACTCCTGAGCAAAAGGCAGGTATTTCTTTAAACAAAACTTGGGTCTGCTGTAAACTGAAAAACGTACTCAAGTTACGCTTTTACTCTGCGTCGCCTTAATTACTGCCTGGTTAGTAAATGGTGCTTACGTCGATATAAGTTCGTTCCCGGATACTGCGATAGGCCAGGGGCGTCATAGATGACCTTTCTGATACTTCTTTTTTCAAGATGATGCTACGTTTTGCAAGCACTCGACATGGGTGGGAGTTGGTTAGAGTAGCTCAAAAGCGGTGAACAAGGAGTCTTATCTTCCATGGACAAATCCTAGTCGCATCGTCGTGAAAGGTGGTCCATGTGCGACCACCTATCCAAAACACACCAAAACCCACCCAGTTAAGTCTTACAGTTGGAATCTCTCCTGTAAGCGCCTGCGACCACTAATTGGGGCTGACTGATCAATGATTTTGCATTGTTTTTAACTTCTTGTAAGCGACCACCTGACGAGTTTTCTGATCTCTTGTGGTAGGAACAACAACAACATGAAACTGCGCATATCGTAACTTGGAAATTGCATGCAATAAATTATCTTCCTTAAAGTAGATGTGTCCACTTTTCTTCTCAAAGAAACCTCCTGTGGTCCGATTCTCGTAAGAGACCACCCCCCGTTAGCGACCACTAAGTCTGCGCATTTTGGGTGGTCGCTTTCGGGAGGTTCGACTGTACCGCTGGTCTCCTTTTCCAGTTCTTCGGCGGCGTCGGTTGGAACTTGTTTTGTTCATGGGTTTGGCGTATAGATTTACACACCAAGGCGCTGCTAGATTATTTTTTGAAATCAACAAATATCATTTTGTATTTGAAGGAAAACGCCCCTTGGCAGGTGGTACAACTCGAGATGACCTAAAAGGGGCAGTTTTGCGGGAAAGGTGTTTCGGATTCGTTTCGGAGGAGAGAAACCGCTGGACCGTATGAACTACGATTACTTAGCTGTTTCCTAGGGCCTTTGGTAGCTGCCTAATTATACCTCTATTTGTGAAAAAGTAGAGAAATTAACCAGGGGACGGTTTGTTGTTTGTAATACGTAGTAAAAAAATCAGATTTCAACATCTCTGACAAGAAAATGCTATCTTTTAGTGCGTGACTGACAGGCCCGGACCCCGGCTTCTCTCATGCAAAGTTAGTATCCCTTCTTTCTGAAAATAAAATAAACTACTGAGAAACAAATGATGTTGCGAACAACGCATTGTCTGTTCAAAACAAAGTTTCCATAAAATTTCATAAGGAGAAAAAAATCAGTAAAAGAAGGCGGAGCTGCTCGAGACGTCGTTGTGTGACATTGTTACTCCAACTGTTTGTTTATGGCTTACTCTCACGCAGTGTATCCCGTTCGCAAAAAACCTCCTTCAAAATAAAATTTCAAGGAAAATGTACCTACCTATTTTAGATATACCGGAGTCGAATTTACGATGATACAGATGGATGCTAATAATACAAGGAAGTTAGGAAACGAAACGAGAGACATGGGATATAGTTTACATAATAATTCGGCGCTTTTATATAACGCTTCTTCGAGGTCGTTTTTTATTATTATTTTTTTGCGAACGGTTAATTACTCTGATATTTTAACACAAACGTTATCAAAAAACGTTTTCTTACTTCGTGATGTTTCCGAACATTACATACTGACCCTGAATTGAAACAAAACCCGGCTGCCGCAACATTTCTCTACAAATTTGACTTATGCAAATTTGTGACATTTTTCCACTGGTGGTCACGAAACTTTTTGTTTTGTGAAGGCGAATCCGGAGTACCCAGATTTGTTATTTCATATTCTGTTAATATAAGAGCTGAACTTTGTCCTAGTATACATTTTGGCTAGGTATCACACATACCAGGGTAAGTTTTTCGCCTCTGAAGTTGTTCATTTTTTAGCCGTTTTAAAAAGTGCCATTGATGGTAGTTTTTAAAAAACCATAAAAAATTCAAAATCATGTTTATGGCTTAAAACATACCATGGATAGAAAGAACAGATAGAATTATTTTACACAAAAATATTTCTGTTTTATAGCTTTGAATCTTGCCTCGGTACAGACGCGATGAAGTAGGTCAATTTTACTCTAATTTTTGCATAATTAATTAGGCAAAAACCGCTATTTTCGTTTTTCCTCATTTTCTCGAAAACTATAGATTCTTGAAAGTTGAAAATATTTTTTTCGAAGATAGTTCCCCAAAGGGGTTTTTCTGACAAATTATCAGAATTTTCGTTTTTTTTAGCTTGGCCAGCGATTCTCGATATTTACAGTCATGTGCTCTTAAGGACACAGATCATGGAAGAAGGAAAAACAACACCACGAGACCACTACTCAAAAACTTTAAAGATCGTTCTTTGAAAAAGAAATAAATAAAGCCGGCTATAGGTACAAGGTCATCACTGAATTGCAATTGCACAGTCACTAACTAAAGTCAGATCAATTTTCTAAGTAGCTCCATTCAATTCGTCCCTTAAACATCAAGTACTATGACAACGAGATTGACCTCCTTTGCACACTTTTTGGGGAGCTATGCATGTTTGCTATATGCGACCGCTGAAAAAGAAAAGGCATGACTGCAGACTCACCTGTCCAGCGGGTTGTTCCTGTGGTTTGTCTTGGGGCGAGGCCTGCTCCAGTCTCTTTCTCTCAGCCTCAGCTTCCCGCTCCATCATGCGTACGCCCTCCAACCGCACCATATTTGGATCCATCCGAGGGGTGAAAGTCACGTGAACCAAACACCGCTGAAACAAAGTACCGAGTTAATCCGCTGACATCCAGTTAACATACACCTTTGGAAATTCGAGATTATCTTCGGTGTTTTTGGATTTTTTCGCGCGAAAATTTCGAGCATCTTACCTCTCCAGGATTGACAGTGCCAACAGCTGGAGACACGGTCAGCGGTGCACCGGCAGGGACCACAAATTCAAACGACGTTGGGCCCACCTCAACAATGGGCCCTGAGCCAATTCTTGGCACAGGATGAGTGAATTCATTGGCGCTGGTGTGTGAATTGATGACTTCAATATGAGCAGAGCACGTATCACTAACGGCGGTGGCTTTCATTTTTATCACAGAGTGGGACAGCTCCAGCGGGGGAAGAACGCCAACGGCTCGACAATGAATCTTGAACTCACGACCGATTCCTGTTTTACAAGTTAGGTCAAACTCGTATTCCTGCATAACAACAAACAAGACAACAGCAACAAAACAGGTTAGATCAAACTCGTATTTTTAAATACACAACAACAACACAGGTCAAGTTCGTATCCTTGAGTAAACAACTACAAAAACACAGGGTAGTGCAAACTCGTATTCCTGAATAAACAACAACAACACAGGTTTGGGTAAACTTTAAAATGCACCCTTATTTAAATAACTATAAACCTGAGGACCAGCTGAAAGAAACGGCTACAGTACTCACCTTGGCTTTTTTAGCATTGAACATGATATCCAGATCAAAACTCTCCAGTGGTAACAATGTACCAAATCCATCATTAGGCTGAACATCAACCGTCTACAACAAGTACGGAATAAGATCAGATCAGAATTATACAGGGTTCGTACAAATTTTTTTAACCAAAGTTCAAGACTTTTCCCCGACTTTTTTCCAAAACAATAATTTCTTTTTCCAGCCTCAAGGTTATCAAATCTAGTGATCAATACATTCCTGCGTTTTTCTAAAAAATCGCAGGGACAAAGCCTTTTTCATGATACGTACGGGTGAGATTGAATAAGATTTGACAAAAACGAAAAGACTTTCACTTATATCTAAAGCACTTGTTGTAGCTTTGAAAAAAATCAAGACTTTTTACCATTTTTCCAGACTTAATCTCCACTTTCAGTCTTTTTCCAGGTCTCGAAAATTGCTGGGCAAATTTCAGACTTTTTCAAGAATTCAAGACTCTACGAACCCTGATTATAGGTTTGGCATCTTTAAGACCGACAGAACTGATCGTAATAGGGAGGTTTAACTGTACCTCACGGTTCACATGGAATAAATATTATCTTAAAAATGTTCATTCATTCAGTCATTGAAAAGGACCCTAATCCGACTGTAATTTGTGATCAACTTTCTGAACTCTTCAGCTTTGGATTCTGGATTCCACGCTGTGGATTCAGGATTCCTTGTCAGTGGAATTTAGATTCCGGATTCCATGAGCTGAATTCTTGATTCCAAAACCTTGGATTCCGGAATTTCACGTCAAGAAAAGAATTACCCGGATTCCGGAATGCCGATTACCTTACGTAGGAAGAAACAATCTCATTCTTGGAAAGTAATTTCACTTACATCGGGTACTCCACAGAAGCCAAAAGGTTGTGGAAGTACCGACTTGTTTGTTATGGTGACCGTTCGACGCACAGATTCATAAACTGTACAGAAACCAAAATCAATATCTTGCATGTTGAATTCTATGTCTGATGACGTCACTACAGCTCTCACTTTGAAGGGAACTGGGCGAGTCTGCAAAAAAAAACCACCCGAACAAAAAGGTTAAAAAACTCTGCCAACGATAAACGTGTATGGCAGAAAGTTCCTCGTAAACATTATTTCCCGTCATTTTCACACCTACAGTTTTGAATTTAGCTTGTCCCCGAAGCGTAAAGACATGGAAAAAATTGTAATCATAAAATCTAAATGAGATCTATAAGAATACATCTCGGCTATAACATTGGAACAATAAAAGGCATCTAGGAGACTTCGTGCAAATAATAAAAAGCTAGTTCACTGGACAATTCGAAACGAGAGTCGCAAATTAACATCAACAATCTTAACAAAGACGTGGACCGTTTATTCAAAACAACAACAACAACAACCACAAGAAAACGCCTTCTGAATAATTTTCAGTGCAGCCACAAATGGAGAGATATAAGATACCTGATCTGCTACTCTTATTACCATTGGCGCCTCCAATAACCTGGTTTCACGGTCGAAGTATGTAGGACAGTCATCTGGTAAGGTTTGCCTACGATCAATTGAGATAGGTAAAAGTTTAATGACACTGAAAACAGCAACTGGCTTGCTAGGCAACACATTTGACGCGGTATTTCAAGCAAATTCCTGAGAAAGACCCAAATTTCATTTTGTGAAATACTATTCTAAGTAACAAATAGCACCATTCAAAAGTACCGCTATGGAGGATATATTTGAATGGTCAAACCATAGGATTTTGTTTAAAACCTCAAAAAGGTATATCTACCTTAATGATTCTGGCGGTGACAGCGACAAAACATTTGTCCAAACAAGAAAAGAAAAAGGGAAGAATTGAAGTATTTTCTTTAATTTAAACCATTTTTATTCAGCGATGTTAGCGCTTTTAGAGGGTAGTTTGATGGCAATTCGTGGTACTTGCATTATTACACGATTTCATTGGCTGAATACCTACGCCATTTTGACATTTAACCAATCAGAAGTCAAATCGAAACCAATCGTCACGTGCTCGCACTCGTTTACCCGCGCTTTTCACCGGTTGCATGCATCAGCTTCGAGATCTGATTGGTTTATCGGCTTTTCCATAACTTATGTGATCGGTCTTTCGACACATGTTACAACAGTCGACACGCATATATTGAAAACCATTCTACCCTCAATTCTACTGACAGAAAAATAGTTTTCACCTGGGAAGAAACTTGAGCTGAGCAGAAAACTGTGACTCAGCCTGGATGTAGGCTGTTTTCGGGAGAAGCTCCAGATGACTTCTGAGTTCTTTACAAACTTCAAACTTCAACCTAAGAGCTGACGTGGCTCTGTGGAGATACATAAAACCGTTAATTTGTAAAGCTCAATGCCTTGTTTCATTAAATAAACGACAGCTGAAATTACCTGTTGTTGACGAGAATTGCATCTTGATAGAGTCTGTCATACATACACATCTTCAAATCCACAACCTTTTGACCAAACAAAGCGTCTACTGTTAAGCCTTCTCAATTTCAATAATTGTCAAAAAAAAATTCGAGTTAAATCCCAAATTCCATGTTGTAAAATGCTAAAAACAAGTAGCAGTGAGTCGCGTCTTAAATAAGACGCGAACTTCCTGTATGAATAGCACAAAAAATGTCTTCGTGTCTTAAATAAGACGCGACTAAGCTAAGACGCCGCTGAAATGCTCGTATAAATGGTGCAGTTTGCGTATTATGGAATGTCCCGTTTTGAAAAATTTAAAAACCAAATTCCTTTAATGACATGCAATTTCACCTCATAGTAGTTTCAATCTTTTTAAAACGTGTGTGAAAGATCATGGAGATACCTCCAGCCGATTGCTAGAAAGGAGGATTTGATTAGTACGTATAGGGGCGCTCTTGTTAGCGGTAATGTAAACATTTCAGTCTACTTTAACAAATTAGCGAATAATTTTTAAACCGCTCGATAAATTTTTTAGAAAATTTACAAGTCTTGAGATTAACCCTCCTTTTATATGACCTCTTAGTTTCAAGATTATTGATATATTGTAAGGCAGTAAAATAAGGGCTTGAATTCGCTAACATTTTGTCAGAAATTTTGTGTTTACAAGTGAAAGCCTCTCATTATTCAGGGCTATTGTCTCCAAGTTTCATATTTTCGTGCACAACAATAGCTAGCAGTTTTGCATATGTCAAATGCATTGTTAGTTACTGCTGTTCACGTGAAAATGAAACTTTGAGACAATACCCCTGAATAATAAGAGGCTCTCACTTGTAAAGACAAAACTTCTGACAAAATATTAGCGAATTGTAGCCGTTATTTTACTACCTTACAATATATCAATAATCTTGAAACTAAGAGGTCAAATAAAAGGACGGTTTATCTCAACACTTGTAAATTTTTTAGAAAATTTATCGAGCGGTTTAAAAATTATTCGCTAATTTGTTAAAGTAGACTGAAATGTTTACATTACGGCTAACAAGAGCGCCCCTATACGTACTAATCAAATCCTTCTTTCTAGCAATCCGCTGAAGGTATCTCCATGATCTTTCACACACGTTTTTAAAAAGATTGAAACTACTATGAGGTGAAATTGCATGTCAAAAGCGCTTCGTTTAGTACAGATAACAGTCCAACATCAAGATTGTCAATTTTTTACAGTATTTCTAACCAGAAAAACTTCATCCCAGAATATCTCGATAACGCTCTTACAGATTTCGCTTAAACTTCACGAACATCGAGGCAGCTATCGTAGGTAAAAGCTCCAGTAAACGATTTTGGAAGAACAGTTCCCAGTGCTGAGAAATACTGCTGCAAGTAAAATAGGTAATGGCGTCATTTCGTTGCTATGACAACTCCGATCTCATTGTAACCCTGATCATAACAAGTTTTCATCTTTATCTAATACAACTGTGGTGTTAATTTTGCCAAATCTTTGTTTATGGCGTCGTAGTTTACGCTCAAACTTGGGAGGTATTGACCCTGACAAACTGTATCGAGCCACCTTAAATCTCTTGACGATTAAAGGACACATCACCATGGCAAAAGTGTCAAGTTTTGCTCTGGTAGAGAACATATCAAACTGTTTATGTCGGGAAACAAATAACAAAACGATATAAAGACTGAATAAGGTACCTCTCGTTGCACCCAGACAGGCACATCAATCCCTGTACCTCTAGCACGAATCATTATCTGTCGGAGAACCAGAAAAAAATTAACTCAATCAGTGAGGTTTGTGCCTTAAATTCGAGTGTTGGGCATTCTAAGATCCTTGGGAAACTGCTGCTGCGTTAGAAAATTGGTTAGATTCAGAGCAAACACATGACAAAATCATCGATCCACTTTAAACAGTAATCATTCCTCGGCTACTGAGAAGAATCTCTATCACAGAAGCATGTGAGTGTGCTGGTTTTGTAAAGGTCTATGAGATCGATAGATCGATTTTCGTATGACCTTGAAAAATGGTTTCGGTAAGTGTTATTTGATTTAGCAGCCAATGGATGAAAAGATCAAAACATGGATTCTTCGTTGGGCCAACTTTTTCAAGTTTCAATGCTACGCCTGCAAAAATCACCGAAAAAAATATTATTAGGATTATTTTTCCGTGACGAAATTTGTTTAATATATTCTTCTTCACTCTACAAGAGCATTTTGTGTATGGTCAAACGCACTAATTAGTAAGTAATGACTTTAGCACAGAATTAACGTCAAACAGTAACATCTTTGTAACATAGTCCTTTAAAGCAAGGTTTTTGGAGACTGCTCCATAACTTGTCTTCGTGTTTTGTACTTACAGGTGGCGACAGAGGGTCAGAGAAGGAAATCTCAAATTCCGCGACTGCATTTCCTGACTTGAGAGGGTTAAATACCACCTCCAGCTGGACTATTGAAAATGGTGCAATTTCACCAGAGGTGAGCTGATGATAAAACATAAAGGAAATAAGAAAGTAAATAGAAAATTAATCATCTTTAATAAAGAAATTATCAATAAGTGATGGGACAAAGAACGATTGAGTCCAAACTCATGGCATCCCATTCACCGGTTTGTCACTATAAACAACCTGATTTGCGCAGAGATTCATAGCTAGATGGGCCATTTACCAGGTTCATAGTTATCGGGTCATGTAGCAGGTGCTCGGAAGAGAAGTCACCAATGGTGTCTAACCCTGACCCTAAACAATACTAAAACAATTGAATGAATGACATGTCATTGTTTCCTGCGACCAATTAGAAGAGACCTTACGAGCACCTCCTACACTACTCTAATTATCTGGCACGCGTTTCGCACACTGCTAGGATTAGTATAGAAAGCTGGACACTCGACAATGACAATCTGTACGTAAACAGGTCTACAAATAATTTTTCTTTTTAGAAAAGACGTATGTCCGAACAGGTCATTATTCAAGTCGGAAAAACCAGAGACGTCGGATATACATTATGATGACTTTTAATTTATCAACTACCATCTATTAACCAAGAATGGTGCGGCGGTTAGCAGAAGTCACAGTTGTTACTGACCTTTCCAACCCTTAGCCCTTCTAATATGGACACTTCGGTTGGGACTGGTGATGAGGCAGATACAGCAGGAACAAGCTCTCCTGAAATATAATCAAACCATACTTTGATACAAAACGCAAACAGAGGTGGGATTCATTATCATGAATGTCAACGAAAACTCAATAACTGTAAAATACTGCTTCGGCTTAGAAATAAGCGTACCACTGAAAAAGATGTTACTGTTACTTTATATCACACTGCTGGCAAACACAGCGTGGAATATTACCAAGAAAAAACATCGGAAATTGTCTACAAACCTTCTTGTTCGTCCCCAGTTCCCTCTGGTGCTGCTGAAGCATCACCCTCAGTAGTGCCCATTCCTTCCTCAAACTTAACTGCACTCCCGGTTTGGGGATCTAGGCCCTTTTCTGGACTTTCGCCTTCTGTGGAGTGGGGAATGAACAAATTTAGAAAAACACTAGAACGAATGCCGAAGATCAATCTATCAGTGTACTAAAACTTGATTACTTTTAGACTACGCTAATTTTATGTCAGAGGGCAACACCAAAACTTGACAAAACCCCTTGTAAATGTTCATTTTGTTTTGACTACAAAATGAAACGAGGCAAGTTTATCAAACCTTTCAATATGTTAGTGAGTGGGTGAAAAGAGCGTAGTGGTCCACTGCATTTGTGAGATACCGTAAAATTCCGAAAATAAGCCCCGGGGCTTATATTTTTCAAAGGCCCTTTTCGAGGAGCTTATTTTTGGAGGGGCTTATATTTGGAGGCGCTTATCTATGGACGGAAATTTTCGTTTCAAAAGCGATTGGGCTAGCCTTATAGTTGGAAGGAAATTTACCATTTTTGCATTGTTTTACCTTTGTATTTGAGGGAAATTTCCAAGTACAAGCCCCCCGGGGGCTTATATTTGGAGGGGCGATTTAACGGAAGGTTTTTTGCGTTATGAGTTTGAGGGGCTTATATTTGGAGGGGCTTATTTTCGGAATTTTACGGTACTATTTGGATGTTTTTGTTTTTTCACTGGGCACTGAAAAGGTGGAAAAATGCAAATTTTGTGTCAATTCTGTGCTTTCACTCACGTGGCCAGCATCTATGCAAATTTATTGGAACAAAAGAAAGCGTTTACATAAGAAAAGAGTTCGACCCCCACAGGACTGGTTTGGGACACAAACATGGCCGCCGTTTCATTGTTTTGGGATACAAATATGGCCACCGTGACGTCATGTGAAAACACACAATATATTCACGTAAGTAGGAGCCAAAAACAGACTTTTTGTAGAACCTTCTTGTTCCACATGTCCAGTTGCTTCCGTCGTACCGCCACCTTGCGCTTCTTTAACATCCTCCGCCGCCATTCCCTCCACATTCTGTAGTTCACCATTTGTTTGGTTATACTCTGGCTGTCCACCATCAGTAACAGTCTGGGAGAAAAGTTACAAGCAAAGCATTAGTATTTGTATAAACAAACTGAAACTCTTGTCTTCAAACCATTTACAATTACTTCAGTTTAATCGAGACCTTTAGATTTTAAGACGAGCACGACAACGAGTAAGAGATTTTCTCAGTACTAAGAAGCGCACGCGCGTGAATCAGCGTCATTAGGGACTTTAAGATCCAACGACGCAGACGGCAACGAGAACGCAAAAAAAAACATTGCTTTCACAAGCAAAACAGCAACTTCGCACGTGCACCACGCTTTTTTGTACATTTCTTTGCCCGTTTTTGCAAGACTACGACGTGAAAATGCCTAATTTCGCGTTTTATGGAAGACATAAACAAGCAACGACGAAATTTTATTTCTCCTTTTGAACTTGGATATGGTCCCTAGGAATTCAATTCTAGGAGGGTTCGCCTACATTTGACAAAGTAGGCTGATTTAGCAACAGGACGGGAACGTCATTTGACGACGGGAAAGCGCGCGGAAAGGACTAAACACGACTTCCTGTGCCCAATTTGCCGCTCTGCCATTGGTCAAGCAAGTTAATTGATTTGCGCGCGCCGTTGTCAACTGACGTTCCAGTTCTGTTGCTAAATCAGCCTATATGCAGAATCTGATTGGCTACCCGAGCAGGCGAGATGAGACCACCTTGCAAGCTCGGGATTTCCCGCGTTGGTCCCGCAAGGAAAAAGTTCACTTTTTAGCCATATAATAGATACTTTTTTGACCAAGGTTGTTCGGTCAAGATGGCTGTATATAGGCCTCATTCCTTTTTGTGTGTTAATCATAACTATGACAAAATTCTCAAAGCTGATTGGCTATCAACTGTCCTGATTTCAGCACTTATTGACTTCGACTTCACCTCCGTTCATAATTACGCAAAAAGAACTTGGCCAATATCCAGCCATATTGGCCAAACATTGGTCAATAACGTACTACGCAATTATTACCATTCCACCAATGGAACTTAGTTCCGAAGTTGAAGCTGACCTTGCCAAACCTACAAAAAAAACGGGAAAGTCACATTATGCCAACGACTTCTTTCCTTTAGAACTACACTTGCTTTTCATCCACTTACACAGAGCTTATATTTGAATACTTAACTGTAACATAGCAAAAATGGTTTTATTGAATTCCCAACTTTCCGCCTTGGTTTTCAAGAAATAAGATGCCGTTAGTGTATCCACGAACACAGAAAAAATTTTACAAGTGGTCATACCAAAAATACTATCCCAAACATCCTGTAGCTGAAGAATACATCGCAGTTTTATACGAACATTCTGTCACGCAATAAAGTACAATTTGTCACACTACAAGTCACACCATGCATCTTTCTAAAACATCCGCGAATACCTGTTATTTTTTTAAAAATTAACTCTGTTCCCAATGCTCCGTTGTTCGTAACATTGATGATTCGCCTTCTTGTTTCTCCCAAAACTTGACTGCCAAACTCTACCTCAGTGACATCCACAGAAATCTGTGGCAATAAGAATGAAAAACAAAAATGTCAAGAAACTTCAGTTTAAATTTTTCAGCTGAAATGGAAAGAGTTTAAAATATTCATTCACTTGATGTCCGTGCAGAGAGTCAAGCAAAATGATGAAAGAACGGCGGGCCCCAACGCTCCATGAATTGAAGGTGTTCTTCTTATAGAGGCACGCGTTTTGAAATATATAAATACAACACCCATTTTTTTAAGACCCCCAGCCCTCTCCAGCTTCATAAATTTCTTTTAACGGTTTACGCTCGTTTCGCCTGCGAATCGTTTCACCAACGTCCTCTTCGCCAACTTGTGAAGTCGTTTCGCATACGTGTTGGGTCAGTTCCCTAACTCGGCTTTCGCCTGATTGGTGGCTGAAAGAACGAGGTATATACACGCATATCGCACTTTTTTGTATCATGCCTGAGAGAACGAAGCATATACATGCGCAGCACTCGTTTCGCTTCTTAGCGGAAGCAGATAAGACGTTAGCGAAACGACTCGTAGGCGAAACGACCGGTCACCCTTTTAACAGTTTGATCTGGGAGAACCCTTCCTTGCACAAGATTTTCAATCCCTTCAGTATGGAGATTTTCTGGAATTACACATCAAGAAGTTGTATGTTTTTCTTCCTAAGATATATTTTTTACGTATAGCCATAATCATAAGAGTAAAAAACACCAATAAAAAAGGGGGTCTCCTTTCTCGTTTCATCGCAAAAAGAAACCAAGGGGACAATTTCGGCTTCAAATGATCATTTTGCATGAAGGGACCCGGGTGACCTTCGAGACGAGCATCTTTTTAGCTGGGAAGAGTTATCAAAATCGTTATCATAGGCATTTTGACTACAAAAGAGGCCTTTAATACCTCTCCCTCCTCTCCCTAGGCTGCAATGTTATGCGCAGTGGTTGATGCGCAGTGCAAAACAAGGGAATAACCTCAAGATGTAGCACAACAAAATCACAACTGAGTGGTTAAAGGATGATGATTACGGCAACTAAATACCTGGCATTTCTTTGTTACACATCTAATGGGAACTGAAAATGGTCCTGTTTGTGCGAGGAAGTCAATGTGACCTTCCAAATCTTCATTCAACTGCAATCAATGCGAACATTTAAAAGAAAAAAGAAATAACAATATAAACGATTTTTTGAGATACAAGCTGCATCATCCTACAAGGGGGGTATAGTAGGGCCCGGGGGGGGGGGCACTCAAGGGAGGTCTGGGTAGAACTGTGCCGCCGAGGCCTTCAAACCCCGACTCTGTTTAAGAAAGGAGGCACTACTTTCTGACTCTGATTTTTTTTGTTTTGCATACAAAATTAAGTAATTTTTCACACTAAAATCGTGGAAATAGAAATTAAGGGGAAAAAATATTGGGATTGCAAATATAGACCCCTCATCGCAAGTCTTCACACTCTTTGAAAGGCTTTCAGTCCAAAAAAGCACCCTGTGCAAGATGCTGGGAGTAAGCCTGCTATCTTTTCTGATGAACTGTGCATGAAATTTAGGGAGCAAAGGTTTGGATTAGAATGCATCAAAGACACTTATTCCCCAAACAGAACGGAAAGAGTCAATAACCAGGGTTACCATAAAGATGACAAGTAAAGGAACAAAAAATGGGATACATTAATAGGAAACTGGAATGTGCTGGCAAGCAATATGATATGCCATACACAAGAAATGACCTCGCCCCAGTTGTCTAAAAGTTGGATAGCGCTATCCACCATATAAATCACAATTCACTGGATAGCACATTTGGTTTCCCAAACACTTATCCGTAGGATAGAGATTTATCCGGTGGATGGTGCTATCCAACTTTAGAACAACTGGGGCCTGTAGTTTAGTTAGATTGAAAAATTTTATCATTTTGTTTTCAAAAAATCAACTCACCATGGGCTTAAAAGTGACTGCAAAATCACAAGTCAGTCCAGCAGACATGACACCTGGAGGATCAAAACTGAGTGAAAAAAAAAATGGAAGAAAAAGGAAAAAATTGAGTTCACCAAAAACAACACTTCTTAGACTTAAGTACTGCTGTGCTTAACATAATCAAGTGAAAGACACTGCTCTTAGAGATTTAGTACTGGAACGACTGATGTTAAGTATGCATTAAGGATGTAACCTACTCACAGCCACATGCTATCTAACTGTCAAAAAAAGAAAAACATCTGTGGATAGGCTGGTGAGGATGGAAAATTAGAGAAAAATAGTCCCAAAAGGCATTTCAATTCATGCCTTGAACTTTCTAGCCAACTGAGCAATTGACACTTGCAGGATGCCTAAATCATTTCATCATGTCGCTATAAAGTATGCTGCGCATGCTTCTAACCTAAGGTCATCTTGTCTTTAAGAAGGTTGTAGTTTCTGTTCTATTAAGATTGTAGATTGAATTGTTTGCCCACACAACTAACATTAAAGACTGGTACACACCAACAATTCAGAATGCAAATGTAAATGCCAGAGAATGCATATGAACTACGTCACTCTTTCTTTGCATTGCTTTTGTAAACTGGCAGGTATTTAGCCTGAGAAAACAGCCAACATTTTGCGACGCCATCACTGGTTTCCCCGCGAATGACGTCTGATAAAAAAGCGCAAAAATTCCATACTGATGATGTGTCACTACCCAGATCTGGGTAGCACTTCTGACTGATTGAAGTAAATTTCCCATACAGCAAGACCAATCAGAAGCACCACCCAGATCTGGGTAGTGACAGGTCATCAGTATGGATTTTCGGCGCTCATTTCTGAGACATCATTTCATGGGGAAACCAGTGGTAGCATTGCAAAATGTAGCAAAATAAATGCAAAAAGTGATATTTGTTTCACAACTGAGCTTAAAATTAACCATATAGTCCTTTTGTACCACTGCAGAAAGTTCTTGTTACTGTTGATTACTTACAACACTTCAATGAAATCTTTCAGTAAGTGGGACATTCCAACATATTTGCAGTAATTCTGAGTGTAAGAGATGTTTGTCAGCAGAATTTTCTTCTTGTAAGATCTCCCAACATCAAAGTCCTGGCATAGAAAAACAAAAAGATGAAGCAATGTGTGTGTCACTAAAATTTTCAAGAAAATGGAAGTAAAGATGAACAGGTGTGGAATTAATGGTTAACAAACCTTGAATACAATAACTTCAGGTTTGCTGTAAAATGCACAACCCTACAAGCCAAAAAAACAAAAAAAAACAGGGATTAATAATGCAGATAAAATACACAATTACTAAATTTTATATTCAATATTGCTCTAAAGTTAGGACTACAAGAAAACAAATTAACACCAGCAATCCAAAAAAGAAAAAAAAAGTTCTTTCATTTAACTACTCACCTTGAATTCTCTTCCTGCGGCAACCTGTTTCTGTACTATTCCAGCTCTTTGTTTCATGAGAGCTCTCTCCATCATTTCCTGTGAAACAAAGAACTGCTTATGACCTTGTGCTTGTGATCCCCCCTCCTCCCCTAGCTTATCAAAGTTGCTCATAATACAAGACTATACTCAAAACTTAGAGGAACAACTTTGAATGAAGGAGGGTGAGTGAGGGGGTGAGTGCAATGTGTCACAGATACGAAAATAGCAGCAGTTTTAACTATAAAGGCTGTTTTTTATGTGTTTTAATATTCAGTCAACTGGTTGAAGCTGGATCAAGCTGAATACTTGTCTACATGTTTCAGTTAATTTAAATGCCAAATGCTTTAACGCTCCATGCAAGTTCACTGTTACATTGTACAGTACACCAAAGTTAAAAACCAACCAATCTAGCAATCCTGGATGACATTATTAATATATTTTTTTAAGCTGAATTTACCTGTTCCATTTTACTGGGCATATGACTTGTAAATTTGAACCTCTGTTCCTTTTTGTCAGATCCCTAAATACAACAGATCAAAATAAGGTTAAATCTATTGATACAATGCAGACAAACTGTCCACACAGACCTCTCAAACAGTAAACATAAGTCCCTACTGCCCACTACCTATCCCTCTATCCAGGCCTTAACATTCTCAGTTACTCATAAAGTGTTCAAATTTTCATCCTTCTAACAGTTCCCTTTCATATACCATGGCAGTTGCACACGTGTGTGTGTGTTCTGCCCACAGGCAGGTCCTTCCTTATAGTTCTTGACCTTAAGGCACGCCCCTTGACCGGTATGTAAGGGCTGCCGTCCTTTACTCTATCAAGCATTCTCGCTCAAGGTCTTCCAGGTGGTCTCTTTCGATCCTCTCATTCTCCCCTCAATAACTAATAGGACAAGATCACCAAGCCGTAGGTTATGACCAAGCTGGACTCTCTGTCTTCTCTTGATAACAGATATTATGGCTCTCTCCTCACCACCATGCCTCAATACTTCTTCCTACAGACTTTGTCAGACCAAGTGATGTTTAAGACCTTTCTCTGAAGCCACATCTTACAGTTCTCAAGCCTCTCCAGCATACAAATGTAAAAAAGACTTCATAATTGTCGCAACATCTACAAACTAACCTTTTGAACACCTTCCTCCCACAGTCCCCTAAACTCTGGTTGAGCCAATTCCTCTCCTTCCACATCTGAGTCACTAAAAACAAAGAGATATCAGAGGACAACAGTCAATAAGTGAATAGAAAATACAACTCAGCCAATATTCAGCCCAGTACAGTAGCAACTAACATGTACCTGAAACTACAAAGCTGATAGCTGCAAATGACACTGGTTAACAGCATAATTCAACTTTTATTTCATTTTTTTGTTTCTAAATTGTTATTGTCTACGTCTTTCATAAAGGTTTTCATTATCTTATTTTTGTTTGTTTGTATATCCATGCATTTGTTGCTTCATTTATAATTTATTGAAATCCTATTTTAGGGCATATCTTCATGTACCTTCCTTGAAGAGCCTCTGCTACAGTAGGTAGTTACAGGTAGTGTAAATTTGTAATGTTTTTAAAGTGTGTTTGTAATTTTCTACTAGTACACTGTATTAATGATGCACAATGGAGCCTGCATTAACTAAACAACACATGAGGCAGATCCTACAAATTACAGTTTTTTAGTGACATAGATTTGAGTGAGCCCAAAACTTTTTGTCCCATTTCTTTGTATACAATTCACTTGTCTAAGTGGAATCCTTCATTAGGCAGACATGGGTTGGGGCTGGTTTATGATCAAGTCACGCGAAAGTCATCTCACCTGTTATGTCACCCGGAACCACACATAACTCAGAATTTTTAGTAACTAAACTAAAACTTTCAGGCGACATAACTCTGGTTTCGGGGGCCATAACTTCAAGCGAGACAACTTTAGGGTGACTTGACTGGCTACCACAGGAGCCACATAGCTTAATAAAAGTAAATAAAATTAAGTAAATAAATAAAAGTCTTCAATACCCTTCCTTAGCCTCATCTCGGCTTGTCTCCCCATATGGTGAAAAATCATCTTCATCATCTTCTGAAGATACCGCACCAAGTTTTCCTGATGTGTGTTGACCCTAGAATCATCAAGCATCTTTTTAGTAATAAAAAGGCTATAAACAGACCTTTTCAGAACAGCTGAATTGACTTGTAAGTTTTTAAAGTGCATAGGCAAATTGTCATTTAACTAACAGTACAAATTACCCCTTTAAGATAATAAAAGTATGAGAAAAATTGTGGTAATTGAATGCACCTGCAAAACATTTTAAAAAGATCCCTTATAGCAAAACCATGACATGTTGAATACTTATTCATTATCATCATTGTGACCCCCAGTTTTGCAGTCTGCAAATCAGTTTGCAATGTGAGAATAATAACAAAGTGATAAAATTTTTAAATTTCTAAAAAGAGGTATTTTCTATTGGGTAGGTTTCTTCCCTTCTTTTCAGTTATTGATTTGTGAAAAAGAAAATAAGGGTTACTCTTAAATTATGATTTGAATGTTATTAACATGAAGATATGATCATCACAGTTGTAATAATAATCTAAGCAACTGCAAATTAATCCCCAAAACTAATGAAGATATTATGTCAATTTGAAGTTTCTTTGCTAGCCCTACCCCAGTGTCCTCGACATCAGCACTATACTCCACAGATGATGATCCACTCGTAGATTTGAAGAACTTAGGCTTGGGACGCCTTCTATTTATTCTCTGCAATAAAAAATTATAACATATTTTTGTTTATTATCAGTTAATTTTTTTCCACAACAACTTCATACAGTTCCTTGCTCTATAATATGGACATCAATTGATGTGATTTTTTCCATTATGTATCTGTCCCTTTAGTGTCTAATTTTGGTGTCTATGGATGCATTATTTTCATTGACAATGTTCTGGAATCAGGATGAAAATTTTAAATTCTAGAAAACACTTGTTTACTGCTTCATTATGTTGTGACTTTAAGATAGGAAACTCTAAAAGGACTACTACACCGATTTCAAGGGCATCATAGTTATCATCACTTTTGTCATTAACAGTAGTAACGACACATTAATTACCTTGACTCTATCTCTCTGTTTCTCTGGCCACAGCTGTGGTTGCTGTTGGTATCGCTTTTTCATTTGCTTTTCCTCTTTCAAAAGGTTATCAACTATTTCAACCTGGCAAATCATAAAATGTTCAGGATGGTTTGGGTAAAAGTGTATATAGACTTGTGACAAATCTTTTTATTATGTCACAAAGAAAATCAAATAATCATTGCTGATACCTGTCGTTCTCTTTGCCTTCTCTCATAAGCCCTGCGAACAGCAACAAATAAAAGGAAATTCTAATATATTGTAGGGCTGTACTTAAAACTTACAGACTCACTAGTGATGTAACACCATACTTACTCTTTGTCCTTCTCAAACTGACGGATCCTTTTTCTCCGCGTCAGTTCCTCGTCAGGGTTTAATCCCTGTGCTAGAATCTCTTGTCTTTCACGGAGTTCTTCCTCGTCTTTCTCAAACCTTATTTTAGAATCACGTGCTTGAAGAGCTCGCAGATTTTCCTAGAAACATATTGATTAGCACTTCAGACAAACCTCAAGTAAATTGCCTTCTATTATTTTTTAAGCAGCTACTCTCTGGTAATACTAGAGTTCCGGTAGACAAAACTGTCAGCAAATCACTGTTTATTATTTAGCAGCCAGCCATTATAAAGGGGCCATTTTGTCCCTTCCTCTTATGTGGCAGCTAAATAGAAGTTAACTATACACGTTCATAAAAAAAACACACACACACTTCACTTGAGTGTCAATGTATTTACTGTAACACTAAAGTACCAATTGGGGAAACTATTTTTATGTCTCCTTCTGGAGATGGGATGACACTTTTATATGGTCATCTGAGCCACACAAAGGTGTTGCATTTGCAAAGCAAAGGCATTATCTTCATTCCCGAGTATTGGTCCAGCCCCGAGGATCAAACCTATGACCCCCTGCTCTGCAGTCAAGAGCTCTTGACTACTGACTGGCAGAGCATCCGTCCAATGGATCTGTACATGCATAGCAGGGTGCCAAGGAAGACACTTGTACAGCTTGCCATTTAGGCAAACTGTAGCTTGTGTCTACTAGCCCAAAAAAATTTTTGGATGAGCAGGATTGATTACAGTTCTTCAGTAATTTGAATTGTGTGGTTACAAAAATTATCCATACCCCCCAAAAATTTACCCCATTACCTGTTGGGGGAGGTTACAGAAAAAATTCACTAGACCAATCCAAGCAAAATCAACTACATTCCCTAAAAAAAAATTTACTTACCTGTTGGGGAGGTTAAGAAAAGAATTCACTAGACCAATAGCAAAATCAACTACCCCCGGGCTATCGAGCATGACTTTCTTTGCATGCTGTGTAGGTTAGCTAGGTCATTAATTTATAATAGAACACCAATCTAGGCTTTCAGAACTCTGCATTTAGAGTTATCAAAAAAATACCCCATCATACCTTATTTGTTTCTATGTTTCCTTTGAGGCTCAGTATTGCTTGCATTCTGTCCTCCATGTATTCACGTGATCTCTCTTCCTCCTCGGCTTCCTTTTGACGTACTCTACAAAATAAAGCAAAGAACTATTACTAACATTTTCACAACATCCTACCAAAATATCACACACAGGCTTCATAGACAATCTCAACCTTCTTGAGGAGGTTGCAGGAAATTACAAAGTAGAAAATTGTTTTTGCTGCATGTGCTACTGTGTTAAATGTGGCCTCTTAGGGGTGGGAACATATGTCCCTAGTCTGAATTTCAAATAATGTCGTTTCCCATCTTGAGGAGAAGGGCATGTCCCTGTAGGTATTTAACTAATCTTTGCGTCGTTTGTTGCCATTTCATCTAGTCTTATGTCATGGTTTCAAGGCCATGTCGCTTGTCAAAATTTTACCCGAATGGGGCCTCTTAGATATGCAGTACTCCTACACATCCATGGGGGCCAGAGGGAAGGTCTTTCACCAGTCATTATTTTTAAAAAATTGTAACTTATACCTGGACATTGTCTCTTTGAGGAATTTGGAAGCTTGTTCCCTGTTGCGCTTTGCTGCAGCAATGGCCTGTCTGTGTTTTCTTTCTCTATCTCGCAAAGCAGATATATGCTCCCTGCAAAGGATGAAGCGAAAATATGAAATAACTGATGCATAGTTACATCTATATAGGGGTGCATCCACACACCAATTTGATAAGTCTGTGCCATTCCCATCGTTGGCCATGACAGATGCAAGATCCTGCCTCGTAAGACCAGCGTCACTCTCTAGCTGGACAATGAATGTTGTTGTTTAGCATCCCCTTAGTCATCTGCCGTGTTTTGGCTCCCGAAGAGGTGGATGGGAAACAGTAGGTTAATACATGGTCAGTTAATAAATAATAAATTTCACATCACTGAAATCTAACCACTTATAAATAACATCTCAGAATCACGCAACTATGCTTCCAGAGTCTCTCTTAATCCCCAGAGTAACAGAAACTGGGACAAGGGTGGACTAAACAACTCCAGAATTCTCTTTCATAAAATATTGAAAAAGGCTTCTGTCAGCTGTGGATCTAGCTTCTGATTTGTGGAAAGTAAAATGTGCTACAGTGTATGTTGCTATTCAAATAAAAGCCATATTAGCAGCTTTGTTTAATAATTGTTGTTGCATGTTTTGCAGTATATTACAACACAGTCAACTCTTGCCTTGTGGACACCGCGATAAAACGGACAGTAACTAAATCCCCGCCAAAAACAAAATACAAACGTTTGACCGAAATAAACTCCCGCTATTACAGACTCTCGCTAAAGAGGACACCAACTTGGGGTCCTACAGTGTCTGCCATGAAGGGAGTTGACTAGAATCTTTCAGGAATGAATTGCAGTAGTTGAAAGAGGGGAGGTGAATATTGTTTCTTACTTTTCTCTTGCCCTTCTTCTTCTCTCAGACACAACTGCACTCATGTTTTCCTTTCGCAGACGAACAGCAGCCACATCAGCTTTTTGTTTCTCCACAAGTTTTTCTTCTTTTTCAAGTTCCTTTCCCGCAAGAAGGAACTTTCCTTGTTCAACCGTGGCTTGAGCAAGGGCAAATCTATATCAAACAGAAACAATAAAGTGTTTAAATGCATGCATTTACCAGTAACTTCACAGCAGGGGTATTTTGCAAAATGCTGAATGGCTGTCATATGCCGAATGAATGATCATCAGTATAGAACTTCTGCAGTTGTTCCACAGTCATCATTTCACATGGAAACCAGTGGAGGCATTACAAAGTACCAGCTGTTTTCACAGGCTAGGGCACAAGATATACACCAAAATATATAGTATTACAAATGCATGTTATATAGTTGCTTACTCTGCCTCTTGAAGCCTCTGTAAAATTTCTTTCTGTACATCATTTTCAGCATCTATCTCTGCACAGAGTTTGGATTGATAAGCCTGCAGTCTGTATAGTGATGCCCTGTTGCAACAAATAAGATTAAACACAGGTACATACCAAATAAAGTTTATTATGTAGGTAGTAATGGATATTATTAAGCAAGTATACTCTACATCTGTCAATGTTAGGGAGCTTAAGCAATGACGACGGCAACATCAACCAGAATGGCAAAAAAACAAAGGTTTAGATTGGCAAAACAACAGCTCTGCACGTGCATCACCCCTTTTGATTGCACATTTCTTTGCTGTCACTGCACGACTAAGATGTGAAAATGCCTAATTTCATGTTTTGTGGATGAAGTGAACACAAGACTACAACTTTCTTTTTCTTTTCCTGAACTTTGATAGAGTCTTTTAGAATTCAACTCCAGAGAAAATTGCCAACATTTGATGAATTAATGAGACAGAATAAGCACGATAAAGTTTGAAGCAGCGCCCTTGCTTACATATTGGTTTGAGACTGAGCTTCTTCAATCTCCTTGCTGACTGCATCTTTATCTTGCTGTAGTTCCTCTATGTGTTCCTGGCATTTTTTCAGTTCCTCACTGTAAGAAAAAAAACTGGCAAGTTATGGATCGCTGTGGTTTTGATGACTCCACTTCATGTTCTTTCAGATTTATACACTATTTTTCAGAAATAGCGCCAAACCTATGATGTTACCCATGATGTGCTCATTGAAAGATGTCCACAAAATTAACTCTGAGGTGTTGGGGTTAATGGTACTCACATTTTAGAGATGAGGTCCTTACTTAAATGAATTATGTTCAGTGATTGTTAGTCCTTATTTTTAGTTTGCAATGCAGAATTCTTTCAAGTTAAGTCTGGTCAATTAGTGTAACTTGCATTCTCATTAATTTAAGCTGGTTCTCCAGCCTTTAGATGACAGTTGACAGTGTGCAAAGAAAGTTGTGTGCAATAGCCTAGGGTTCTAAGGTGGATTTTGCTATCTTGGTAATGAATTCTGTTCTTAACTTGCCCAACGGGCAAGTCAAGTGTTTTGGGGGTATTCAAATTACAGAAGAACCATGACCCTTGGGTAAGCACATGCAAGCTACAGCTTGCCCTAAGGACAAGCCGTAGAAGTAACTTTCTTGGCACCCTGTTGACATAATTTTTTTTATGTGAGTAATTACCGAAACTGTGACACTAGGTAACCCTTCTCTAGGACTTGTTCACTTAGTTGATCAAGATGACGTCTCAGGGCCAAACGCTGCATCTTCTCCTGAAGAATGATATAGAATAACGGTATATCATCTAATATTAAATGACAAGGGGGGGTTTATTTCATTTTGGGGGGCCCAAGAGGGAGCCTTTAATGGATAAGAGGCATTTAAAAGAGATAATTTCATTTTTGTAACAACCTCTAAAAAACTATAAAAAAAATATCAAGAGAGTTTATAAATTAATGGTGGAACATCTAGTCCATCAATTGATACATCTAGGCCATCAAGAGATCCATATCACTCTTTAAAACATGTTTTCATCGTTAGTCTGTCCTTACTTTGAACTTGGTATTGAAAAAGATGCAATGCGCAAACCCCTTATTAATCAAGCAAGAAATTGAATAAATTGTATGATTTTGCACCTTTTTGCTAATTCCTAGTATTTTGAAGTAACTGTCATGGGAGGTGTCTAGTAGACAGGGGGGACGTTATTAGAACGGGGTGACTAATACAAACTTGACATCATAGAAAGGACGTCCAAAAGACAAAAAGCGTTTCTTTGAGAGGGGGCATTATTTAGATCATTAATCGTATCTGTAAAGTGCTAAATTGATCTACTCAAAAAGGCTCAGTGTCAGTCAGCGAAAAACTCCAACCTGTCTAGTTTGTTGTGCAATGGGATCAGATGTATATTCATCTTCCTCTACTCCATCCATACTCCTAAAAAGGAAATTATGTAAATGTAGTATTGTTTATTACCAAGGAAATAAAATAAATGAGGTTTGACTGTAATACAGACATCTCTGAAAATGTTCACACCTGCACTTGGCTTTGTCCCTTCAGTGTGTCTGCATTAACCCTTTCAGCCCTAATAGCTCCATACAAATTCTCCAAACTGATGTCTATACATTTCCTTACTGAACTACTTGGGAGAATTTGAAAAATGGTCAGAGTATTTTTCCTTTGGTGATCATTTTATCAATTCTCTTAACCTATTCTCTTGATTGAGTATTGATGATGTTAGGAGAAAATAATTATTGATGTTTTTCACCCTTGGCACTTAAAAGTTTGACTGTAATACAGACACCTCTATAACTCAGACAGTGTTGGCTCTGTCCCTTGGTATCCGTATTAATGAAGAATGTTTGGCTGTAACACTAAACTGGAAATGCAATTGCCTACAAATAATTTGCAAGGAAAAAGGTTAAAGATGCCGCTACTGGTCTGAGGACAAGTTAGCATTTTCATCCACACTTACTCAAACTTGCAAACAGAATATATCTATTTGATCAGACAAATCAGAAAACACACTTTCATTAAAGTTGTCCTAATAAGTAAGAGTTCTAAATGGGATAGTGCTTGGTAGTTTGAGAGACCACTTACCCAGTGAGTGATTCTTGATCACTGAAGTAATTCTTGTCAATGTCAGATGAAGGATCACTCTCATACTCGATTGGTCCTACAGCAGGAAAATTTTTTATAATAACCAGCTGATTAATTTCATCCACATGTAAGTCCACGGACAAAAGAGACAAGAGTTGCCAATCAACTGCCAACAGTTCAATAGTTACACTCACCCTTAAGATTCTCCTAATTTGGACGTAGGTGGAGATTAAATGGGAGACATTCAGTTTCATATGTTGGTTTATTGCACCTTATATGAGACCACTACGCTAAATCACCACAACTGTTGACTGCCCGACTTTTTTGTAATTCTCAAGTCTGGAGCAAATGTACAAAATGAATCTGACCCCACATTAACTGTGCACTTGTAGAAACACAATAGCATTGTAAACACAAGGAAACGTCAAATCAAGGGAGCAAGGGATGGCGCAGTGGTGAGAGCACTTGCCTCCCACCAATGTGGCCCGGTTTCAAATCCCGGCGTCGACGCCATATGTGGGTTGAGTTTGTTGTTGGTTCTCTCCTTTCCTCCGAGAGGTTTTTCTCCAGGTACTCCAGTTTTCCTCTCTCCTCAAAAACCAGCATCTCCAAATTCCAATTCGACCAAGAATCAGGTAGACAAAGAACCACTTTGTGAATGTGCTACCTCCAAATCATTATTTAATTATTTAATTTATTTACATCCCTAACAACTTTTTTAGGGTAGTAACCAGACTGCACACCCAGATGCCCACCTTGCTAAAACTTTGTACTGTACTCATGGTACTTTTATCTAAGAAATCTGGGGTCCTGTAGGGGAAACCAAGAGCTATTTTTATGGTCTCTTGGTGTTGTGGATAATCATTGTTGGTTTGCTTTTGTTGTGTTGTGTGGGTATTCTTGATTCTCTTTTCAATCCTTTTACATATTACGTCATTTGGTGATTGCACTCATCCACAACACCAAGAAACTACCCATACCTGGGACACTACTCTTAGCCGCATGAGCTAGCTAGCGCTGGCCACTGCAGTTCTTAGTAGATTTTTTTGATTCTCACTTAACGTGGGTAAAACTTCTAGTGAAACACTCCTCAGTACTCTTACCTTCGTCTGAAAATTGCCACTGGTTCTGTTGAAATTTGTCACCAGAATCATGGGTCACTTCGCCATTCACATCACGATCTGTTGTTTGATCGTTTTTGTCTTGCCATCCCATCCCCAGAGTATCCTCAGTTAAATTCTTTTCTAAATCTTCGAGTTCCATAACTACTTATTGCATACCAATATACAGAAATTTTCTTCTTAGCAATTAATTGTCACCTTAGTTTTTCAACCGCAAATTTAATCGTCTCTGAAAACCATTTAAAAATTATATGAAGACGTTGTAAGGTAATCCATCAAAGACAACTTTCAAACTTGAATCCTCTGGAGATGACTTCTAAATTGTAGTAACAAGACTCGACGCCCAGTGGGATAATATAGCTCGCAAACATGTTTGATGCCCTCGCTCCTGAGTCCTGAGTAGAGATATTTGAACCATCGCGATTTCAGGGTGTTTGATCCAGAAACCTGCGTTCAAAAAGCTTCACCAAGTCTGTTGGCGTTTCGGTTTCAAAAATCTTGAGACTAAACCAATAAAGAACGGTAAATCGGGCAGGTGAACAAGTTCTTTTTCGAAGAATGTCACTTTCTTGTCGATTACCGCCAAACAACAAAACACAGCGGCCATGACAGCGGCAGCTTGGTAGCCACGACTTCACGAAAAAGTCTGGGACTAGCGTTACTTTGCAGCCACGCCTCTCGAACAAAATATGGCGGACGCGCGGAACCGGAAAGTTGCGTAAGCACTCACGATCCTGTACTTTTGGCTTTACAGTTCGAAATTAAGTATGTTACGACAAGGTATTAATCGATTGGGAACTTTTAATAAATGCCTCGCATTTGTTTGGCCTGCAAGATTTGCCGCGCGTTCACAGGTAAGAGAATCAAGACAATTCAAACTCGCTTTGAAGTTTTTGAAGTTTTTGAAGGTTTATGGGATGAGCCATTTTTATGCCGACCCCCCGTCCTACTATGGATTAGTGTCCTCGGTAGATAACTAGAAGGAATCTGTTTTGAAAGTGTTCGGCAGAAACTTAGGGAGGTAGCAAAGGTTTTTTCAAAGGGTTCAGATTAGAAATGGTGAAGTGGTAAGAATCTGCTCATCCATAGGAGGGGGGGGGGGGGGGGGGATTTGGGGTGGAGTGGGAGAAAGAGCTCGAAATTTAAATGGTACATCCCTATGTTCATTCCCTGACATGTTCAACTCATCAGAGAAATTTTCAGGATAGCCTGCATAGCTGGCGGGTTTTTTTGTTGTGGTTCGTAAAGTAAGAGATTCAGCTACACGAAGCTGAACTGAGGATGAAAAAGAAAATGATGGGGGAGGGGGTGAGGGGTTCTCACTGCCTTTCTCCCCTTGCCCCCTCCCCCACCATTTTGTTTTGACCTCGGTTCAACTTTCATGTAGCTGTAACTCTTACTTTGCGAACCACAAAAGAAAAAATACAACGAAAAACCACCAGCTATATATACAGGCTACGCTCAGGGATATCATTTGAGATGAAACATTAAAACTATAACTCACTATTTTTGTTGTTGGTGGTGTTTCTCCTCCAAGACTTTGCACTGATCATCAGTTTCCATGGCCGAGAACAAAACTACAGTAACTAAGAACAAAACTCCTTACCTTAATTATCCTTTTTCTCCAAGCAGTAGGTATATACCCTTGTATCTTATACCCCCCCCCCCCCCTGCCTGACTCTGGTGTGAAATCCTCTTACTTAGCAACCACGCTCAACCTATATATCCTGATGTGATTGTACATCAGTTGACCTTACTAGTATAATCTTGTTGAATAATAAATTGATTAATATTGTAAATCCTTGAATATATACTTGGCCTCCACTCTTCCTTCTGCCTCCGATAATCGCACATCTGGCTCTTACAAATGCACTTGATAATTTATAAAGCTTTTGTGCTTTTGAAATAGTATACTTTTTCTAGATCTGTAGTCCTTAGATCATCTATTTCATGGAAGAACCTTTCCTCGGCCCCATCCACAGCCTAGGAACTGGCTTTCATTACATTTTTACCAAGCTTCATTAATTTGTTTATCTTATCAATTGAAGGTGAAGCCAGTCAAGACAAACTATCTTCAAAGAAGAAGCCTGATAAGCACTTTAAGAACCCCATTACGACGTGCTGAAAAATCATCCAAAGAAGCTATAGATGATGCTTTTAAGAGGTCAGCTAAGAGAGGACCAATAACCTGGGTATCACTGACACTTGTGGCATTGACTGGAGGGGGCCTTCTTCTTTATGTACGGCATCTTAAGGAGGAAAAAGAGCAAGGTAAAGTTTGGATGCATTGATTCCTACAGCAATTTTTCTGTTTGTAACAATCAGGGCTGTCATTAAGAGGCGGGGGTGGGGATTTCCCCTGGCAACTAAGAACATGGCCCCCGGCTACTTTCATAGGAAAATAGAACAAGAATAGAACCAAACGAAATCCCTAGCTGTTTGATTTCCCACCTACTTGTTGTATTTACCAGGCAAGTTGAAATCTTGGTGACAGCCCCGAACAATTAATCTCCAATCAGAATATACTTTCTTAAAGTCCGTAATTCTTTTTTTTTCTGGTTGGTTATGCCATTTTAAAGGACTTTTTATACCTGTTTTACACAAAATTCACCGGTCTTAAATTCCACCTGTGATGTCATGAGAATAATTGTCAATTAATTGATCAATAGCAGAGGGAGTGATATTTTATGCCACTGCTGGTGCAGGGTATGTCAATTAGTTTTTTCCTGTGAATTTACAACATGACTGAAATCCATTCAGGTAAAACAAGTGGGTTCACAACCTTGTTGAAGCTTGCTTCTCTCACTTTTAAGACAGTCAGAACAAAATTCAACAAGAAGTACGGACTGCCAAACTCTGGATATAGTTGTGCACATGCACAGGGTACAGTGTAATGGTACAATGTAGTGGAGTGTATAGTTGCATCTGCCCCTCGCTGAATTTTAGTATCAGTCATGAATTCAGTTGTAGAACACTTGCTGGCTTAAAAGCTGATCCCTTTTTCATACACTTGCTGAGAACTACTAATGAGAACTGTTCTGCATTCCCCTTGCCAACAGCTTATTGGAGTACTTTTGCACTTTCCTCGGCAGTTGTCTTTGGCTGCCAGGGTTATATGTTAGGCTACAATGTGTGCCACTGGGTTGCCACCACATATATCTGTTACAGGTCAAAATTAAAGTTTTTCAACCTAGGTTGACTCTCAATTTTCTTTACAAGTCTCTGACCTAGCCCAGATTATTCAGGAATTAGGGCTAGGAGAAAAAAAAAATTGAAAAACAACTTACCGGTAGGTTGAAAAATTTTAACTTAAATTTAATTTTGACCTGTTTCACATCCATTTGTAGTATAACAACAACAACAGTGACTCTATTTGCACCCAACATTACATTACTGACAATATTGCAGATTTGATATAGAAATTGTATTAATAATAATGAGAGGAGCACAGGCTGCCCCAAATAACCATATGGGCTAAAGAAAAAGGGCAATCATGAGCAATATTCTTGACCAGTATTATTGATAGGAATTTTGATGACAAATTTATTTTGCTCTCTTAGAAAAAGAAAAGGCAAAAAAGAAGTCGATAGGGAAGATAGCTCTTGGTGGACCGTTCAGTTTAACAGATCACGATGGGAAAGCAGTCACTGACAAGGATTTCCATGGCAAATGGATCCTTCTGTATTTTGGTTTCACGCACTGTCCTGATATCTGTCCTGATGAATTAGAAAAAATGGCAACAGCGGTTGATCTGATTGGTAAAAAAAATAATTCATTATTTATGACAGAAGGCCCTGATAGAGTTAGGAAATTATGTGGGATTTCACTTGTAGGCTTGTTATATTAGATAATAATAAATTTATTCCTTCTTTTAACTTGTTTATTATTTGATTTTTTACACACGTGACATAAACTCGGAAAATTCTTAAATATAACAGGAAATGGAAACAAAAGACAGTAACCAAAGTGATGCCAAAATTGATCAGTAAATTAATGGCAAGGTAGCTAATATTGCATCATGAGGTAATGAAGAATAAAATTATCTTTTGGAATCTGGTTATTAGAATTTCTGTCATTAGTCTGAATTGGAGGGGATCTCACTTCATAGAACTGTTTAAACCAACTTGACATATCCAAAAAAATCTTGTAGCACCTCAAAAGGGTACTGATTGGGAAAATTTCTCATGAACAGTCACATGACTGTCACAAGAATTCAATCAACAGTCTTGATACTGTTAAAAGTGATATCACTTGCATTACGGTACTTCAGTAAGGAGGCATATGTGAAACTACTTTAGTTGAAAATCTGCAAATACATGTATCACCTTACCCCTGTATTATGTCAACTTAAGCCCTTGCTTCATAATAATTATTTATTATGGTAGATAAAAGTGCTTTTCAAGAGTTATCATAATTTATCTGTTGAAGAAATTGTCGTTGATGGTAACTGACGTAATTTTACCTGTTTTTATCAGATAAAAACACAAAGCAGCTAAATGCAGAGCTCCAGCCACTCTTTATCACAGTCGATCCACTAAGAGATGACGTGGAAGCCGTCAAGCAATATGTCAAAGGTGATGCTTTGTTTTCATTATACATTTACCATAATTTATAAATTTTATTTTGCCAGGGTACAGTTCTATGATGGATGAAGTTACATGCCTTCTCTTTTAGCTCCCTCCTCTGACCCTTGCATTCAATGTTAAATAGCTTTACATCATGATCCATTAGCCTTGTAGCTCTTCAAAACCTCTAATTTAATATTGGATTCCTACTTGTATATGTCGCAGCTCTTTTTTTGTTGGGCTGGGTTTCATTGTTAACTTTGTTTGTTCATCGTTTTTCCAACCAATCCCGCGAGGTCTTCCGAGAGCTGCGAGGTCGTCCCTTATGAGCACACTACACCAGTTTTACAGACTGTATGGCCATGTTGTTTTAGTGCAATGACTACAACCTGGAAAAAATGAATCCACCTTCCCAACTTTCTGTGTGTGCACAACTTCACAAGCTACAAAGCTGACTGTAGTGCACCCCCTGAAGTTTTCTCAACCCAGTAGACAAGTTTCTGACTTAAGAAATTCTTTTTTCTTTGTTCTAGAGTTTCATCCCCGTCTTCTTGGTCTAACAGGCACCCAAGAACAAGTAAAACAGATTTGCAAAGCGTACAGGGTCTACTTCAGTGCAGGACCTGCTGATGAGGACAATGACTATATTGTATGTAGTTACTACACTCTGATAAACTGCTAAATTCTCCTTTGAATAATTGCCACATATTTGCTTGTGAAGTTAATGTTACATTAAGAATCAGTTAGCAGGGCTGTGCCCTAGTAGTGCCTGCTGACCCCTGATGCCTTCCTTTGCTCTTAAATGCTAGGCATCGTGGGTTTCATAGATAACTCTTGAGCGCTGGGCTCCAAGCCTGTGGAACAGGTGCTTTTTTTTCACAATTTTCAGGTAGCCAAAGGAAATCACAAAGAGAGCGTGGAGTGCATTAAGACACATGTGACACAGGAAGGCTTTGCGTGCCTGAAAAAAGAGACAGTGAAATCGGGCTCCTCCCTACAATTTTTCTTAGAGCACAGCCTTGCTAAGGGTTCTACTTCTTTATTTGAATGATATTATCCAACATTGTACTGCAGTAATAATTTATTACTCAGAAAACCACTGCAGCAGTACTTTAACAAATTCTAAGCATGTCAATGCAGTGTTTATTAATAAGTTTGCAGTTAAGGGTAGTGATAATTCAGTGGTGGTGCATATTCTGTGGAAGTGCTTGTTCAAGCTTATGCAATATTTCATGGTTTATCCTGAAAGATTTAAGTAAGCTGCAGACCTACTTCTAGGAGACTGCTTTTTATGCATTCTACAGCAATGCCCTTTAGAGTATTATTAATGCCGCCACCCGCCCCCTCCCCCCAAGAAAATCCTACTAACCTTCAACTGTACTGATACCATAACAACTGTCCATACTCAAAATTTTAGTAATTGATTATAAAAATACTCTATTTTGCTGCCATTCTTGAACCACAGTAGTCTAGAAATTTATTAGTGAGATCATGTAAATCATTGCATTGTTTTTCTCTGTAATTCACAGGTTGATCACACAATAATTCAGTATCTTGTGGATCCTTCAGGTGAATTTGCTGAATATTTTGGACAAAATAAAACAGCAGAAGACATTGCTGCAGGGGTTACAAAGCACATGATTTCATACAAGCTTGGGCAGAAGAAATGATATGCTTGTGATTTTGTCCAGTAAAGGATATAACATCAATAATAAGGGGAGTGATTCCCCGGATCAGTGGTTCGTTAAAGAGACAACAAATCAAACCGAAGGAGCTAGTGTGCAATATCATCATGTGATGACTCCAAAGTTAAATTTAAATCCGGTTGTTATTTATAAGGAGTAGTTCTCAAGGGAAATTGCAGATGTGTGTGGAAGCTGCCTGCATAAAAAAAAACTATGAGAACAATGAGAAGCTGTTTCGTTCCTGTAAAGTCAACACATATTTAATTAATGTGACTGTATCATGCCGCACTAGAAGAGGGCTAAAAAATTCCTTCTGGTCATGCAGGACAAGTAGATTTTCCTGCTGGGCAAGTAACTTTTAATATTCACTTGCCTAATGGGCAAGGGTCTGAGCAAGTTTTCTTCTAACCAAATCATTAACTAAGACAAGCAGGAAGTGGCCTCAGGCAAGCAAATTGTGAGAAGTCCTTGCCCAAAGGACAAGCTGCAATTCAAGTGTTTTTTTTTTTAACCCTGTAGACTGCTATCAGAAGCTGATCTTTTGAATTAAAAGTTGCATCTGATTCAGTGATTTATGGAGGCATTGGAGGCATATCAAACATAAACTTTAATAAAGCACGAGAAAAGAAATTTAAAAAGTTGAAATCCTTTTTACATTCTTGATCTCATTTAAACAGCAGCATTTACATCTTCATTAAAATACCTTAGTTTTTGTATGAAGCTGATTTTGTTACTGAGCTGTTATTGACAGTTGGCTAGCAACAAGTAAGACATTATAACAATACCATAACATTATTGAATAGCTACTTAATTACCTGGGAGGCCAGCCTACATCCTAACCCTTTTCGGCTATCCTGTTAACATTATTTGTATACTGTCATCAAGCAAGTGCAAACTGTAACACTATTTATATTAAACTAACAGGCAATTCATAAATATATCAAGTCGTGGTCTTTGATCCTCTAAAACTGAGTTTTTTCTTGGTCCCATTTTCAACTAAGACTCCCCCACATAAGTCAGCCACTGGCTGCCAGGGACAAAATTGACACTGTCAATTTCTATAACATAATTCTAAAAATTTCCTTGTCACAATTCTAAAAACTATATTTTTGGACAAATCAAAAAACGGGAGAAATGTTTATCGTAGTTGTCCTAGACAGTAGTTGGTAATTGTCCATCTTTTTCCCGACATGAATGCCTTTAACAGCATAACAGGCATTTGGTAGTGATTTAGCATGAAGAAAGGCCATGGATCACTTGCATCAAATACTGCATCTCTGCCATTCATCAAGGTGTAAATGAATTCTCCTATTCCCTGCTGAAAAAGGCCAAGTTTGGCAATTTCATTGTACAACCAATAGACATGTTTTGATGAAGCTGATGGCTCTGATGGCATTGGTAACTGGAATTGATCTTCCATAGCTCCACGTAAGGCTGCTTCAAGATTTGGCTTCATCTGGTAAGAAACCACACATGAGTGAAGACGTGGATTACACTCTATGCAATAAACTTCGCCAGAGTCATCATCTTCAAGGAAGTCGAGGCAAATACAACCAGTGATTTTCTTGGCTTTACAAAACCCTTCCACCCATTTCTTTATCTCAGGGTGTTTGGTAACATCATAATCAATTTGCATTGGTGAACAAGGACAGACTTGAAAAGCTTGAAGACTTCCTTTGGAAACAATGGCATTGGCAGCAAATTCTTTTCCTTTTACAAACTGGTGAACCAGATATGGACAGTCACGATTAAGCTTTGATTCATAGTTAGCTAAGAACTTCTCAAATTCAGTAGAGTCGCTTGGTATAGGGGTGAAGTTCAATCTGTCTTCAGAGTATGGCTTCAGAGGTTTCAAAAAGTAATGTGATTTGGAGTTCAGAAACAGCCCTTTCTTTGCCACCTCACGAACCTCCGCCAAGTTATATACTTTTTTAAAGTAAGGTACCCTCAGATTTAGGTTGTGGCATTCTTCTAGAAAAAGAAGCTTATCATCAAGAATGGCTGTCAATTTTGGATCATCAAAAGTCAGACATTTGATTCGTGGATTCACCTCGGCAAGACGCTGTTTGATTATTGAGTCACAAAGGGCTGTTTTTGTATGACTTACTGGGATGTACCAATCAATCTTCTCTGTCTTTGCAACATTAATCATTCCTTTGATATAAGCCTCACTGCCATCCAGGGAATTTAAATCTGGGACTGTGTAGAACTTTGAAATGAAGCAAGACCATTGTGCAGCAGAACAACCAAATTCTTCTAAGTCAGCCAAAATTACACGATGGCCAGCCTTTCCCAGTGTTTTGGCAATATGTAAACCCTTTGTGTGGGCTAATCCTGACACTAACACAGTTCGTCTAAGAGATGCTTCAAGATAGTCATGCTGTTCAGACTTTCTACCAAACAACCAGACACAAGTAGTGAAGATAAAACAGAGTGGCATTGCTGCCATTAACAACATAATACACAGTGCAGCCTTGACTCTGTACCATTGCTTTCCCAGTAGATTGGACAGTGACTGTGGTGAAATTACATTGGAGACTCCAAGCATCTTTTATTTTCCTTTCCTTGAAATATGGTAGAACTTGTGAGAAGATAAAACAATAATTATTTCATCTTTATTTATCTGAAACAAAAAAACATACTTAATTAACTATGTATTTATACATCTGTCCCTGCTCCCCATAAGCAGTACATTCTAATATTAATATTTGAAAGTTAAGCCCCATGCAAATGGACGCAGCATTGTTGGCCAACAACTCCTAGCATTGTTGGATGTTACATGTTGCACCTGTTTGCACACCCTGTTGCAAGTTGTTGCGCGACAACTCCCAACATGTCTTTTGTTCCATGATCACTGAAGCATAGCGCAACAATGTTGCATCCATTTGCACAGATCTTCCAACAATGTTGGGGCCATGCATACACATTACACATGGCCTCCAAAGTCTTTTGGGTTGTATCCTTCCCACAATTGATTCACTGCAGGTCCACAAATTGTTGGGAGTTGTTGCATCTGTTTGCACACCACGGTGACTACAGACCCAACAACTCCCAACATTGTTGGCCCACCAATGTTGGCAGTTGTTGTGTCTGTTTGCATGTAGCTTTAGAAAGTGTTATATACTTGCTGGGTGTCGCTAAACTTACATAGTTCAAGTAACCCCAGCCCCTACCCCTCCATAATTCAGTTATGGCTCTTCCTCTGTCACGCAAAGCTCACTGTCCCTTCCATGTAATGGGTAAGTGCTTGTTTCCATATCGCAAACCACCCTCTCCCTTTTCACTTACACTTACATGAAATTTCTAAGTTTCTTGACTCAGAGACTCAGTTTCTGCTCAACAAATGTTATCAAAGTGGAAGTCTCTTCAATTTTAAAGGAAAAAAGAATTTCCATAAATACGAGCAGGATTCGATCCCGGAGTACCGGGTCCGCAGTCTCCTCATGTCCTAACCACTAGCCCACCGAGGATCCACTGCTGGAAACTGGTTTGATTTAAGTACTATAACGAAAACCCCAACCCTAAATAGAAGCTAACCATTAACCCTCTTAACCCTAATCAGTATGGTCAGTGCTTAACCCTAATCAGTACATTCAGTGCTTTAATAACCCTAATCAGTATTGTCAGGTCTCAATGATACACAGTTTAAATAGAGGTTTCGCTGTACGCAACCCTTGCGTTCAAAATATGCCATAATCATATTTATCTACATGGCAACCACCCTTCCGGCTCAACAAACATATCGAACGCACTCGCCTAAACAGTATGTATGAAGTTACTTGGTGTAGGCATCACAAGATATCCAAGGGCGGTTTGAGATATAGAAACAAGTGTTATGTAATGAGGGTTATTTAGCACAACGCCGAAAACCGAATGATTGACTCTGAATTTTAATTGCACTGTACATGTAATTATTAGGGTTCATCAAGTTCCAGTTCATTTTGCCTATTCTGGTGAACCTAAATGGAACTATATGCTTAAGAGATTATTTCAATTTACCCGTACTTAAGCTTTGAGCTGTGCTGCAGGTCACGCCATCATATTAGCAACATTGACGAGCTATCGGGCATTAAAATATTATGTACACTGCTTGTTAAGGCTCACTCTCACGTACCCTACAAAAAGAATAAGACTTACCAAAGAAATTTCGTTTTATGACTACACTTGTTATTCACGATTTGAAGCTTGTCGAAGCTCGTCTCGTGTTCGCAGCGTACAACCTCCTCCCCAGGGAAAAAGAAGACCTATAAATGCGAATCTAGACCCCATGCCTCGCTCGTTCACTTCAGCCTCGGTAAAAAAATGGCGGCTGTTCCTGTTGTTTCGACGGCACATTTGCATTTCAATGATGTCTTTTTAAGTACTTACAGGCACCTACTTAGTTACGCTAGCCTGACAACACTATTGATTAACTAAACAATGGAAGGAACACCTTCTGGTATTAAAAGTCGATACCGTAGGCAAGTAAACAAAGGGGATCTCGAAATAGCTCTCTTACATGTGAAAACTCCGTATCACAAAGCGATTTGGACAAGAAATGATATCATCCAACATTGTACTGCAATAATTTATTACTCAGAAAAGCACTGCAGGAGAGCTTTAACAAATTCCAAGAATGTCAATGCAGTGTTTCTTAATAAGTTTGCAGTTAAGGGTAGTGCTTATTCAGTGCTGGTGCATATTCTGTGGAAGTGCTTGTTCAAGCTTATGCAGTATTCCATGGTTTATTCAGTAAGCTGCAGATCTATTTCTAGAAGACTGCTGTTTATGCATTTTACAGGAATGCCGGTTTAGAGTTAAACGGCAGCATTTGCGTTTTCATTAAAATACCTTAGTTTTTGTATGAAGCTGGTTTTGTTATTGAGCTGTTACTGACAGCTGGCTAGCAACCAGCTTTTACAGATTGCTACTACAATAATAATGATAATGGCCAGCAACTTTAAAACTATTTTAAAAACAAGGTTCAAGTTTATGGTAGCATAAACTGATCTTAATAAACCTGGAAATGATGCCCTATGAAAGCATACTTATATATGACATACTAGCAACAATCATGTCTGGGGGGGGGTGGGGTGACTCCGCATATGAAAGGGGTGGGGATGCTTGTCGTCTCGCTTAGGGGTGTAAATTTCGGATTTTGGTCTCACTTAGGGTGTTCTTGGCAAAATGCCATAATATTTAGCTGTGAAGTTCTCGTTTAGGGTTGCATGCGAAAAAATTTTAAAATATATATATTGTCTGTGTTTTAACATGTTCTCTTTTAGGGGTCCAAAAAAAGCTTGGGCCACGCCCAGATCGGTCTCCTTTAGGGGTTTAATTCAAAAGTTCCGACGAGCATCCCCACCCCCTTCATATGCGGAGTCCCCCCCCGGCATGTCTCTGTCCTTATGTCACTCAACGTGCAACATTTGTATAAGCTTTTGTACTAAGTAATGGTAGACACTATTTCAAAGTACAAGAAAGAACAATGAACACTAAGTAGTTGTTTGATTACAATGTATCCTTCTTCTTTGGCAAAGTCCACTGTAACTTAGCATGATATAATTATTACTAGACTCCACAAAGGTCTCCTTCATATTATCACATGCTCATCATGCACATGTGCTCCTCTTTTTGCTGTATACTGTCCTTTCCCAGTCAGTTCTCTTAGGGCTTCGGTTCATTCCCAACAGCGTTTTTTCCCTCCCACCCTCCCCCCCTTCCCCCGCCTTTTTTCTGACTGGAACCTTTGTTTAGCTCTTTCGATCATTACTTATGTTCACTATATATTTAGCACGACCAGAACATATTTCATGTAGATCATTATTTTATTCTTCTACAGCTATATGTATCCTTAAGATTAATCATTTATATTATGGTGTTATACTGGACTGGCTCTCATTCCTTCATTAGCTTCCAGGATTGTGGAACTGCTGTCTTGCTTCCCAATAAAAGGAGTGGCAGGCCCAGGGGGGGCACTTGGGTATTTTTTGGGTGGGTATGTGCCGCCCTGGACTCCAAATTGGCACCCGGTTCTAAAAAAAATTTCCTCTAAAATTGATACCCCGTTCTAGAAATGGGCCAATTTTTTATACCCCGTTCTAGAATTTGCCCTAAAATTGACACCCCGTTCTAGAAATGGGCCAATTTTTTATACTCCGTTCCAGAAAGTTTGTAAATTGAAATAGCCCTGTTTTTTTAAAAAGATATTTCTTTATTTGTTCTCCTTATTTCTCCTGGTCCAGGAGCCCATCGCTCCTGGTTCGACTTAAACATCAAATAAATGCTTCTTCATAATCAGCAACAATTTTAAGCAGAAGATAAAGCCGTGATCCACAATTTTTTATACCCGTTCTAGAAAACGCCTCTGAAATGGATACCCTGTTGTAAATCAGGAGCTTCAAAATCACGGCCCTATTGGGCGGCACACACCCATATAGGTAATGTATGGGAGTACCCCGGGGTGACAAGGAAGTGCAACCCCTGGCTGCACTTTACCCCACAGCAAGGCTTAGCCGTTGGAGACAGGTCCGAAAAAATATCCACTCCAGGGTGTGGACCCATGGTCGCACCTGATCTGTACTCCTCCCAGGAGGGCCACATCTCCTGGTTCCCCTTAGTTCCTAGTGATTGGGGGATATGGGCCTCACCCCCAGGGACTGATCACGACTCCTGTCCAGGGTGGCTACCCCCAGTACCACCTGATCTTGTCTCCCCCCAGGAGGGCTTCTCTCCCGGTCCCCTTACCCGAAGATTTAAGCGCTTCCCTGCCACCAGAATTTTGCCCATTACCTCAGTTTTGTGTTTTCTGAGTGGTACCCGACATAGAGCCTTCATGCAAAAACACTGCCAATTGGAAGAGTTTATTAATAAGACATTATAACAATACCATTATTGAATAGCTACTTAATTATTTGGGAGGCCAGCCTACATCCTAAACTTTTTCAGCAATCCTGTTAACATTATTTGTATACAACAAGCAAATGCAAACTGTAACACTATTTATATTAAACTAACAGGCAATTCATAAAAATATCAAGTCGTGGTCTTTGATCCTCTAAAACTGAGTTTTTTCTTGGTTCCCTTTTCAACTAAGACTCCCCCACATAATTCAGCTACTGGCTGACACAATTTTAAAAAAAACATATTTTTGGACAAATCAAAAAACAGGAGAAATGTTTATCGTAGTTGTCCCATATTGTAGTTGGTAATTGTCCATCTATTTCCCGTCATGAATGCCTTTAACAGCATAACAGGCATTTGGTAGTGATTTAGCATGAAGAAAGGCCATGGATCACTTGCTTCAAATACTGCATCTCTGCCATTCATCAAGGTGTAAATGAATTCTCCTATTCCCTGCTGAAAAAGGCCAAGTTTGGCAATTTCATTGTACAACCAATAGACATGTTCTGACGAAGCTGGCAGCTCTGATGGCGTTGGTAACTGGAATTGATCTTCCATGGCTCCACGTATGGCTGCTTCAAGATTTGGCTTCATGTGGTAAGAAACCACACATGAGTGAAAACGTGGATTACACTCTATGCAATAAACTTCACCAGAGTCATCATCTTCAAGGAAGTCGAAGCAAATACCACCAGTGATTTTCTTTGCTTTACAAAACTCTTCCACCCATTTCTTTATCTCAGGGTGTTTGGTAACATCAAAGTCAATTTGCATTGCTGAAGAAGGACTGACATGAAACGCTTGAAGCTTTCCTTTGGAAACAATGGCATTGGCAGCAAATTCTTTTCCTTTTATGAACTGGTTAACCAGATATGGAGAGTCACAATTAAGCTTTGATTCATAGTGAGCTAAGAACTTCTCAAATTCAGTAGAGTCGCTAGGTATAGGGGTGAAGTTCAATCTGTCTTCTTCAGGGACAGGGAACAGAGGTTTCAAGAAGTAATGTGATTTAGAGTTCAAGAGCAGCTCTTTCTTTGCCACTTCACGGACCTCTGCCAAGCTACGTACTTTTTTAAAATAAGGTACCTTCAGGTTTAGCTTGTTGCATTCTTCTAGAAAAAGAGGCTTATCATCAAGAATGGCTGTCAATTTTGGATCATCAAAAGTCAGACATTTGATTTGCGGATTCACCTCGGCAAGACGCTGTTTAACTATTGAGTCAGACACGGCTGTTTTCTCATGGCTTACTGGGATGTACCAATCAATCTTCTCTATCTTTGCAACATTAACCATTCCTTTGATATAAGCCTCATTGCCATCCAGGGAATTTAAATCTGGGACTGTGTAGAACTTTGAAATGAAGCAAGACCATTGTGCAGCAGAACAACCAAATTCTTCTAAGTCAGCCAAAATTACGCGATGACCAGCCTTTCCCAGTGTTTTGGCAATATGTAAACCCTTTGTGTGGGCTAATCCTGACACCAACACAGTTCGTCTAAGAGATGCTTCAAGATAGTCATGCTGTTCAGACTTTCTACCAAACAACCAGACACAAGTAGTGAAGATAAAACAGAGTGGCATTGCTGCCATTAACATCATAATGCACAGTGCAGCCTTGACTCGGTACCATTGCTTTCCCAGTAGATTGGACAGTGATTGTAGGGGATTCAAGTTGGTTACTCCAGACATCTTCTACTTTATTTTCCCTGAAATGGTAGAACTTGTTAGAAGATAAAACAATTTATCTGAAAAAAAAAAACATACTAATCATTATCTATGTTTACACATCTATCCTTGCTCGTTCCCATATTAATATGTGAAAGTTAAGCCCCGTGCAAATGGACGCAACATTGTTGGCCAACAACTCCCAGCATTGTTGGATGTTACATGTTGAGTGTGATTGCACACCCTTTAAAGACGGAATGAGTTTGTGGAATGGCATGTGGCAGGCTGTGTATAAACGAGTGGGACGGGGACAAGGGGACGGGGATTAAGGACGGGGTCGGGTTGCCTGGTCCCTAGGCCTCATTATTATGCACGGCCGATGCGTTTCGGGTCACGTGGTCCGGCCGTTCGTCTCGGATACGTCACCGAAATTCATTGACCGAGAGGGCCTGGAAAGACGCCGTACAGGGACTAGGCAAGGGGACGGGGACATCGCGACGCGCGTGTGGGGACTTGGGACTTGGGGACGCGAGACGAGGGACTTGACGACATCAAGTTTGGGACGCAGGGACGTGTGGGACGGGGACGCGGGGACGTCAAATACAGGAACGCAGGGGACACGGGATGTGAATAATTATTGCAAAAGTCGGAGGTAAATGCGATATCAGTCACTTTCCTCGTGAATATGTTTTGGTGAAGGCAACCCACCCTGCCCTCCTTAGGGTAGCAGGCGTCGAAAGGGGTAGGTGGTAGGGGATAGGGAGGAAGGGAAAAAGGGGAGGGGGATTGAGGAGAGGGGAAGGGGACGCCTGCTCTAAGAACCCCCTTTTGTTCATATCTGCGGACACTGGCGTCCGCAAATTCCTGATTGGCTGAGCCGTAATGAGTAACATATTGAAATGCGCGTTTCACAAATCAACAAACAGTCGAGATGGCAGCGGTAGACGTGGATGTCGTAGAGAGTGCTTTGAGAGATGAGAATTTATCTAGTGGTAGAGAAACTGTTTTAAAACCAGAGCAAGAATCAGCAGTAATGGCTCTTTTAGCCGACAAGATGTTCTGGCGGTTTTGCGGACCGGATACGGCAAGAGTTTAATTTACCAAAGGTTTGTACGCGAGAAGAACTACGAGCTAAATGGTAATGCGGCGATTCTCGTCATTTCGCCACAGAAAAGTATTATCGAAGACCAGTTGCAGGAGATGGAATTGTTGGGCTACCCAGCGAAAGATTTAGCCAATTTATCGAACGATGACATTCGCCGATGTAACTTAGCAATAAAAGAGGGTGGTTTTACCTCATGCCAAAATGTTACTTATTCCAATAAAGTTGTTTTTATCTGCTGGGTAGATGCTCCGGAAGGTTCTGCATTTATACTGAGCAAATGTTATTTTAGCCGCATGTTTCACACTGAGAGGTCATGACATACATATCGATTGACTGTAGTTATTGTTTTCTGGTCGGCAGGATTTGCCCTCTGATGCAAGCTCAATTTCTTTGACCTCTTTTGAAGCGTAAAGCTTTTTTTATTACGGCTGAATAAGGGTTCCAATTTTCTCCAAAGTGCCTTCTGGATCTGAATAACTAAGCAAATTTCTTTAGTCCGTGAGTGTAATGTTTTTCTGCAATGGCGAGTGTAGCGACACTTGATTGATAGTAAGCGTAATCGGATTACTAGAAAATTGGTAGGCGTTATGCAAAAACATAGGCTCTTAGAGCAGGCGCTCCCTTCCCTTTTCCCTTTCTCCCTCCCCCCTCCCCCTCCCCTTTTTGCGCCTGCCACGCAGGCTATCCTTAGGGTTCCTCCATGCCTGTTTACGAAGCGAAGACTCGGCGAAGACCCCCTGCATTGAAGAAAGTGGAACCGTTGTCCTCGTCTTCTTGCTGATGGAATATTGGAGCCCAAAGTAGAGTAGGGTGGGTTGCGCTCGCCAAAATTTTGGTAGAATAACAGCATTCGATTCCAAATAAATAAAAAATTAAGTGGCATAAGCGAGCTTCGAACCCCGAATTGCTAGCTAGCTCCGAAATCCATCGCCTGTACCACTAATCCACGGGGGATTGTTCTACATATTTTTAGTGGCAAACCTAACAGTAAATGCTTGCTAACAGTACTTAAAGGTTGATTTCCACTGACGCGTTTTTGGCTATGCACGTTAACACAAGTAAATTTTAATCACGTAAATAAGATAAAGACGAGATATAAATTGTTGAGATTAAACGTGAAGTTGAGCGAGATTCTATTTACGCTTACGTGCGACCGTTCAGGCATTGCCTCTATTATATCTGCGAACGTAAATTTTACGCACGTAGGCATGGAAAAATTACGCGACAGTGGAAACCAACCCTGACCCTAATCACGATAGTCAGTGAGTGCGCTTCTATTATAAAGAAATATTTCGTGTAAACATCATAAGGTCAGCAATGTGGTTTTGGAAGATGGAATCTAGTGTTGACCATAAATAACACATTTTCACGAAGAAAGAGATATCGCATTTACCTCCGACTTTTGCGATAATCATTCACATCCGCATTCCCTGCGCATGCGTCCCTGTATTTGACGTCCCCGCGTCCCCGTCCCACACGTCTTCGTGTCCCAAACTTGATGTCCTCAAGTCCCTCGTCTCACGTCCTCAAGTCCCCACACACTCGTTCCGATGTCCCCGTCCCCTTATCCCCGTCTCACTTTTCTACACAGCCCATGTGCCATGGCTTGCAGAATGACATAATTATGCGGACTGTAAAATATGGAAAATGGTGCAAAGAAATAAAGTAAACTGAAAAACATGCGCGCGTCTTTGCCGCGCCTTTTTTTGATGCCAATTTGAGTGAGCAACTTTTTTGCTGGTCCATTTATTACTGCTGGCTTAAACCAACAAGGCAGAGCAGAAAGTAGCGATAAGCTTTACTGCATTCTTGTCTGTGTAATATTATTTAATACTTAATTTATTTTTGCTGCTTTCGACAATACTTTCTCTCTTTCTGCCGGTCAAAACGCTAGAGGGGAAAAAACGGTTGTTGAACGTGAAGTCGGGCTAGCTACAATTCTAAGGATTATTAATTAATACGGTGGACGGATCAGATCTTTTTTGAGACTATTTGAAGCCCCGAGTCAAACATTCTTCCAGAAATCGAGTGAAGCGAACTGCTCTCTGTCTCCTTTCGGCCTTTCGCGTGTCTTCGCACCTTCCTTGTTTGTGTCAGTGTGTGCGTTTGATCGTGAAAAAATGCTAAAGCTGTAAGATGGGGAAAAAAAAGAAAAAAAAGACACACACTCAATTGCCTGGATTCGGACTCGCCCTTCTTCGCCAGCTGTTAGCTTCGCGTGCCGGAAACTTAACCAAGCAGCTAAAGAAACAAAATACATGTGCAAAATCCGTTTCATCTCTGAATATTATGTCACGATCACTTAACCCACCGTTTGAAAAAGAAACACTTCTCACGCGGTTGCAAATACAAATATAGGTAAGTTAATCGTGCAAACTTTTTTGCAGAAAAAATTAAGGTAGAAGGGAGCGTGACCTTCCAAAACATCTTTTATTCAATTATGGCCGACTTTCGTGCTGTAGTATGGGTGCTGCTATGCAGCCCGACTAATAAAGGCAAGACGAATCTTTGTGGCTGAGCGGAAAAGGCTAATCGACAATGAGCCTTCGTGGCTTTTTGATTGTCATCGTATGTCAATATTAAAACAGCGGCTGCGTTTGCAGATTTATTGGCGCCAAAAAAGGGCGCACTTTTTAGTTTAATTTATTTCTTTGGGTCATTCTGCATATATTACATTCCACATAATTATGTCATTTCGCAAGCCATGCCACAGGCCATTCCGCAAACTCATTTAGCCTTTTACCCTCACCGTATTTTCTCTTCTTAGGCTGGCAATAGACTCAGGCATAATATGACACACGAAACAAGATAACGAAACAAATAGAAGAAAGCAGAAGGAACACTTAAACATCAGAAATTTTCGAAATGTTACGCAATTTCAATCCTTTTCAATCTTCTTCAGGTTTGCCCATCCGTGGCACCCGTTGTGTTATTTTAACCATCCTTAATGTTTTAAGCGGTTATTTTTACGTTTCTCTTAATTTAACGGGCATTTTGTAATTACCTAATTTGGCTGAATTTCGTGACACAGCTCCTTTAAACGATTTAAACTTGAGCTTTGCTGCCAGTTACACGATCAATTAGCAGCATTGAAGGGCTATCGGGAGTTAAAATATTATGCACACTGTTTGTGTGGAACTTGTTAAGGATCACTCTCACGTACCCTGCAAAAAGAATAAGACTTACCAAAGAAATTTCGTTTTATGACTGCACTAGCTATTCACGATTTGTAGCTCGTTGAAGCTCGTCGCGTCTTCGCAGCGTTAGCCTGAGATCACGCCCTCTCCCTTTATCTCAGTAATCTGTTTTCGGGAGGAGGGCATGATACATTTCTTTCACAAATCACATGCAAAAATGCCAGAATCTGGACTTTTTTCTGATTGGATAGGAAACAATACGGATGATTTGCGCTGTTCCGATTGGCCCAAATGCCACCATCCGTTATTTTTTGTATAAATGATTTCGGTCTCATTTTTTTAAACCCCGTATAAATGAGGATTTGACAAATTTTAAAATTTTTGATCAGATTCCCCAGGAGAAAGGTCAATCAAAAATGCCCCTCACCCACAGGGAAAAAATCTAAACAAACAATACTATAATACTATATAAAACGAATAAAAGAACATTTCAAAAGTACGTTTCTTACTACTTTTATTTAAGGTTAACGACCCAGCTCCGTTAAGTTACCCACTGAGCATCTCTTATTTTGAACAACAAAATCTCTCCAGGAAGATTGACCTACACTTCGATTTAAATCAGAGCAGTGAATACACTGTTTAGATGACGTATCGATTAAAACAAATGAAAACTTCATACCTTTCTCCAACAGTTCGTTAGGCTTCTGTCGGAAATTTCTGCCGGCTCAGTTTAATTTTCTTGAATTTGAAGAATGTCTAGATAGAAATTTCATCCATTGAAATATTTTCTATCTCATCGTATACGTAAAAGTTGCAGTCAAAAAATTCACCGATCATTTGAATGCAATTTGATACCGGCTACAAGTTACAGAAGCGACAAACGGGCAGTCACTTTTCAAATAATTAAGCATGAATGGAATATCTTGACCTGGTTTGACGATAATTCCTCCTTCAGAAACCTGCGAATTATTCTGAGCGATCTGCGCTTTCACAACACTTTTCAGTTCGTGAAATATGGTGCTTCAGCCTTTTTTTTTTCACTGCTTTTGGCACAAAACGAGGTCAACGAGCTGTTAAATAAAGGTAAGGCAGCTCCATTTCATCACAAAAAAAAAAAAACGTTTGAAAAATTTTTTTAGGAATTGCCATCTGAACATGGACGTACTTAAAAATTTTCTTTTCCCTAAAATTGATTTCAAAAGAGACATTATTGACCCATTATTCCTACCAAAATTTGATTCCTGTCTTGTTAACGCTGATTGGCTAATAACATGACCAGTCAAGGCAGACATTAGATAATGTGAGGGAAAAAAAATTACGCCTGATCTCAGGTTATCGTAACGTGCAACCTCCTCCTCAGTCTCCCCAGGGAAAAAGAGGACCCAAAGCGAATCTAGACCCCATGCCTCGCTCGTTCACTTCAGCCTCGGTAAAAAAATGGCGGCTGTTCCTGTTGTTTCGACGGGACATTTGCATTTCAATGATGTCTTTTTAAGTACTTACGGGCACCTGCTTAGTTACGCGAGCCTGACAACACTATTGATTAACTCAACAATGGAAGGAACACCTTCTGGTATTAAAAGTCGATACCGTAGGCAAGTAAACAAAGGGGATCTCGAAATAGCTCTCTTACATGTGAAAACTCCGTATCACAAAGCGATTTGGACAAGAAAGTCAACAAGCTGTCCTTTCCGTCAATCTTATGTACACAACAATGAGATTACACGAGATCTAACAGCTTTGTCTTGCAGTCAAATAAGCTGAATATTGAACTGAAAAAGGCTTTCGTGGTTTTTGCGATGTAAAATAGCTAACAAGCTTGATGACCGCTTGTTTTGAGTAAAATCACGCGAATTGCCTATGGAAATTTTAAAGCTCTATTCTTCGTTGCTGAGAGTTGCTGAAAGGGATCTTTGCTATTTTGATAAAGTGGGCATGAGAAGTTTATATAGTTGAGCATGTCTCATCACGGCGGAGGACAAAGTTACAGGAATAACTATCATAAACGTCGTGCGTTGCAAAATGGCGCGCAAAATGGAGGGCCATTTCCAGTCGATAACACCAGCGATCTAGACGATAATAATAGTAATATTAGGTTTCCTGACATCGACAGAGACCCACGGGAAAGGCGACCTGTGAAAAGGGATGCTAAATTAAACAGCCGAATTCCATTACCTGCAAGATCGAATGAAATTAACGCGGCCCATGAGTCAAATTATGGTGAACCCCGAGGTCGCCGTAATTTCAACTCCTCGGCTCCAGAATATCCTATCTCTGTCTCAGAACCGCAAACAGGGAGAGATCAGCGAAAAAGCAGAGTAAATGCTGTCAAAAGAGTTACATTTTATCGAAATGGAGATAAGCATTTCAAAGGAGTTGAAATGGTTGTGACCAAGCAACGCTATCGATCATTTGACACCATTGTGGAGGATCTTTCGAAAGCGATTCCACTTCCGTACGGGGTCAGAACGGTGTTTTCTCCCGGCGGAAGCACAGTAGAGTCTATGAGTCAGTTGGAAGATGGAAGATATTACATCTGTTCTTCAGGAGATCAGCTTATTAAGAACGTTGATTATGGTAAAAAACTGAAAGATAAAGAAAAACCTCGCAGGCTTGATGGAGAGAGTTCTTCTGAAGCCTCTTCGATTTCCACCGCCTCAAGTAGAGATTCGAGATTTGGCGGGAGTAATGGTAACACGAAACCGCGAGTTGTGACTGTGATAAGCGAGTACGATAAAAACAAGAAATGCAAGCTTTTATTGAACAGGAAAACGGTGAAAAGTTACGAGGACGTGTTAAAGGACATTTCTGACATGCTGAAGTTTACGGTTCGGGAACTGCGTACGGTAGATGGCGATAAGGTAAGCATTCCAAACTTATAAACAGATTCGTCAAACGTTTATACGAATCACATTTTGCGAGAAAATCAGTAAACTTGTCGGACTTAATTGAGATTTTGCTAAAATAATTAGCCCCGCAGGCACCTGCCTGTCCTGTTTAGAAAAAAACAAACAAGAAATAATCTCGAAATTGAGCAAAATTGTAAATGGACACATTCTTTCTATTATAGATGTTCTTTATGTTTATTCTCGGCTTGAAAAGAACTAAAAGATAAAAACGTGTTGGATATCCGTTTCTTTGAAAAGATTTCTGAAAATACACAAGATTTCGGTGTGCCTGAGACGTGATCAACTTTTCCTGTAACTATTTAATAATTAATTATGTCTTGCTATTTCAATTACATGTCTTTTAGAACTTTCAAGTGAAATTTATGTAAATATTCTTTCATATTCTCCTTTGCTGTGGTATTTTTCTTATAAATGTAAAGTGACCTGCTTGATCAGTTGTAACATAATAGAAATCCAGATATATATTATTATTTTGAGTTAAAATTCTTTATGATTTGTTCATAATTATGAATAGTTGGTCTGTAAATTATGCACTTCTTACACCAAACAGTGAAGACTTTTATCAACTAAACTGTAAAAGTAAACATTAGTTCTCTGCATTCTGTTTTTACTATGTACAGTCAGTACAGTTAATACGGACACTGAGGGGGCCACAGAAAATGTCTTTAGTAATGAGATGTCCATATTGAGCTAGTTGAATTTAGAGAAAATGTAAAGGGTTTCTTTCCCCTGGGACAAAGCAAGCTGTCCGTAATAATGAGGTGTCCATAGTAAGTGGGTGTCCGTAAAGTGGGGTTTGACAAGCGCGCAAAGAAAGTAGTGTCTGATAGCCCGGGGCTAGTGGATTTTGCTATCCGGCTAGTGAATTCTGTTTTTAACTTGCCCAACGGGCAAGTGATATTTTTTTAGCAATTTGAATAACAGAAGAACTGTAATCAATCCTGCTCATCAAATTTTTTTCGCCCTAATTGAAACGACTTTCGGGCTAGACATGCTAGCTACAGCTTGCCCGAATGGCAAGCTGTAAAACTGACTTTCTTTGCACCCTGGTTGACTGTATTTATGTATTGTAACCAAAGAAACCTTGTAAAAGAATAAGAAAACAAAGATATTCAACATCAAACCTCTTTAAACAGATACCAAAGATACAAAACCCAGTGTCCACTCAGGTGTGCGTATTACAGTGTGGACACTCAAACCAGGACACTTGGAACAACATTTTCTGAAAACAAAAGATTCTCAATTTTTATTACTCCAAATAGACCAATAATAGTCATAAATTTTAGGGTTGTTTTCTGAGAGGTCAAGTAAGTTCAAACTGTTTTAATGTTTGCATAGTTGAACCTTGAATTTTATTGGTCCGTTTGCAAAAAACTTGAGAATCTGTTGTTTTCAGAGAACATTGTCATTGGATAATCTTCTTCCAAATGTCCCGGTTTAAGTGTCAGCACGGTAAGCTCACACGTAGTTGTCATATGCGACCTATCTGCAGCTTAGCCAAGGGTACTGCCTGAGAGTTGAGAATTTGTCCTTTAAGCAGAAAGGTTGCCTTTTGATGGATGTGTTCACAAGGAGAGGTTGAGCAAATATTTTAGTGCCTGTAGCCATTTGATGAGTTTTGAATTTTATTCATTCTTTTCTAGGTGAGAGGCTTGTCCCAGTTATTTCGAGAAGCAGAAACTTTCATTGCCTCCAGCACAGAACAGGGCTTCAAAAGAAATCTATCAAACCCATCGTCACTCAGCAGCAATGGCCATTCAGCATCACCTCCTCAAAAGGCGCGTACCCAAAAACCCAGAAAAAAACCTAGAGATGAATCTACAGGTATGAGCTATTTAACTCTTTATAAACTGTAGATAAATTGGTCTCAGAAAATAGCTGACATTTCACTGGTTTTTCCCGCGAAATGATGTCTGAGAAGCAAGCACAGAGATTCTGGATCATTAGACATTTCTGGGAAACTGCCCACCTACCCCTCCCCTAAGCCAACATTTTTCCTTAAGTGAGAAGTAAGTGCTAATGTTGGCTTAGGGGAGGGGTAGGTAGGCAGTTCCCCAGAAACGTATAATGATCTAAATTCCATACTGGTGATGTGTCACTACCCAGATCTGGGTAGTACGTCTAATAATATTAGTTGTAGCTTGAAGTTTCCTTCGTGATACGAACAATTAGAAGCAC